AAGTTCTTCTACAACACCTTATCTCCTCACCTACGGTACATCCCCTCCGAGGCAAGAACAATGAATGACATGGGACACGCCGTACTTTGAACCGGCGTCGGCTTGACTCGATCTTGGACCTCATTCTCCTACCCAACTTCGAGCGCCACCCAACTTATTCCGCTTGTGCTTGTGGACTCCGGATCTGGATACTCGACCCGGCTCGACTCGACGACCTCGCTGTTCACTACTCACTACCGGGCTGTCACTCCCCCATCTTCTTCCCATCTTTTGCATCACCTCCGCCTGCCACGTCTGAGAAGAACCTTATGCTTTCCTTCCATCTCACCACCAGCCTCGGCTCGCAACTCTCGATATTTGCCGTCTAGCAACACTCTCTCACTGCCTCTGGCCCAGTGACTGCCTCTGAACTACGTCGCTTCCACCACATCTTGTCACTATCTGCGGGTAAACGCCCACCGCAACCTTGTTCATTGCGACGGGGATATCCAACATTTAATTAGCATTTGTGATGATCGCAACCACCTCTCTCGCATCAGCCGCTTATCTGAAGCCCACCACCCCGCGTGCGACTTGCGGCGCTTTCTGAAGAAGCAACATGCCGGCGAACTGGCAGAAAGACGCAACCATGGCGTCGCCAAACGGCTCAAATGGTAAGTCCTCGCCACCCCCTCCTGGGCCCGCAGCAGTCCAGTATAGTAGAGCCGTCTGCCCCTCCAGCTGGAAGCAACTCGACGGCTCCTACACTTTGCGCTTCTCCGACCATGGAGGCTCCTACAAAACAGCATTCCCTGGGAGATTTACTCATTGTTTTCCTCCCACAGGCCGAGCGGACTACACGATTAACCCTCAGCCACAGTCGTGGAATCCTCAAGCGCTGCTCAACCCCCGCGCCTACGCATCCTCTACTCCTGCCTCGAAGCGAAACTCCCCTAAACCCCAGTCTCTAGCGACTCGATCCGCACCAGCAAACCAAAGCGCCAATAGCGGCGCCTTCGTATTTCAATTTGCGAGTCCGAATGACACCCCGAGCGAATCGTTGACACCGGGCATGACTTCAGGCGCATCGACCCCCGGTCATGACGAGCACGTGTCGCCTTATGGGATGGGCAGCATGATTGAACGAATGAAGGATGTACAGGATCGCGCTTCTGCGCCTCAGCCCAAGCGCAGAAAGTACGACACGCCTGAATCCGATGCTGACAACAAAAAGACGATGGGACCCGGCGGCAGCGGAATGCTGGGCGCCTACGTTAAGGAAAAGCAGGATGAAGGCAAAAAGGAGAACGCAAAAGTATCCACGAACACCGTGGATCTCACCGAGGGCGACGATGATGTGGTCATGGTTCAAGACCCCGCATCCGAGGAGGTTTGCTACGGCATGCTCACTGCCAAACTCGATTGCCACAAGGTGCCCTCTCCAAAGCCAGGAACGCAAAGTATATTTGGACCGGATTTCATGCCGCCAGTCAAGATCGTCTTGAAGAGAATTATCGGAGACTCGACGAAGAAGATCCAGGCCTACGATTACACGCGCGATATCATTGGAAACATTGACGCACACACAGCCGGAGCCCTTGTTCCCTTGCTGGACTCCAACGTGCGCCTCAGGACCGACTGTAAGATTCCCACGCACAGGAAGCAGGCAGATGAGGAGTCGGGCAAGCCCATCTCGAGGTCCTACCCCGTGGAGATGACTCTCTACGGCCAGTACAGATTCGTGAAGGCTGTGGGCAAGCATTTCGAGCGGGCCAAGATCATTCTGCGCCACCCCACTAGAGTTGACTCTGGCGTCAGATACGAGAACGTCCATGCCGAGTCGAAGCCCATTCCAGCACCCGGCGCCAGAAACCTGGCCGGGGCCCTTGCTCAGTACAGCAATCACTCGTCGTCGACTTACTACACAAACCCAACCCCTCGCACTGTTGAGGAGATTCGGTCAGACGTCATGGGCGTATTTGACTCCATGGGGAAGACGGATGAGCTTCCTGAAATGGATCCATCACCAATCGTCACCACCGAACTCCTCAAGCATCAGAAGCAGGGGCTATATTTCATGGCAAACAAAGAGAAGACGTCAAGCGCCGAGGAGAGAACCAGGGGCTCGATGTGGCAGCTCAAGATCGGCCCCTCCGGCCAGAAGTCCTACTACAACGTCATCACAGGCCAAGCAGAGCGACAGCTTCCTCCGGACACCCACGGTGGCCTGCTCGCTGACATGATGGGCCTGGGCAAGACGCTTAGTATCCTCTCACTCCTCGCAAGCTCTATGGACGAAGCTCGGGAATGGGCAAGTCGTGCGCCTGTGCAGCCCGAAATGCCGCCCCAGAAGGCTGGGGGTAAAGCGACGGCCTCGAGCTCCCTGCCACTCACCAACATTGCCCTGAATTCCAAGGCGACGCTTCTTGTGTGTCCCCTAAGTACCGTCACCAACTGGGAGGAGCAGATCAAGCAGCACATCGCGCCAGGGCAAATGAGCTACTACATTTACCACGGCTCGAACAGGATCAAGGACGTCGAAAAGCTGGCAGACTTCGATTTGGTGATCACCACCTACGGCTCTGTCTCGAGCGAGCTAGGCGCCCGCAGCAAGCGGAAATCAGGAAAATACCCGCTGGAGGAGATTGGGTGGTTTCGTATCGTTCTCGACGAGGCGCACATGATACGCGAGGTTGCAACTCTACAGTTCAAAGCCATCGTTCGTCTCCAGGCTGCTCGTCGCTGGGCTGTGACTGGAACCCCCGTTCAGAACCGTCTCGAAGACTTGGCCGCCCTTTTGCAGTTCATCCGGCTCAAGCCCTTCGACGACCGCAACAAGTTCAATAGATTCATTGTGGATCCATTCAAAGCCTGTGACACGGAAATCGTTCCAAAGCTCCGCGTTCTTGTGGACAGCGTCACACTGCGACGCTTGAAGGACAAGATCAACCTTCCTCCGCGCAGCGATCATGTCGTCAAGCTCGACTTCACTGCTGAGGAGCGTGAGGTTTACGATTTGTTCGAGAAGAATGCTCAAGACCGTGTCAAGGTCCTTGCCGGAAATGGCGTGCAGCGGGCACTAGGAGGCCACACGTACATCCACATTCTGCGATCCATCTTGCGGCTTCGCCTCCTCTGTGCTCATGGCAAGGACCTCTTGAACGAAGAAGATCTAGAGGCCTTGCAAGGCATGACGGCTGACATGGCTATTGACCTTGACAGTGAAGATGAGGACAACAAGCCCGGCTTGTCGAACCGCAAGGCGTACGAAATGTTCGAACTAATGCAGGAGACAAACACGGATGCTTGCAGCGTCTGCTCCAAGAAACTGGGATCCAACGACGACGCCAGCATCGAGTCGGAGGGGCAAGAAGACATCCTCGGCTACATGACGCCCTGCTTCCATATCGTCTGCGGTGCCTGCATCAGGGGGTTCAAAGAACAGACCAAACAGCTTCTCGCTCCAGGCGAGGCCACGGGGCCATGCCCTGTCTGTTCCACGGTCATCAAGCCCGCCTACGTTGACATTCGTCGATCTCGCGTCAAGATTGAGCACGAGGGACCTGCTAAAGACAAGACTTCCACAAACGGCCGCAAGACATTCGGAAAGTACTCGGGACCACACACCAAGACGAGAGCTCTGATAGAGGATCTTTTGAAGTCGAAGGCCGACAGCGAGGCTAGCCCGCATGAGCCGCCGTACAAGTCCGTCGTATTCTCGACGTGGACCTCACACCTCGACTTGATCCAGATGGCTCTTGACAATGTCGGCATCAAGTATGTCAGGCTTGATGGCAGCATGACGCGTGTTGCGCGAACCCAGGCGATGGACAGCTTTCGTGAGGACAATTCAGTTCACGTCATCCTGGTGTCAATCACAGCTGGTGGTCTTGGCCTCAATTTGACTGCAGGCAGCAACGTTTATGTTATGGAACCCCAATACAACCCCGCAGCCGAGGCTCAGGCCATCGACCGAGTTCATCGTTTGGGCCAGAAGCGTCCCGTTCGTACGGTCCGGTACATCATGCGAAACAGCTTCGAAGAGAAGATGCTCGAACTGCAGGAGAAGAAGAACAAGCTGGCGAGCCTCAGCATGGATAGGAAAGACAGGGTGTTTGATAAGAGCGAAGCGGCCCGACAGAGGCTTCAGGACCTCCGAAGCCTGTTCAAATGAATTCTGGAGGGACTTGCTGAGAAGTGTTCAAGGATCGGGACATCTGCGACGCGCAAGCATAGCACTGTGGCGTTTGGGAGTATACAGGAAGTAGGCATTTTGGGAGAGGGGTGGAGCGAGGCGATCGGCCTCAACAGGACTTTTTTTTCCTTCTTTTCTTTTCGGCTACCACCTATGATGGGGTCTATGAGAACCTCATTCGCTCAGATTACCCAGGTAGCCAGCCAACTGCATTGTTGATGTAGGGAAGGGGAGAGGGGGGGCATCATTAGTTTTTCCACATGTCCAGGGACGTGACGATACCAAGCCGATTTAGCATCTTCTATCTCATGGACGAGAGTAGCAAGCAAGCATGAAATTGGTTGAGGGCGGAGTTGGGAGGCAATTTTCGATTGTTTGTCCCCATCGGTTCACAAGTGTACGACGCTAGATTCGCATTAGACGCAACCAGGCAGTTTGGGAGTCTCACGATCAAAGGGCGGCAGACATTGTTTTGGACCGGAGGAGAAGTGCATTGCAATGCGATCAAGACTTCATAGTTTGAGCAGCCATGATGCCGCTTTTGCAAATCACACCGGTATGCTCATCGCACGCTTCCAAGCCAGTCCTGTCTCGACCCCTTGTGACAAGAATTGGATGGGCACAACAGTCATCCCGGCGCTCCGCGTTGCCTGGACAGGCTCCCCGGCAACGGGGCGGGTGTTTGCCAGTGTGCCGCGCATGTCGTTGAAGACGTTTGCATGAATGCGTGCGTGTCACAATAGTGCGCGGAGAGTCCCAAGTATACGACGAAGGGTGAGTCGACCCAAGCGCGTGGGTGTGTACAGTCGTATCCAACGCTCGGGGGGTTTTTGTTGGGAAGTAGGTGTGTAGTGTTATTAGTGTTTTTTGCTTGTAGTCGGAGAGAAGGTCCTCCCTCCACACACACCCTCGCGAGACACTTGGGCCCGTCAAAAAGTAGTGTTGCTCTGTCCAGCGGCCGAGCCGTTCGTCCGCGTCTCCGCCCCAACCCAACAACACCGATTGTCTCTCATATACTCCGTATATACCGTATTTTGATCAATTTTGCTTCCCCGGTCTGTCGCCACTTCTGTCTCCCACCAACAGTTGCCAGCTGGCGACCAAGCCTTGGCGGGGTCTTCCTTTCTTTTGGTCACTCCCCCCACCCCTCCCGGCATGTTTGCCAAGGTGGTGGAAGGGCGGCTCAACGCTAAACGGCGGGGCTGGTGGTGAAGTTGGCTCTTTCTGAGATGGTGGCCTGCGTAGACGGGCGAGGAGGGAAGGGAAAGCATGTGATCGTGCGGCAGAGTCGATCCCCGTGATGAAGCTGGCAGAGTCGTGCGCCATCCCGTGATGGTGATCAGGTCTACTCTGGAATTGTTCTTAAGTCTCACTACAAGGGCTGGCAGGATGGTTACACACAAGATCCATTGAAGAAGTCTCAGGTATAAGTTTAAATGAAAGTTATCGTTCTGTTTTCGCCTTCTCGAGGCCTCTTCCATGGTTTCTAATAATTTAAACAGCTCTCATCACTGTCAACGTGAACGCCCTCTTGCAATGCCTACCCCCGCAAACGCCATAAAGATATCCCATGATTGTGAGGTCGGCAATTGCTCTCACTCTCAGATAAATCTGGAAGTGGCAATAAAAAAAAAAGGCGTCACTAAGAACGACTTCTACAAGTCGTAGTGAGGATAGCTCCTTCCGCCCAATCGGACCCCGAGATCGACTGCGCTGGAACACATCCGCAGAAGTGAAAGCCTTGGCACTCCCACATCTTTCGCCCTGCCTGGTTGTTCGGTTTAAAACAAGCCTCCCCAAGTTGTCATTAAAATTGTCAAGTTCCTCATCTCATTCATGCAGCGTCGGCGCTGGCGGCAGGCATCGACACGCGGGTGAGCTGATCACCAGCACGGACGATACGCTGGCCGCTCGAGTCGGTGACATATGTCATGTCCTTGTTTTCGTACTGGGCACGCTTCCAAATCTCTACCTCACAACCACCGCGGAGGACACCAACGCGCATGGTGGAAAGAAGGTTGTGAGCAGCGTTGGAGTGGAGATAGACACCGCCGTTGAAGATTGCGGTGGCATCCTTGCCGACAGCGGAGGAGATGAGAGCCTTGCCACCTGGGTGCTCCTTGATGAAGTCAGTCACATCGTGGATAACACCGGCAATGGCAACGAGACCCCTGCCATTCTTGGCCTGCGAGACGAAGTCATCCCAGTCAATGACGGGCAGTTGCTCAAGAGGAACACCCCAGTCAAGCTTCGCACGCTTCTGGTCGAGCTTCTTCTGGAGCTGCTGAACACGTCCCTTCTCAATCTCGTTCTGGCGGAATTGCTTGAGGTCAGATGCGAGGCCGAGTTGCTTCCAAGTCCAGATGCACCACTTAGTGGGGTCGTACTGCCACCACTGAATAGCGTTGCGGTAGTCGGAGGGGAACTCGTGGTGGAAGTTGTGGTATCCCTCGCCAAGGGTAACGAGAGCAGTGATGACATGGTCACGAGGCGAGTTGCGGTCGTCGAAGGGCTGGTCACCGAGCCAGTGGGCCAAGGAGTTGACGCAGAAGGTGGCCTGCTGGACGACGAAGATGCGGAGGATACCGCCGTAGACGTAGCCGCCGAGCCAGTCACCCCAGCCTAGGCCGCAGACGAGGGTAGGGAAGATGATACCCATAGCGATGACACACTTGATGAAGTGAACGTGCTGCCACATGACGACAGGGTCCTCATTGAGGTCGGTGATATCGGTTCGGCCCATACGCTTGGGATCCTGCTTCATAACCATCCAGCCGATGTGGCTGTAGAGGAGACCCTTACGGACAGAGTAGGGGTCCTTGTCGGTATCGGTGTATCGGTGGTGAGCGCGGTGACCGTGGGACCACCAGCGGATAGAGCCTTCGACGGCGCCGGCGCCAACAGCAGCAAGGTAGATTCTGAGGGGAAGGCTAGCCTTGTAAGAGCGGTGAGCCCAAAGGCGATGGTATCCTGATTTGATGTAAGCACATCTTCGCCTTGATATTATAGGGACTTAACACCCAACGACTTACCAGCAGTGATGCCGAGGCCAGTGTTGAAGTAATAGACGACAGCGAACACGGCCGTCTTCCACGTCAGAGGGATCCAGTAGGAGCAGATGAATCCAACCAAGGGAATGATCAGAATGAAGGTGGTGTTGAGCCAGTTGACGTGCTTGTGCCAGTTGGCCAGAGTGATAGGCTGGGTTGTGCTGTTGATTATGAGCCTCTGTGCTAATTCATGCAGCAATATGGGATACGCACATGTGAGGCTTCTTGCCGTCGTAGGCCTTGGCGGCACGCACGGGAACATAGTCGGAAGTGCCATCGGGGAAGTGATCGGCCTGCGTAGCCTTGGCGGCGGAGGACGAAGTCGTCGCCGACATGTTGAAGAGAGGACTGAGCCAACAGGCTACGATCGAGAGGTTGGCAGTTGTTTTCGAAAAAGGAAGTACTCCAAGGTGTCTGTACCAGAAGACAACTCCAAACGATGCTTATGATCTTGAGTGAGAAGCAACGTCCCGCAATGGCAAGTACTGTCCGATGGCCGACTGGGAGTTGGACTTTGGGTGAGAAGGGGAGGTCTAAGGAGAACAGGTTCTGAAGGTGAGGAGGAGATGAAGAGTTGTGAATTATATAAAGGGACACACATAGGTTAAGAGACCCCAGCAAGGAGGGACAAGTATCCGCTGAGGCCGGGGTACCTTTGGGCGAGGTGTCCGCCACCCACCAGGTTCAAAAAAAAAAATCCCAGCAAACGAGTGAGTGGGAAGGGTGGGATGGTGGTGGGGAGGGGGGGGGGGGGGTGGTCCTGTGAATCAGATCACTCAGTTCAGTATTCAGGACAAGTCACAATCAACCGAAAAAATGTAAAGGCGGATCTTGGGCCGTGGGTTAGACTTTGACTTCACAGTGTTGCAGGCTACGGGAGAAAGAGCGGGACCCTTCGATCTGTGCCGGGGTATGCAGACGAGGAGAATGAGCGGATGGGTTGGGAGGATGGGAAGGGGAAGAAGAAGCTTCCTCCAGCTTGGGAAAGAAAGGTACGGGGACCCGCACAGAGAATTCGCCTTCTTGCCTTGTTCCCGAGAAGTACCAGACGACGACGCGTGTATCCGAATGGCGGGAAAGAATTATGCTGAGGCATGGCAAAAAGCAGGTGGGCAGGGAAGAAAGCGACGAGGGTGATGTACCTCCCTCATCTGTTGCATCCAAGAAGGTACCAAGCGCCGGATCCCTTGCAGCTCGTTCCAATGATAATAGGAAGTGACCTTCTTGCCTTGCATCACACCCACACACAGGAACTGCTCTGCATAATCAGGTCTGTAGTAGTTTCCTTGAATTGGTAAGGCAGGTAGGGTAGTACCTAAGTAATTGCACCCGATACTCGCCTCGGTATCACCAGCATCTTTTTGGAAGGCGTTTTCCCCTTTCATCCGTCTGTTGCCTAACTGTGGCAGCTTCATCTTAGGTATTAGCCTCACACCCTCGCCCAGAACACCGTCGTTTTCTTGTTGATGCTGGGATAAGTATCTTTCTTCGTTGAGATCAATATGGGCAGATCCAACTACCTAGTTCTCTCACGGGACCCTTTCTTTGAGGACAACAAAACGTGACCGCATGTCATTAATCTCGACGCGAGTAGCAAACAGGCCATCAACAGCTTGAAATTTTAGGATCAGAAGCAAAACCAGAGCCTGCCACCATGTAGCATCTCTTCGCACAGCCGAGGATAAGACGATTGACAACCCCGGATCAGGTCACATTTTCGTTGGCTATCCCCATCGACTCCCCGGTCCCGCCGCAGGCATCTGGGGTTCGCTATTATCTGTAGTGTACACTACGTAGTACACTACATTATTTTGAGGGTGAGGTGAGAGGTTGTCAATCTGCAATGCATCACTGGCAAGCTCGCACGAGATGGATGCGGTCCAAAGGGAAAAAAAAAGTCCCGGCTCCCAACAACTTCCCCAACGCTTTTCAGTATGACGGGCCGTTCGTTGGCGGAAGCAGGGGGGTGGTCCCTGCCATGTGGCCGCCGCTGGGGCGGGGCGGATGGGCAACTGGTATTGACCTTTCCTATTCCGGATACAGTATCCATACTCCAAAAGGTACGTACTTCTTCTGACGACTCCATCATCTCCAGGGCTGAAGAGTCGAAACTCATGGCTCGCTTCCGCCATGCCAACGCCGATTACCAACCGCGTCCGAGAATCCCTTCTCATTCTGATACTATCCCCCAGATCCACACCAGAGTGGCGATCTTCTAAACATTTTGTCCACGGCGCTCGGCTCTTACACGAAGAACATGGCGACCAAAGAGCGTTTCGAGCCTCGTCGGGCGCCCCAAGCCTTCGGCCTTCTCGCTTGTTGTCTCACCTTACCTCATGCATTAACTTTGTACCTGCAGCTAGCTATCATACGCGCAGCCTGGAACAACCTGGACCATGTCCGTCAACAGTCGCTTCCCGCTCCTCGGGCGCCGTCTGACCGCGCTTCTTCTCGGGCAGAGCACAACGGAGAAGTCGAGAGGAGAGGCATGAGGTTCAACCGAGGCGGTTCATTAATTGCAAGCTCTCTCCCGTCCCCAGGCCCTGCTGAATTATGTGCCAGTATACACTTAGCGGAGAAACAGAAGGGAGTCGCCGATTGGACGGTGAACCATCACCAGCTCACGATGAGTGATGAATCAAGAGGGTAGCGGTTCGACCTCAACATGTGCTCCACTCGAAGCTCCATTTAATGACGGAAGTCTCACGTCGCCTCCGAGCTTTCCAGTGGTGAGGCTTCTTGGGACCCCTCCACCGGCAGGATGGCTTATCTCTTCTTCCTTATCGCCGAGACGACCATCTGAGGAAACTCGAAAATCACGCCAACGAGAGCTCTTCCATTCCCGTCAGTTTCGCATTTCGCAATCGGTTGAAGTCTTGGCTTGCGATGAGAGCGCACCGACGGAGGCCAGAGGTCACATTGGGTTGTCCCCATGTGAGTTTGTTCACCATTGCAGCCTCGACATCTCCCGACCTACCATAATAAGACAACTCCGCACCTATCCCGGCGCTCGAATTCGCTTTCCCCAGTTGCCTTTTTTCCTTTTCTTTTTTTCAAATACGGCATCCGCTCTTCCCACTCTAGCATCCCGGCCCATCCCCAACAGAAACAGGACCCTGCCCCGCAATCCTCCACTCCATGGCAGGCAGAACACACCAGGGATTGCTGTCTACACCTGTCTTAGCCTTTGAGCCACCGCCGGCGCTGCGTGGCTCTTGTCGGTGGCGGGGGGCGTCACGTGTTCGCCAGATGGCCAGAGATCGAGAGCTTCGGATTGGCTTTCGATCACCAGGATCATGAACGTCTCCTCCGAAGCGGCTTCGACAGAATTCGCCATTGTGGAACCTTTTCATGCTAACCCGATTAGGTGGAGCGCTTCACTTGACCAACGCCACATCCGCCTTGTCTGCCTGTCAACTTCTTCGCCTCTTCATCTTTTCCCTCTTTTTCCCTCTCATTTTTGCTACCAGAAGCTTGGGGGCCATAGCTAGCCGCCCCTGGCTTCATGCGCCCCAAGCTCCAAGCTTCACCTATCATGACTCTACAAGCCGCTACGCCCAGCCCCTTTCACTTGTCCGATTCGACCAAAACTTGGCGACATTCAAAGAAAGCACGCCTGGTTGGGTTCGATCTATCTAGACCATAAGCTTCGCCAACATGGACTGCTACCCGTCAAAGCGTTGCCAAGCCGATATCAAACCTTGTCTGGACCGCCTGGGTTGTTCACAACTACAGCCGATCTCGGGATCTTGGTAATACCTTGTTGTCGGGATAAACGAGGGAGAACACAACAATTCAGTCTAAAACAGCCCTCGATTGACACACGCTTCTCCTTGCCTTCGGAAACTCCTATCACTGTCACTGTAGCTTCAACCCCGACTTTCACACCAGACTCGCAGGCCCTATCCGCCGCGCGTCATCGTGCTTACTAGGACGGCGCTTCTCTCTGTTCAGTATCGATTTGTTCTATCCATCGAACCTGATTCTGCCTACTTGACGATATCAATGGGGTAGTCGGTATTTGGGTCACAGCGCATCTCACCAGCGCTGTACCGTCTTCAGAGTCATCGAATATCACCACGGGAGGATCTGCAACCACACAGTCTTGAAAGCTACGTTCATCAAAAGCCCATTCAACGCCCATCATTTATGTCACAGACTGCACGAATATCTACACCAATGCTATGCCAAATGACTGGTAGGAACAGCCAATCCGATTTCCAAACTGGCTGCACCATCACTCGAGAGAAAGAAGACGCCATCCCAGATGCCCGGTTAATCGAGTTGCTCACATGCACAATTCACCTCCAAAACTGCTGCGCCCTCTAGTATACACTCATCATTTCTCGACAGCTGTCATCGTCGTTGCCGTTGGTGCTGCCAGTGCCACCGTGTTTGAAGAAAAGTCGTCGCCAAGAGATGCCTTCTCCCGCATCTTCTGTTCGTCCGTATCGAGGTATGCCGCGCCCACGCCATTGAGTTCCGGAGTTCCTGCCACTGGGGAAGACGGTGCTGCTGTCTTGGCATCTGTATCAGTCTTAGGCGTCGCATTGTCTCGAGACGGAATTTCTGCGTCGAGTGCAGGCGGAATCTGTTGTTCGGAAACAGCTGCCGACTCGTTCTCGGCCTCAGCCTTGGCAGCAGTTGGGTTTGCTGTAGTGGTCTCTTTGGTGGATGGCGTTGCAGCCACATCCTCGTGCTCCGTAAGTAGTGTTGCAGCCGCGATGTTACCCGACTCGCTCGAGATGTTGTCGTTGCTGTTCAGTTCGTTTTTGGGTTCTGTTTTCCCCGTTACAAGGGGCACTGTTTGCCCTGCTGTTTTTTTTGCGTCCGGCTCCGCGTCCTGGCCACTCCCAACTTGGCCTGCCTCTTCCATGACGTCTCCCCCCGCGTTTTCCCCTTCTATATCGGCATTCTTGACAGTGAGAGGGCTTGCCATGGATGGCCGTGATGCGATGGGATCGACGAAAGCATGCGGTTCCGTTAGCTCCGTCCCGGATACGACCCTGGAAAGCTCCTCTCCAACGAGTCTCTTGTCCACTTGCCCTGGCGTCTGGTCGAGTTCAGCCCGATCTATTGCTGCTAAGTCGTTCGAAAGGGGTGTCCATTGTAGCTCTTCCAGCCTCTGTTGCATCGACCTGCTCGTCTCGTCCATCAGCTCAGGTGTTGCGATGGAGTCCTTGCTGGTCGTCGGTGTTGTGCTCTTGTGATCCTCTATCTCGTCTCCTCCAACGTCGCTGTACGACGGTGCAATGTTCCTGGCCTCCGCCCAGCTCGAGATGTTGCGGCCCACGTGAGGCGAATCGCAACGCCCGTAATGACTTGGAAGCGGGCTTGGAGGGGATCGTCCTCTCGTGTAGTAGTACGGGTCTTGAGAAAAGCCTCTCGACGGATCGGCGTAGGTATGGCCTAGATTGACGTATGACCAGTCATGGGCCGGCTCGGCAGTCTTGACTCGCGCGTGGCCATTGCCCTGGTAGCCCTCCACAAAGTACTCTTGCATGGTGTAGCCGTCGTCCACGGAGATAGACGGGGGAGCAGCATCGTCACCAACCGCTGGCTCGGGAAACAAAGCCATGAGCGACGAAGCCTGCAGCCGCAGTCTGGGATCATCGCTTAGGCATATGTCCACCATCTCCCGGTACCAAGCTGGCACGATGTGCTCCTCTGTGAGCTGCAAGGGCCGTCCCTGGGCCTCCGGTTCGTCATCTTGCGCCGCCAACGCCCACAAAACCATGCCGAGCTGATAGAGGTCTGACTTGACACCAATGTACATGGAGATGCGCTGGTTGCTCTCAATAAGTGGCGTTGCCTCGGGAGGCTCCCAGCCCACCGGGCAGCCTCGTCTGTTGATATCGATAATCTTGGCGTTGTCTTCGTCGTCAATTACGATGTTCGAAAGGGTGAAGTCGCCCTGTACGAAGCCGGATTCGTGAATGTCCGCCAGTCCCTGCACGATTTGACGCGCCCACTTCTCTCGGATCGGCCACGGCAGACCCAACTCGGACTCCTGTTGATTATCATAGATGACGTCGATGAGAGCACCGTGGACGGCGTAGCTGATGAGCAATCCTTTGACGTACTCGTCGTCATCGTCGACGACGACGCCGTGAAATCGGATAATGTTTCTCGAATACCGAAGCCGGTTCAAGGCATTGATCTCGTAAAGAAACTCATCGATCGTGTCGGGGCCTGGAATCTCTTTCTTGATGAGAACTTCGCCGCCGACGCGAACTTTGTATACAAACCCAGACATGTGAGAGTCAAAATCAATATCTCTTTCCCTGATCCTCCGACAACCCAGGTGTTGCACTTGGCGAACGGTGGGGTATTGAATAATTTCCTGCTACGAGTTAGGACCCAAGCAGGGGTGTTGACTGACTGGTCGACTCACGTTTACGTCCTCAACGACGTGGACATGTAGTCGGCCATCGGTGGTCTGTAGTTTCAAGTTGGTAACGGAGTGATAAAACTGGATGTCTTGAAGACTATCCCTGATGGCTTCGTAGATCTTTGAGCTCTTGTCGCGTTGAGACTTGGTGTGCATCAAATCCAGTTCGAGAGAGTTGTCCGGGGCATTGCGATAATCGAGGGAAATGGTCACCCGGCGCCAGAGGGTCGGAGTTTCTCGGTACGTCACAAAGAACTTTTCCCTCTTGGACTTGTCGCGGAAATGCATGCTGAGGTTAAGAATCCAAGTAGTTTCAAGCTCATCGTGAATCATAGCCTCGTATTGTGATTGTGATGTTGTTACTGAGTGCGCATCGGAAATTGACTGCAGTTCATGCACATGAGAATCGTCGAAGGTGGGCGCTGACACTGGGGCGACCATCTGATTCAAGCTGGCTTCGGCCTTTTCCTCTACTGGGCTGACCGGGGCAGAAGAGGCAGACTGGATTTCGTAGGTATTTTCGAGGAAGTCCGGTGCGCTAGCTCGGGGAAACGACTGGGCCTGCGACGCAGTGCGTGGTGACTGCACGCGCCTGTCCACCGATAGAGCACGCCTCTCTGCCGGAGAAGGCTCAACTGGTGCGAGGTTGTTCCTGCGCTCTGACTGCTGGCGTTTGAAGGTCTGCACCCGCGGAAGTCCGGGCACGACTTTCCTGGAGACTCGGCGCATCAGGCCTGTACTTTGCGGGTCGTCCGAGTCGGGCTCATGCACAGGTTCGGGCTCGGGCTCCTTGGCCTGGAGCGGGCCGACGGGTGCCGGAGCCGCATTGTTTCGTCCGAAGAGCTTGCGCAAGAAGCTGGTGGAGTGTTGACCCGATGTGGGCGGTGGCTCCGTAGGAGATGGACTCATTTGCGCCATCATCAATCAAGTGGAAGGCACAGCGAGATGTCGATATCCTTTCTGGAAAGTCCGTCAAGACGGTGGAGGGTGAGGCTCCAAGCGGTGTGGTCCTGGGGACGAGGTGTTTAATTAGGGATAGGCCCGCAAGCTTTGACCGGGAGCGAACCAGGCGGGGGACAAGGATGGGCCTTGGAGCGAAAGACGGTCAATGTCTAGCCTGGTTCTGGGCAGGTTTGGTGCCGGGTCTGAGCTAAATTGGGTTGACAGCGGCTGGGAAGTGGCCGGGCGCGGGCACCGCGAGACAAGAATGACGAGGGGCGTCCTTTTGTGGACGTCCGGTTGCAACTCGAGCGTTACGGACAGTATGCAGGCAGCCGCACGCAAAATGAGACATCAGACGTTGTGACGATGAAGGGTGGAAGTGTGCAGAGAAGCAATGGTGGGCAAGACCATGTTCAGACGAGAGTGACGGGGGGCGGAGGACGCAGGATCGGCCGGGACTCGACGGGCCTTTTGGAGGAATCTCGAACCCCAATCGGGAGGCCGTCGGTAGGTGACTGGTGTGTGTAGGTGGTGCTACTGCGGTGTATTTGCTGTCATTCGGGAATAGGGGGACAGAGGTCGAGCCTGAGAGGTGGTTTCCTTCCCATGGACTGGCAAGGCCGGATGGGCTCACTTTAGACGGTAGCCAGGCAGACGAGGAAGGCAGCGCGTGTGCAGTTGTTTTCTTTTGACGATGGAGGGATGGTTCTGGCGCGTAAGGTGATCCGATCCGCCTTAGGCCAAGGCGGGGTGGCAGTGTAACGTGCGTCAGCGAAGCTGAGTCGGACCGCCCTGCGTCTCGGTAGGACAGATGTGGTGTAGGTAGGATAGGATGATGCCGGACGACGTAGGCGCAAGATATGTGTGTATTGACGGCAGTGCGGTTAGAAGTCTGATATGTATGGCCGGGGTAAGCTAAGGCAAACGTCGTCGTGATGTGCTGGTAGGTGTGGCCGGTAGACAAGTAAACGACGAGGTGAGGCGAACATTGGGCTTGTGTGATTTGTATGGAAAACAAGCGGCAAGGAGGAGCTAAGCAGGGGAGGGAGGGTTCCAGGAGAAGCAGGAGGGGGAGGGGCACCGTTGACGGTTGCCCTGTACACTCGCCGTCGTGGGGTTCGGCGTCAGCGCCTGCGTCTGGTCTGGGGGTCTGGGGCGACAATTTACTTCTTGTCGCGAGGGTGTACGGATATCCAGAGTAATGCACGCGCATGCAGGAGTAGCGCATGAGGAGAGGAGGTAGTGTTCGTACGTGAGGACAATATCGGGACCCCCAGGTCGCGTGTTTCTGGCTGTTACAAGAGGCTGGGAGGCTGGGCACCCGGAAGAGACTTCGTAGAACTCCTGTGCCAATAGCAGTGGCGCTCTTTAAGATGCCTTTTTTTCTTTTTCTTTTTCTGGACCAGCTAAAACTGAGGAGCGAAGCGCATGTGAGGATTAAGGAACATGGCTAGCCAGATGGCCAGTCAGATTGAAGAACCATGGCTGGCACGAGGGAAAAGGCCAACGGACGCTAAGGCACGTTGCTCAATGATGGTTGTTTGCCTACACGAGGTGTTGTGGATAGGTACCTAGGTAGGTGACCAAGATGCCATGCTTTCTGACCTCACTTGGGCACTCAGGCACAACGCCCTGCCACCTCATGGCTGGCTGTCACTGGATGAATATGGAATGGTTTGTGGGAGCTTGACTACCTAGCTTACCTACTTTACCTACCTAGGTACTTAGGTACCTAACCTATTTGTGGAGGAGTGGGGCTTTCCTAACGCTGATGCGCTGTCCACTTTTTCTTTCCCCCTCCGCCCACTTGGACGTCAGATGTCCCGGCGATGCCCAAGCTGTCAAAGAAGGGAAGGAAGGAATGAAGGAATGAGGAGAGACTAGTGTCCGTGGATCTTCGCTGCCTCCCGTTCCGAACGGTGCAAGGAACGGTGCCTCCTCCTTTGGGATGGGTTGCAACTGCCTTTTCCTCCAAGCAACAAGCGTGCATTTCCTTTGCCTCGTAGCTGCCTTCCACGGCCATCATCATCGTCATCGTACTTCCAGCCGGTGGATGTTTTGCGAATACCTACCTAGGTACCTAGGTAGGTTAGCAGGTAGGTAGGTACCTGGGTAGTCACGGCACTCTCTGCGAGACACCAGCTGAGCAATTGGGGCCCGTAAGAGGACCCGGCATGAGGCCGCTCTCCACCACCACGAACTCTTCCCCGTCATCTTAGCGTCCGTCTTCTCATGTACGATGACCTCCATTCTCAGCCCTCCTCTGGCGATTGGATCCCCACTGCTTTTTTTCTGTGGGCGTTGGGTTCGTTGGGCTCGCATTCAAACCACGTCTCTTTCTTTCAAACCCGCCAAACATCCACATCGTCACTGCACGCCGTCTCCTCAATCAATTGGCCTCACATAAAGCAATTGACCGCCCTTTCCCTCTTGCCTGGCCCACATGTCGATATAGGTATCAACCAGGGTGCTGGCCAGACGGAAATCGGATACAGACAGCGGATTGGGGCTTGAGATACTACCGCTGCCGCCAGGGCCCCCGTCCGGGGGGCTTGTCAATATGATCACCACAAGACACCCCCGTTACGTCGCCTAATTGGCGACTCAGGGGCTGGCTATCTCAAAAATCTGGACCCGACATATCTTGGCCGATTGAGCCGTCATCGTTTGCACTCAAAGATGCGCTTGACCGTTGCCGCTGAAATCGCATCCCCAGTGTGGGAGGCTTGCCCTTGACCAGAACGACGCCAGAACCGTGGGATTCCGCATAAACGACCAGTCACACCAACGACATCTTTGCAATCCACCGCGCCGAATGCACCTCGAGAGCAATCCGTTACTGGCTAAATCCTCTCCATGTCTTGACCCGCTATCTCCCACAAATGACGGCGCAAGAGGATGCTCTTCGCTTGCCCACTTGCGTCGAAGATCAGGCACTTGCGCAATTTTACAACTGATGGACCCTCTCCGTCTATCTGCGTCGAGCTCTGCCCGCAAAACTAAGCAAGGACGAAGAAATACCCACGTGCTCGCCGCCCTTGTGTGTCAAGGACGCCTGCTGCGCAACCCATTGTATTCGTCTGCAGTCTGAGGGGCCAACACATTGCCAATCAGTCGTCTCTGTCATGTTTCCGCCCTCCACTGCCTGACGCCATACCATTTGCAAGGTGACACGACAGCTACTGAGCTGCAGCCGATGGGACCGCGACATAGCACTGCAATGCAGCACATGGAAACGAACTGGTCCATCATCATGGGGGGTGTTGTCCAGTGAGGTTGGTGCCGGCTGCGACACCACTTTTCTGACATTTCCTCTGGCCTCATAGGCTATTTGCTTTTAAGGCCCTGCTGGTTAGAAAATTGACACGGCCGTGACCTGTTTCTAGGCCAATGCTGCTTTCAAATGACAGACGCAATCAAGAGTGTTTGCTCCATACTCTTTGGCTGTCAGCCCGGCCGGCTGGTCAACGTTAGTGGCCAGGTCCGATGTAAGGTGCCTTCCTCACGCACTGCTTGCATTTGGGCATCGACGCAGCCCAAATAATGAGGCTGTCTCCCTGTTGACAGGCTGTCGGACTGTTCCGGAGGCATGGCCAGAGTTATCCTCCAAGCTTGCTCTGACATCAGAAGGGACCGCTTCCTTGCCCTTCCCGGTCGTCCGGGATCTGCCAGCGGCACAGACGTTGACGATCCATTCTTGCAGCAACCTTCTCTCCCTCCAGCTCGCTAGCGACTCAAGAGGCCGGCAGCAGACATAGCCATGCTTCGTCAAGTGTCGCATCACCTGGACCTGATGATCTCCCGTCTTGGAGTCACTGAGAGTACGGTTTCGAAGATTCACAAGTGCGATTTTTGGTGGTGGGATGAAAAGGCAGGGAAAACGATGCAAGGGTCGTCCCGTCTGCTCGCTCTTTGACAGATCCGAACGTCTACCCGCGAACCCCACCACTCCCGCCTGGCTGGATGGACATGGCACCCACAACCCCTTGGCATCCCTACCGCTGTCGCCGGTGAATCCGTGACGAAGAGATATTTTTGCTTCAACTTAGCATGTCCCCGATTTGTGCTGCTCGGAGCTCATTCGGTTCTAGAAAGTTGGGTCACAATCAGGCGCATCAAATTCGTCACCATGACTCGGATTCGTCTCGGGCAGCAGCGCCCGTCGTGCGCCAGAAGACGCGGGTGTTTGGTTCTCCAGCGGCACGGAGACGGATGCTCCACCGTTCGTTGGATGCCCTTGGCTCTCCAATCCCATCCCGCGACCGGCCACCCCATACACCAGTCTGACTTGGACGTACTGCACGGCATGGCCGTCTTACCAGCGCCCATACTGCGGCCGTCGACATGCGTATACATGATTGTGGCCAGGCCGGCCGCATCTGCAGGCATCAGCGTTTCCGGCAAGCTGGTGCTCTCCTTTCCTGGCCCTCCCGTCCCAGCCTTCATGCTCGCCTTGAACAGCATCGACCGGAAGTTACCACACCACTTGATCGGGAGACCAATCGAATTCTGATGCTGCCGCTAATGGCCACTACTGCTGCAACACCACACGTCTTGGAGGAGGAGGACGGGGAACAAGTGATCAAATGTGGCTGATTCGCCGAGGGGTTAAGTCACCCCGGCTTGGGGCTGGTAGTATACAATATTTTGCTCCTCTGCCGCTATGCGAAGATCGCGCGTCTCGCGATTCGACTTACATCCACCGACTCTGCGCGGGAATGGCTGCCGCGCAATCTACTTTCCTCATGCGATTGGGTCAGTGCCTTTGCAACCCTATTCTTACACAGCCGGCCCCGGCTCGCTTTCCACGTCGACAACACCCGTCGAATCTCAGCCAGCCAATTAGAGATTGAAAAGAAAAAAGAAACAAGCAAAAAAAAAGACCATCTAGAGTAGAGATGTAGTATCGGAGGTGAGAGATTTGCCATCGTGCCGTAACGTTTAATGCGGGTGCGTCTAATCGTCTTATGATGAAACCACCCTATCTTGTGCTTCCTTTCGCCAGAACGCCAACCCAGTCCATCAGCTCCTCGGCTCCCGCCTCCCCGTCTAGCCGGTCCCCTGCCCACTGACGCGTCTCAAACTGCCCGCCCCAGCTGACACGGGGCCGTCGGTATGACAGGGCACTCGTCATGAGAAAGACGAGACCTGCGGGAATGATGCAGGGTTCTCTTGAGGAGCGGACGCGCGGGGGGATGGGCGTAGGGCTTTCTTCCCGACATACCATGACGTGGGCCACGGCGGATGAGCAGATCATTCAATATGTGACAACGTCGTGGGGCGGGAGTAGGGGGGGAGAGAGAGGACGATGGAGGGATCTAGTCGTCGTCCTCGTCGTCGGAATCGTCCCGCTTCTTCTTCTTGTCCTTCTTCTTCTTGTCGTCCTGCACCTTCTTCCACTCGCACGTCTGGCACTTGTTGGCGGTCTCGCGGTCGAGCTCGGGGAAGATGATGTCAAAGACGTCCGAGTACCAGGCGACGGGCTTGCCCTCGATGCCCTCCTTGATGTTCTAGTAGCGGTGAATGTTAGCATGCAAACTCTCGCGTGAACGCGCATCAGGCGTGGAAATGAACGGGGTGTGGGGGTGGACATACCTCCGGGAGCTCGAGCCAGTCGGACATGCAGTCCTTGGGGAAGATGACCGTCTTGCAGCCGGCGCGGCGGGCAGCGACCGTCTTCTCGCGCAGGCCGCCGATGCGGAGAACCTTGCCGGTGAGGGTGAGCTCGCCCGTCATGGCAACAGTGGGGTTGACGGGGGTGTCGAGGGCGAGCGAGAGGAGCGAGGTGGCCATGGTGATACCGGCCGAGGGGCCATCCTTGGACACGGCGCCGTCGGGGACGTGCAGGTGCAGCTTGGCCTTGTCGAAGAAGTGGTTGTCGGGGAATTCCTTGGCCATGAGCGACTTGGCGAACGAGTAGGCAATCGTCGACGACTCCTTCATGACGTTCTTGAGGTTGCCCGTGATCTCGAGGCCGGGCCGGCTGCTGGGCCGCAGGGGCGCCTGCAGGATCGACTCGACGTACATGGCGGCGCCGCCCATCTGGGTCCAGGCCAGACCCATGGAGACGCCGGGGGGGTTGACCTCGTAGAGTCGGTCCGAGGTAAAGACTGGGGGGCCGACGTAGTCGACGAGGTTGTCCTTGCCAATGGTGACATGGACCGTGTCGGGGACGTTGAGAGCTACGCGGGGCTTCTCGGTGGTCGCGGCCTCGGCGGGCTGCTCGCCCGACTCTCGTGCCGCCTCGGTCTTCTTCTCCGACTCAGCCAGAGCCTCCTTGCCGTCCTCAGTTAGGGCCTCCTTCTCGGGGAGAACGTCCTCGCCGAGGTCTTGCACGATCTTGAGCGCGGACTTCCTGTAGACCTTCTCGATCTGCTTCTTGAGGTTGCGCACGCCGGACTCGCGGGCGTACGACTTGATGAGCTCCTCGATGGCCTCCTCGCTGAGCTGGACGTCGGCGTTGGCCAGACCCGCGGCCTCTTTGGCGGCCGGGGCGAGGTACTTGTCGGCGATGGCCTTCTTCTCGTCGGCGACGTAGCCAGAGAGCTGGATCAGCTCCATGCGGTCGAGAAGGGGTCTCGGGATGGTGTCCGTCATGTTGGCGGTGCAGACGAAAAGGACTTTGGACAGGTCGACGGGGACGTCCATGTAGTGGTCCAGGAACGAGCTGTTCTGCTCGGGGTCGAGCAGCTCGAGCAGGGCGGATGAGGGGTCGCCCTGGTAGCCGCGGCCAATCTTGTCGATCTCATCAATGAGGATCAGCGGGTTTTCCGTCTGGCACTTCTTCAGCGCCTGAATGATGCGACCGGGCAGAGCACCGACGTAGGTTCTCCGGTGACCCTTGATTTCGGCCACGTCCGTCAGACCGCCGACACTGAATCGGTAGTACTGGCGGTTCAGGGCACGGGCGATAGACTTGCCGATGGATGTCTTTCCGACACCGGGAGGACCGACGAAGCAGATGATCTTGCCCTCGACGGTGCCGCGCAGCTTCCCGACCGCGATGAACTCGAGAATACGGTCCTTGACGTCCTTCAGCCCGTAGTGATCCTCGTCGAGGACCGTCATGGCGTTCTTGATGCCAAAGTTCTCGGCGCTGCGCTGGCCCCAGGGGATCTGCGTCAGCCAGTCGAGGTAGTTCCGCGTGACGTTGAACTCGGATGCTGCAGGCTCGAGATGCGCGAGCTTATTGATCTCGTCATCAAAGACCTTGCGTACAGCCTCGGGCATGGCCAGCTTGTTCGCCTTCTCCTTGAACCTCTCGACCAGCTTGTCCTTGCCGTCGGACTCGAGACCCAATTCGCGGCGGATGCCCTTCATCTGCTCCATCAGCCAGTATTCGCGCTGGCGTTTGGTGATCTTGCTCTCGACGTCCTTGGTGATCTTGGACTGGAGCTGGGCATTCATGAGCTCTTTCTTCAGGACAATAAGGGCCTTTTGCATCCTCTCCTCGACGTTGAGACTCGACAAGACTTCTTGGAGCTCGCCCTGCTCGCCCGAAGAGACGGCTGCGGCAAAATCTGCCAGCTTCGCCGGCTCGGACGTGACGTTGCCCGTAGACTGGCTCATGGAGAAGGTTGAGATCTGGTCGCGGAAGAGGCTGTTCATCGTGGCGACCTCCTTGAACACGTTGACGATCTCGTTGGTGACGGCGCGGATGACGGCGCTCTTAGGGTCGTAGGGCTCCTCGGTCAGATTCTCGACGTTGACGAGGCTGACGGGGTATCTCTTGAGGAACGCCGTGGGCTCGTACTTCTCTGCCGGCTGGTCAGCCTTGGGGGCCACGGCGCTCTCCTCGAAGCTTGCGACGACGTCGCCCTTCTTCTCCTGCTGCGCCTCCTCTTCGACGGGCTTCGGAGGTATCGGCTCGGGTACCGGCTCGACCTTGGCCTCGCTCGGCTTGGCGTCCTCCTTTCCGGGAGGCAGCAGGCTCGACAGGCGGATGCGGCGGTGAGGGTACAGGATGGCCGTCAGGGCGCCCTGCTCGCCGTGCATGGGGAAGGCGCTCGTAATCTGCGCAAAGACACCGGTATCGTAGACGTCATCGACGTTGCGGATAACGTCCTCGTCCTGGTTCTCGTCCTTGAACAAGAAGGCACCGACATACGGCTGGCCCCTCTTGATCATCTCGGTGATGGCGGCGGCGACATTCGGGTCCTTGATGGTGATGGCCTTGTAGAAGCCAGGGAACAGCGGCCGCTTCGCAATGGGGATGGCCAGGACCTGGGGGTAGACGTCGGGCACGACGGGCTTCTGCAGGCTCTTGTCAGATGCCCTGCGCCCGCGTCTGCCGCTGCCGTCGCCCTTGTCGTCACCGCCCCCCGATCCGGCAGATGAACCGCCGGCGGCGCTGCCAGCCTTACCGTCCTGCGAGGCAGCCCCGGACCCGTCGCCCTTGGCGGAGGAGTCAGAGGTCGAGCTCTTTGCCTCAGCCAGCTCCTTCTCCTCGAACTCGCGTTGGTTCTTAATGTTTGCCTTGTGTTCCTCGTCGGACAGGGGCTCGACCTTGGGGTCGAAGAAGCTGTTGCTGTCTTCCTCCTTCAGCCATCGTGTTGACGTCGAAAACGGGGCGGCTGCTCGCTGACTCCGGGGGTTGAGGAATAGACGGTCGAAGGTGGAGGCGGAGGACCTCGGGGTGCTGGCGACGGGTAACCTGCTACTCGAAACCGAGTAGGGCCGTCTAAGATAGTTTGCCGGGCGGCCGAGGGTCAGGCGCCTGGGGAAGCTCGATCGTATCACCATGCTGCCGACGATGGGGGTTGCAAGTCAAACGTTGAGGAGGCTCTCCGATCCCGGCACGTAGTAGTGGTGGTGGTGGTAGTGATGATGATGATGGGGTAATACAGGGCCGAAGACGAATGGGCGCGTGCCTCTGTACTTGCTGCTCAATGCAATTGGGTATGGGATGGGAATGGATGTGGACAAAAGAGACGAGCTAGAACGGGCAATGGAAACGTGCAGAATGGGGGGGGAAGGACTCCGAGTCCTAAATCGCGATGCGCATCGCCTCCTGACGCCTTACAAATACAGAACAGAGGTGAGTAGAAGTAACCTTTGAGCTAATATGGAGACCGGTCCGGGGGGGTTTACGAAGAGTAAACGACATCACCAAAAAAAATTAGCGAGCACTGACATTTCGCCGCCTGGCACTCAGTGAGTGGCCAGTAGGTGGTTCATGGGGGGGCGGTCAGCAATGGCTCTGGAACATGGAAGAACTTCGGCCCCGGTTGCCAGCGGGGCGGCGTTCTCTGAAGACTGAAGACGAGGAAGCGCACCCCTCTTCTCTTGCCCCCTCCTCACAGCTGTGCTACGTGCGTGGCTGGCCTGCTAACGGCTGTACTGCTAGATGCATAGACTCATATCAAATGTGGTCAGTGGTAACAGCGCCTCGGGCTGGGAAAGGGGGCAGCCATCGACTGGTAGCTCTAGAGGACCACACTGTGTCTTGCATACCATGATGTCAGCAGATGGCTACCGCGTTCGATGTCTGCCCAGACAGTACGCCACGATGCTCCGGCCGTCCGCTAGACCTCTGCCAACCGTGTACTAATCGTATGTAACCAACTGCCTCGCCTGCAACAGTGCCATCCGGATTCTCTGACTCGTTGCGGGGAAGGGAGACCAAACACAAAAAACACCCCACAATGGAAAAGCTGTCCAAGACCAGTGCCGTCCCGCCATCCCGCCATCCCATCTAACACAGTCCGTTCGCATGGCTGAAAGAAGCCGAGGCCTTTTCCCGGATCTTATCTAACCTGCTCGAGAGACCTGCCTCCCTCACCCCCTTTTCTACTCTGCCCACTCATCGTGATCTGCAGAAAGAGCGCCTTATATCAGACCAAGGACTGCTCCGAAACGGTCATCCAAGTCCCCGGTCTCTCCATATACCCCGCGGCTCAACTCATAACAGATTGCAACCTGCATCTTTACCTTGCTAGTGCCTCACCCTGTTGATCCTCCATCGAGGAAACGCCCCAAGGGACCCTCTCTCTCCATCACCCGGCGATCGTCCCTTCCCTGCTGTCCGGGGCCCTTACCCACACTTTTTGCCCTCGCTTCCCGACGGAACCGAATCCAGGTTCCTGACTATCTCGACTTCCTGCGGGCCTCGTTCAATCAACACTCCGTCATCTCTCTCCTGGACCTCACATATTCACGTTCTCAAACTCCCTTTCGGTATATACACAGACACCTTTCGTTATATACACAAACACACACATACATACATACACACTCACACACATATATAAGCAAGCAAACATCCAACACGAACCACCATGCCTTCCTCCAGCCAAAAGCCAGACCTCGCGTCCTCCCTTTCCAAGCTGTCAATAGACAACTCCAACAAGAAGCCCGCCGCCAAGAAGATTAAGGAGCCGGTGGCGGATTCCTGGGAAGACGAGGACGAGGACGACGACAAAGAAGAGCGGGAGGGGACGGCGACGCCCCAGGCCGACGGCTCCAAGGCCCCGCCGCCGACCCCCATCACCCCGACGTACAGCGCGGCAGACCGGTCATTCTCTCCGTACGCCGCCGCCGACCCCTCCGCCCCTTTCGCCTCTTCCGCTCCGGCAGCCGGCAGCGGCAGCAGCGGCGCCCGCAGACCGGAGAAGACGGACGCCGTGGCGCGGCGCATGATCGCCAGCGCCCTCGGCGTCAAGGTGCCCCGTATGACGGAGGAGCAACGGGCCTATGACAGGGCCGTCAAGGAGAAGGAGCGCAAGCGTCGGGAGGAGGAGAAGGCTGCCGAGAAGAGGCGGCTGGAGGCCGCCGAGAAGGCCAAGACCGCCATCTGGGAGGACTAGGTAGGGGGAGGGTTGTCCCTGCCTCCTCGCCCATCTTCGTTTCTTTACTCGTTCATATTCGAGGAAGTTGGAACTTTTCTTCTTCTTCTTCTTTCTCTTTCTTCACCTCTTTCCTTTCTCTCATTCTTTGGGAATCTCCAACTCGAGAGGACGGGAGAGGGAAAGCAATACAGAAATGATCAAAAGGTCGACGTAGACCAAAGATGTGACCGCGTGAGATCGCTGTTTTTGTGCCTTTGTAAATATGCACAAAAGGAAAAGGGGGAAGGGGGCGGCGTTGGCTGTTGCCCCCCCCCCCCCTCCCCCCCTCTTCTTTATGTAAATCCAACAGGCTGGGGCGGTTGAAACCACTGCCCATTTGCCGATTCAAACACGCTCTCTCGCGCTCGTCAACGTGGATGGAAAAGGGGGGGGGGGGGGGGGGGGGAGGAAGAAATCAAGGAGTCCACGGCAGGACCGAGATCCTTCGGGGAGGCGTCAGCGCGCCGTGGCGGGTCGGCGGCATTCGCCATACCATGCACGGCAACTCGACAATCTCACGTTCCGCCGCAGTTCACTCATCCTAGGGGGAACCGTAAAGGAGACACTCGTCGGTTTCAAATTTGACCATGTTTCTGTTCTCGTCTGGTCTGGTTCTGCCGTATTCCATCTCGAAAAAGAAAAAAAATTACATCAGCACCCGGATCCAGGAAACCTCCCAAACTCAAACCACCCCCCAACGCCCGTGAACGGACTTGTCCTCTCGTGTCGTTTCTCCCTCCTCGTGGCGTGTCTATATATAAATGACTAAAGCTACAAGTAAGAAGGTAAAATGCAGAGGGGGGGAGGGGATGAAAGAGAGGACTCGATCCAGCACATGCGACGTGGTCTTGTCGTCGTCGGCCTTAGCAACCACCCTCGCTCTCCTCCCCTTGCACCCCCCCCTTTTCCTTTAAGATGCAGTTCATAACCCAGACCCCCGGACTCGCGAATGCTCTGCTATGCTGTTTTGCGTTATGTCGTGCCTTGTACTGCTGTATTGTTTGTGTTTCTGTCTCCACCAAAGTGTTACATGGCCACGCCTGGTGGTTTTATCGAGTATCTCGCGCTCTTCAGCGATCACTGCCCCAGGCCTTGGCCGCTTCGGCTGCCGCCTCGGCGGCAGCGGCCATAGCTCTCGATTCCTTCGCAGCAGCGTCGTCGTCGTCGTCGTCACTCTCATGTTCTGGCTGCTGCGCCTTGGTGATCGTAACGGCGGCGACCGGAGCTGTCGCCTCTTCCTCCTCTCTGTCCGCGTCAGGGGCCACCGGCCTAGTGGTCGTGTTCACCCCTCCGTTCAATCGACCGTCGCTTCCGGCGGTGACCGTGGCTGTTGTCGGCGTCGTCACTTCTGCCGTATCCGCCACGGCGGAAAGACCCTCCTTGGATTGCGGCCGACGGTCCGCCGTGGGGCTCGCGGACATCTCCGACTCTACGGTGCCCGCTGAGAATACCGACTCCGTGTACGAGCCCTGTGTCAGCGGCTGGAAATCATGCCTGTCGCTCGACTGCTTCTGGTTGATGTCCATACCCGCTGATGACGTGGATACCCGTGACCCGGATACCGAGGCCGAGTCCTTGTCGCTCTTGCCAGCCTTGTTAGCGTCCGGCTTGGATTTGCCCCATCCACGCCCCCAACCGTATCCTCCGCCGCTGCTGGCCGTGGTTGGGGAACTACTGCCACTGGCACCGCCCCATCCGGCCTTGCGCTTCTCGCCCGCCCAAGTCACCCACGAGCTGACGTACGAGGAGGCCTTGTTCCCGGAAGACGACGCATTGCCCTGCGCCTTTGCCGCATCCGTGGCTCCGCCCGACGATGCCGCAGATGCGGCAGCGGGCACGCCGGCCTTCTCGGCTTCGGCGGCAGCAGCCTCTGCCGCGATGCGCTGTTCCTCGGCCCTCTTCTTCTGCGCCTCGCGAAAGGCCTCCATGTCGGCATAAAACTTGTTGAACATGTTCGACGCCTTTTCTTTGCCAACGGCAAAGTTCCGCCCGAGGACTTCCTTACCAACGGCAAGGCGTTCGTCAAGATGCATATCTTGGACCTGCTGCGCGATACGGCGCTGGACGTCGTCGATGGTGAGGCCGCCGGCGCAAGGGTGCCGCGGCTCGACGACATCGAAGAGGTGCGAGTCCGTGTTTCCGTTCCATATGCGATAGTTCTCTGTGCGGGACCACGATTCGATAAAATCGCTGCCATAGTCGTAGGATGGGTCGCCCTCGATGTGCGGGAGGAGAGCGCGGGGGTTATTCGGGTTCGCCAGGAGGTGGCTGTGGTACTTGACGGAGGATACGAGGGAGAGGATGTACTCCTCGAACTGGAGGCGGATGAACTCTTCACTACCGACATAGCCCATGGTGTTGGGCCGTTGCGGGTTAGCGTCGTCCCACGTATCATTGACGGCTTGCGTGATGTAGTCGATCCAGCGACGGTCAGCGGCCGAGAGGGCCAGCGAATTTCTGAGGGAGGATGAAGTGACGTTGACAGTATGGTCGTCGAGGTTGATCAAAATGTCGCTGTAGCGGTCTTTTTGTTGCAAGAGAAGTGAATTTGTGCTGCCGACGATGTACGACTTGGTGCCAAAGTCGGCGAGGATGTCGAGCTGCTGGAGGGGGGTATATGGCCCGAACAGACTGCCCTGTGTGCATTGTCAGTGCCTCGAACTCTTCGAGCGGGTCGCGGCAGACGTACCTTGCCAAATATCTGGAGAGGTAGACCCATGTAAGTGAGCAGGGAGTTGCGATCGCTAGTCCGTAGGCTTGTGGGCCTCACCAGCCTCTTCTCGTAGTTGTTCAGCTCCGGGTCGGCGCAGTCGATGAGATTACGAATTAGGCCGGGTATCAGAGAGATTAGGGAAAACTGCATCATGCATAGCCGTTCGCAACGTGATCCAAAGAAGAGCATCTGTGAAAGGTGTCTGGTCAGCTTCTCATCGCACCGAAAGTGTCATATATTTTTTTTTAGCTCTATAGGCTTAACGGACCTTTGGCTGCAGCAGACAGCACTTGAACAGCACTAGCGTCTGCCACTTGAACTCGTGGACAAGCTCTCGCAAGCTCATTCCAAGGTGCTGGTCACGGCTCTCCTCGTCGGTCAGGAAGCCGCGCTCCTTCTCCTCGGCAAGGCTCTCCTGGAAGCGGCGCAGTATCTCCGTGTCGGTAAACTCGCGCTGGGCGAACCACGCCTGGGTGACGACGCTGAGGCGCTCACGCATCATGCCAAAGTGCTGCGGCGTGTCGGCGATGACGACAACGGCCTTCTGGACCGTCGAGCGCGTCACCTCGGCGGGGCGATTGAGGAGCTGAGAGGCGTCAAGCTGCCGCGTGCAAGAGATGCCAAAGAGGGACGTCGCCGGCCCCGTGGCGGTTGCGGGGCGGAGAAGGGTGAAGTAGGAAAAGTCCTCGCTTGACCTGTTTCCCGTCTGTCAGCCGTTCGTCCTCCACATTGCGGCGACCATTGCGGCTGTAAATCGAGCAAAGCCCTGCTGGCGAAGGGAAGGGTGCTACTCACAAATGCGCGCCGTCGCTCAGCGCCATGAAGGGCAACAAACCCCAGTCATACTCGACCGCCGGGTCGACGCCCTCCGCCGCGCCGAACCACAGCTCGACTTCGGGTCCGCGGGCATGGTGGAAGTCGACAACCGTGACCAAAGGTATAAAGCCGGGCTTAGCCGGCGTCGAAGGCATTGTCAGGGGTGTAACAGCGCCGGACGTGGGCGTCGCAACCTCGGGGGTGTCCATATTCCCTTTCTCTTCTTCACTCTCTTGAGTTGTTCCTTGTCACACACGATGCAGCATGCGCCGAGTTCACTAGCTTCCGCACGTCTTCGAGATGGGTATTCCTCCGCAAACTGTACAGTGGTCCACTGATATTCTCAGGCTGTGTTCGTTTTTTTCCAGCTCCCTTGGCGCAACGGGGCCCACTCCTACGACATTGCCATGTGCTCCTTTCTCGTCGGTTATTTTTATCGCTTCAAGTGCCCCTTCGGCTCCGTTGCACGTTTCGTCGCAAGTTCGCCGGACGTGGGTCGCGGCGTTTCCTTGTCGTTCGTCGTTTTTGGGGGGAGGGGCCAAGCAGACGAAGAGCTATTCTCCTCGAGGTCGGGCGTTCGGGCGATGAGCGCTCCTTTTGAGGAATCTCCCTTTAGAAAAAAGGCGAGGGAGGGGTTCTGGTATGCTCTGACGTAGAATCGATTTCCCGTCCACTGAGAAGAGGGGTACTTTTGAGACAAACCAGGCTGGGTGCGAACAGGTATCCAAAAGGTATTAGCAGTTGGAAAGGCTTAGACCGCAGAGAACATCTGCTGGTGATTTAAATCGCAGGCGTTCTGCTCGGCGTATTTCTATACCGTCGGGTGTTGTGCTTCTCGAGTTGAGAGTTGGCGTGTGCCCCTCGGCGTGGCAAGCGAAAGGGAAAGCTCACGGGAAAGAAAGCGGTGACGGCTCGACTTGTCCCCCTTCAGGCGCGTGCGCGTACGCGAAAAGAGGTGTGAGGGAGTGTGTGTGTGTGTGTGTGTATGTGCTGTAAAAATCGGGTTGCACCACTGCTGGGCAAAGAGTCGAGTCCAGGTCAGTGATTCGTCCGTCGCCTTGATGTTGTGCTGGCGAATTAGGGAAGATGAGGTGGCAATGGCAGTTGTAATAATGTGTGATCGAGGTGCTGTACCCCCGAGACGATGTGTCGAATGGGAGACTCAAGATTCAACACCAAGAGAACAATTCACCGCCTCCTGGGAAAGGACCAGGTAAAAAGGCAAGAAGCGAAGGGGGGATGCGGACGAGAACGAGGACGAGGACGAGAAGAAGGAGGGGGAGAGAGGAAGAGAGGGGTCTTCGAACTCGGATGTTCACAGTGGGTTCGTAGTAGGCTTTGTATTGGACTGGATGCTTTCCGATGCTCAAATGAACTGGGCCCGGGGAAGGAGTGGGTTGTGGATGAGGTGTTGAATTAGTGCTAACGCACAACCTACAGATTGAAATAAAATAAAAACACTAGATAAGGCGATCCTTTATTGCTACTCCTCCCCAATTTTACACTGCAATCTCTACTTACATTATCCTCAGCTTATATCATTCGTACTTTTGAATGCTCCTATGCGCGCCACCACCCCTTGAAATGAGCCAAGCAAGTTCAGGCTAATGCCTGGGACACACGGTCAGTAATGAAAACGAACGACATGTCTCGTCCCACATTAAGAGCGCGCTAGGTTCAGGGATTTGATGTTCGCGAACACGACCGGGGGGAAGAGAAGAGAAAAAAAAAGAAAGAAAGATTGTCGATAGCCCCTCCCCCTCATGCACCCCGCGCAGTGGTAGAATTGAGACCAAGCCCGTACCCTCGTGGCGCTCACTTAAACGAACTTACTTACCTACCTACCTGGGTAGGTAGGTACTGTGTAGTTTACGTCTCTCTCACCGAATGCTGGAAATGTTACACAATCAAGGCCGGAAACCACGTGTGGTGAGGCCAGCTCAGGGTCGTCGAGACAGGTCCAGGGCACCCATACTACTACTACAATATACATGCGCCCTCCACAGCGATCTCGTATTATCCATTGTGAACAATCTTATCGTCTTGTCAGGGGGGGGGGGGGAACAGGACCTCCCGGTCGTACAAGCAAGTAGCCTAACGTTCAAGCTGTAACCGATGGACCGACTTCCTTCCTGCCATCCAGGCGGCTTCGCTTCACACCTCAACCAGCCCGGCGCCAAGCCGTGGCCGGCCCCAAACGTCCGTGATGCAATGCCACCGCCCGTCCGTCTAAACCCTCCAGAGAGAGGGAGAGACACGTCAACCATGCACGACGACCCGCGGTGGGAGGGGGGGAGGAAGAGCACCGACCATGTCGGTCCGCCTCCCGAGGAATACCAAACAAAGTCTCGATAGGTTTTTTTGGGGGTTTGGGGGTTTTCCATCCCGCTCCTTTCTTACTTTCCCTGGCTGGTGTCACGATCAAGCAGAGAGCGCCTCTCCGTCATATCGGAGTGCACTCCTGCCCGTCCCTCATCTTAACCGCACCAGAAATCACACCCAACACAGGCAGGCAGGCAGGTAGGTAGGTAGGTACATACTAGCGAGGCCGGAGGCACGTCAACCTCACCCTCCTCGCCTGGTGGCTCGGCTCACCTCACCTGGATCTCAAAGCAACGCCAGCGTGTCCCGCATTGCATAGGATGGTAATCTTATCCTCTCTCTCACCTCACCTCACCTCACCTCACCTCATACCGCCCCGCCTTTCTCCGTGGCGACTCCCCTCCCCTCCACATCCCATCATGTCCCCATCTTGCTGGAGGATATCTGCGACTCCCGACATGCTCCTGCAAGCGATCCCAACGTATTCCCTTGCCCGTGGCCATCTACAAGCGTCCATATTGCCCTAGACCCGATCGGCGCATCCGACAGGCTCGCGATGATGATAGAAAAAGTCGCCTGTAGCCGTCCGTAGAAGCCGTGTACGTGATCGAGGCGGTCTGCGAGGCACACGCGCTGCTGTGCAACCAAAGTCCACAATCCCCCTTGCCGGGACCTACACCGATCAGCAGAGGCTCTTCCGCCTTGCCAACACTCCCGAAGTTGATCACTGCATGTGGGATAGACGCGTATTTTCGCAATTTCTATTCTTTTTTTGGGGGGAGGTTGGTTTGCTCTTGCCGTGGCTGTCTGCCACTAAGTGTATTCCATCATTATCCCCAAACTCATGCTTCCTTCTCACCCGCCTCGAAAATTCCTGGTGGCACACAACCTCGACGCCCAAGTATGGCCTGCACTTGGTCGCGTCCGTTATGCGGGTTCTTAGGAGGGGCCTTGAAGCTCATAATCGACTTCTACACCATCCTTATGCCGCGCGAGTTTGGTTTCAACCCAGCCTGGAGACCCAGAGAGACAGAGAGAGAGATAGAGAAGGAGAAATCCCAAGAGACATGATGGCAGTAAAGGAATAAAATGAAGGAAATAGAAAAACACCTCCGATATGCATGCCATTCCTTTATATCGCGTATACTGTTGGCCCCTTTGCATAGTCAACGTGACAATGACCGATCCCGTCTTCCGAACACCATGTCAAGTGTGTGAATGTACTGGAAACACGTCCCATCTGGTTTTGCGTGGTATCATGACCTCCTCTCTCCTATTTATCCCCGCTTCGCCCGTAGCACCTTCGTCTATTGCCCGTTGAACTGCTCGTCCATTTGCTGCGCTGACGCGTCAACATTGTGGTAGTCGAGGATCTCCGAGTACCTTCAAGATTCATTAGCAAATGGCTGCAGGTCGAGATTTGTAGGGAACAACGTACATCATGATCTTCCATGTGTCCACGGGCAGGTCGGCATCGTTAAAGCTCCAATCAAACTTCTCTTCGGCAACGGGCTCGTCGGTGGGGTCGTGGTAGGGAGCAAGGTAGTCGTGGGACAGCGCCTCGGTGGCTGTTATGCGCTTCTTGGGGTCGAAGACCAGCATCCGCTCGAGCAGGTCAATGGCGGAGGGGTCGGCATTCTTGAACTTGTTCTTCAGGGGTTGCCTCTCACGCTTGGGGAGGGACTTGACGAATCGGAGTGTCTGGCAGCCAAGTCAGTAATGGGTTCAAAGATGATTCTTGTCAATTGTAACTCACGTTTTCGCTGGCAATGCCATTGATGACATCATCGGGAGGAGTGCCCAGCAACTCGGTGATGATGGAGAACTGGTTGACGTGGTCCTTGCCGGGGAACAAAGGCTTGCCCTCGAGCATCTCGGCGAAAATGCAGCCCGCACTCCAGATGTCGACCTCGACGTCGTACTTTTGCCACGTGAGCATGATCTCGGGGGCACGGTAGTATCTCGTTGAGACATAACCGGTCATCTGAGGGTCTTGGATGCGGGCAAGACCGAAGTCGCAAATCTTCAAATCGCAGTTCTCGTTGACGAGAATGTTGCTAGGCTTCAAGTCACGGTGAACGACGCCGGCCGAGTGGACGTATTTCAGGCCACGCTGCAGTCATGTCAGTTTGCTGATCGCTATCGCTGCATCGGAGTGCATTTCGGAAGGGTGGGGATGTGCATACCATAATCTGATAGAGGAAGTACTGGATGAACTGCTTCTCGAGAGGTCTGGAGGTGAGCAACCTATGCAGGTCGGTGCCGAGGAGTTCCGTAACGAAGTAAATATCCTCGAGGGGGGAAATGAAGATGTCACTGAGGGAGATGACCTGTGGCGGGTGTCAGCGTTTCAATCGACGGGTATGCCCGAAGCAATCAGCGGTAGGTGCGACGTACGTTCTCGTGCCTGAGATGCTTCAGCAGCTTGAGCTCACGGTATGTCCGCTTAGCGAGGACAGGTGTGCTGAAGGGCTTCATGATCTTCTTGACGGCGACATTCTGGTTCGTGAGCTGGTCACGGGCGGAGCTGGCAGCGGGATAGCGCGTCAGCAATTGAAAAGGGAACTTCTCGCGACAATTGCCGTCGAGAGGCATGATGTCTTCTCAAACTAACCAAACGAGCCCGAAGGCGCCCATGCCGACGGGTTGCAAGTCCGAGTACCTCGAGGTGATCTCAAAGGTGGTGCCGAAGATTTGCGCTCTGATGAATTCGGCCATTTTGTGCGGTGATCGATCTACCTGATCGAGAAGGGCTGGTTTCAGAGAGACTCAAAGGTTGAGAGAGGCCGATCTGTCTGGAGTGGATGATTTCAGAGGGATGAGGGGTGAAGTTGGGGAAAAAGCCGGCTGCCGGGAGATGGACCAGTCAAACTACGCTCTTTGCTGGTTCGATTTTGTTGTTGTTGCAGTGGAGAAGCGATGGCAGGAAGCAATCAACTCGGGAAGGGATGAAGAGTTGAGGGAATTCGAGTGTGAGGTTTTTTGCCGATGAGGTCTAGATGTGGATGGATTGTCTGGGATGGATGAGTGGACGGCGACGGGAGCCGGGCTGGATTTGAAAGAGATGCAGCGGCGGCGGGGGAGCGAGCTCAAGGATTTGTTTCGCCAGAGGAGTGGCTGTTTGGCGGGGCGCCTTGGTAGGGTGGACGTGGACGGAGGGAGAAACGGAGGTCGCGGTCGCAGGCGTATGTATATGTACGGGGTGGGCGTGCAAGAACGCGGCGGGGTAAATAGCGGCAGCGAGTGAGAACGCACGTCTGGCTCGATTGTGACGGTGGTGGTTCTGGGCTTTCTGGGATTCTGGAGCAACCTGCGCAAGGTGGCAACGGCATTAGCGAGCCTTTTCTAGCAAGGAAGCAAGCAGCAGGGTGACGGAGAATGGAGAGAGAGACTGTAAGCGGCAGCAAATGCAGCTAGACCAGTAGCAAATAATGGAAACAAGAATTTGGGGGGGTTCCGCCTTTTTTTTTTTTCTTCTTTTCCTTTTCTTTCTCTCCCCTCCCGTTGTCCACGATTGTCTTCCAGTGACGTTTGTGTTTGATCCAGTCCATTTTTTCAACACCCATTCTGCATACCCGTCTTTTGGCACTGCCAAGGATACCCAATTCATAATTGACCATGCCGCGGATGGACGCACTGCAAACTGGGTCTTGTCGGGGTGGGGAATGTGAGGGTGGCAAGGATAGGCGGTCGCCAATGACATGCAAGTCTGAAGCAACGACTGGTGGATTGCTTACCTGTAGAGTTTCCAAGCAGTTGGCGCCTGGGTCAAGAGAGTAGCTATCTCAGTCCTCTGCGGAGCTTATTCGAGCCTGTTCTGTTCCTCTAGAGACGGTTTGCTGTCCTCCTGGGTTTCCGGGCTCGAGTCCGGGCTTGAAAGCTCAAACCAAAAGGTGGCCGTAGTGTCTGGGCGAGCGAGATGGCGGGCGCGCGTGGGGAATGCAAGTAACAAATCCGCACGAATGGCGATCAGTCGCTATTGTCTTCTCTTCTTGTCCGTTGTCACAGTGCGAAGCTGAGATAGAGAGGCAGAGATCTGCACAAGAATAGCACTTGTCGGTGGGCGAGATGGTGCTGTCTGTTCTCTATGATTCGCTCGTGGGGGGGTTGTGATGCAATGTGGACGTTCTCGAAATGCAACCCTCGGGTTCTCTGACGACAAGACTGGAAGAGTGAAGGTCACAGGTGAGTCCGTGGGGGAGAGGACGAGTATGTATGCTGGAGATGGTTTTGAGTAAGAGGGAGAGGGTGAGAGATCAAGCGAGAGGCAGAGCAGGAGGACAACTGGTGGTCGAGCATGGAGGGGAAAAGTACCTTTTAATTGTTCCTGAAAGGGCTGGGCCTAGGAATACCACAGCTGAGGAGGGGGGACACAGAGACGGGAGAATAGGGGGGGTGAATCCATGGAAGGGAATACGGAGGCACACGCTGGTTTGGGCAAGAGAGAGAGTAGGCGTGGGAGCAACCACAGTTGAGCGAGAGACGGAGAGGTTGCGCGAAGAGAAAGCGTAAGGGAGGAGAGTGTGAAGCTGCTGCTGCCGCTGCAGCTACCGCCCCGCTCCCAAGGAGTGTGAGCCGGGGGGGCGGGGGTTGCTGCCGCTGAGTGAGATGTGCTTGGGTATTGGTGGGGAGGGGTGTGTGTTTGGGTGTGTGTACGTCGTGTACCTCCCTGGCAGGAACGGTGGCTTGTCCAAGACGGGCACACTTAACCGCAAAGGGTACACCACGTACGGATAAGGCCAGTAAGCAGGCCGCATCAACGGCATCTGACTGGACGGTCGGCCAACGTTGGAAGGGAACCGTCTAGCACGAACCCACCGAACAGGCGCTGTTGCAGGTATCTACATGCTACCGTACCCAGCCAAGCAGAGGAAGGAAATGAAGGCAAACTGTAATGAGATGAGACGCGAGACCATAGCCTCGAACGAGAGCATACAGGGAAGAGACAGAAAGGTAAGAAGAAAGAAAAAAAAAAGTGTCGAGCCGAGGCATTTCGGGCAGACCGCAAGACTCGATGAGGCTGAACCTTCAAGTGTCTGAAGTTGCGTGTTTGTGTCGGTGCGTTCACGGAAGGCAGAGGGAGGGGGGAGAGAGGATGTCACCGAGATACGGTTACAAGAAAGTGAGATATCCCAAATGACCGAGAGACAAGAGCCCACCGACGGTGTATCACGCAACGGGATACGGAATGGCCTACGCATCAGCGGCACCGCCGCGTATCTCAGTCCAGCTCACTACGGCACCCGAGCTGGGGAATTCTTCTCTTTCCACAATGCCATGAGAGGGATGGGGGAATGATGGCTGCCTCACTCGACTGGCGCAAACGGCCCCCAAGCGCCGAACGGCCCGGTAGGCTTGGATGTTTCCCGTCTTGGCCCTATCGCGACCGGCAGGCAGGCAGCATGTTAAGAAGCGGATCGAGATGATGGAGGGATACCGCAGTAAGAAGAAGATAAAAAAATAAAAATAAAAGGGGACAAGGCACGAATGAAAAGCACGGAGACCAAACAGAGAACATGGGGTTTTGCGTCTTCTGGATCCCTTGGGCCATCGGACATTCATTCGATCATAGGTAATCGACGATACGATGGGCCAGCAGCATAGTTGGTTCTCAGAAACAGTTCCAGCCTTTTTTTCCCCCCTAACACACGCCACATATCCTTTCCCGTTCTTTCCCGCCGAAGATACCAAACCATTGATGTTGTCGTCGCTGTCGTCGTCGCCCCCAATGTCAATGTCGTTACCAAGCCTGACCGATCAAGCAAGATTTGGCCCATCACCCTGGCCGAGTCTGGTCAACAATGCCATGTTTCGCTCGACGCGTATTTCCCCCCCCCCGTTTCCCAGTTTGCCGTTTTGCCATTCCCAACAGAACCCTGTCTGACCATCACATCCGACCCCCCCTCCCCCTCCCCTTCCAGCCTCACCTCACAAGACGAGACGGTAAGCGTCTTTAGAGTTGACCATCTTTACGGTGTGGCTAACCGCACGCCCCCTTTTCGCTTTCCCACCGGTCTCCGGCTTCAGGGATGCTCCCTTGTACCACCGTGGTCGATCAACCCTCTTGTTCCCGGCATCATGGATTCAGGACACCCAGAGCTTGAGCTTCACCCGATTCTTGTCGCGGCAATGCGTCCATGGTAAGCCTCAGATGTGTGCCTGCCTCTGCGCGTCCAATTCCCCATGCTGTTGCAGATCCAGATTCGCCATCCGGTGCGGCATCTCCGGCGCGTGCCTGTGCATCGCGCATGTTCTATCTAATCAACCACGCATAACCGTCCTCGGGCATGAGCTGTCCTCGTAACGTACCCGGTTTCTTCACCGTTTATTGTTGGCCTTTTCGCCTGCCACATGGGCTGGATTTCTTCGCCGCCGCCGCCGCCGTACAACCGCTTCTCACGGCTCCTCTTCTTGCAGTCCGAGTAGGACGGGAAACCAGTTTCGAAGGGGAAAGGGGAGAAAAAAAATCCATCCCACGAAACCCACCGTGTCCTATGACGTCATTATGCGATCGCATCGAGATGGTGCATGGGCATGGGAACTTTCCTCTGTCGTGTCGCGTTGACGGGCCTGCGGCAAGAGAGGGTGGAGTAGAGGGGGGGGGGGGGGGGGGGGGCGTGTGTTCCGTCCCGCTACACTAGCTGCCCCTGCTAGCCCTGGGCTCTTGTCAAGTTTAGCGTGCAATAAGGCGATCGCGGCTCACTGTCCGAGGTGCGCATCTACACTAACAAAGATGCCGTACCGTTCCCACGGTTGACAGTAGCAAAAGCTACCTAGGGGACACTAACGCCGTCCGATCAGTGGTCTAGACCTTCCCATCCTCCCCTAAGCGAACATCGACGTCGTGGGCGAAGATCGAGAACTAAGAAAACGGTGCCGCATCACGCACACCCTTCAGCATGGATGGCGTCTACCTTAGCACGGCAGCAGGATCCCTCCCCCTTCCCAGGTGCCCAAAATTTCCGTCACGAGGGCTCCACGGAAGGCACCACAACAGCCGCATGTTCCAGGCTGGTCTGAACGTGTCCGACCTACTGTAGCTGGATATATGTCCGCGTCGCATCAACAGAGAGCGCCAAAACTGAGCGGATCCCATTTTGAGAAAACGGCGCCCTCCCGAGGAATGGGCAATCAATCCGTGCACAAAATTAATGCTAATACCTAGGAGCCGCTCAGCTGACCCGGCCAAACCTCTCCTAGGCGACCGCCAGAAATTGTCGATGCCCATGTTCGACCTTGCTATCTGCATGTCTGGGTTTTGGCCCGTAAAGGAGGGGATCTCGATTCCGAGCGCCGCAGGCACGTCAGAGTCGTTGATCCATCCTCACTTGACAGGAGGGTTTCCTTCAAGAACAAGTTTTTGTTTTGTTTTGGTTATCTATTCCCACTCCGAACGGTGGCAGCAATTTTACAACCAAGTCATGTAATTTTCGGCAAGGCAGAAAGAGATAACGGAATCATCATTGCGCCTCTGCTGTTGAGCCCCGTGGTACGTACTCTGTAGCATCGCGCCGATCTGCTTACAAAGAAGAGAAGGGGAAAAGATGGATCAAAAAAACTAAATCGGGTGTGGAACCATGGGAGAAGGGACAAAAAAAAAAAAAAAAAAGGCAAAACAGACTTCCATAGCGATTACCTTCAACACCCGTCATCATGGTGTAAGAACCATGGCAGGGGCGGGATCAAATTGCTCCCGCAGAGTCAAGGAAGCTGGGCAATTCGGGGAGAGGGCTGACATGCCTTGTCTGCGCCCTGGATACCCACTGCGCCGGATCTCGAGATTGGACCCTTCCCGCTTTAGGAGGGGGAGAGAGCGAGAGAGACAATCCAGGGATCAACCCGTGAACGCCGGTTTTGCCGATGCTGATCTCGAGCTGTAGGTATTCGAAGGGGAAACGAAGTAAAAAAGAGTAATTGGGTTGAACCCATCAGAAGGAGATGGATGGCGTGGGGACTCCTCTTCTCATCGCGTGCGTATACTCTCGCAATGCTTAGGGACCGCCCCCCTCCTCTCCTTCTCTAAGTTGCGCCCCGGGTACCGGTACCAATCTGACCCGTCCCGTTTTCGATGCCCTCGCTACCGGCCCTGGTGCGGGGTTGTTGTTTTTTTCTTTCTGTTGTTTTTTTCTTTCTGTTTTTATTTTTATTTTTATTCTCCAATTTCCGCCTGCCGTCAGGAGCCGTACAAGTTATAAGGCCGAAGCCCGGGGCAGGCCGGCAGACCGGCCGGCTGACGGCTTGGGACCGGTCGGACGTGCGTCTGCGCCGCAACTGATCGAACCAAAGTAACAGCAAAGATTTAAAAAAGGGAAAACAAAGAGGTGCTACCCTACCCGGAACATATTCACACGAGGTAGGGGAAAAGCCAATTTCAACCATGATCAAACTGGCTCCCTTCTCCCACAACGCATGTAACTTTAACAAACAAACAAAAAAAAAATCGAAGAAAAAAAAGGGGGGAGGGGAAGAAATAAAGAAAATGAAGAAGAAAAAAAGGAGCCGAAAATAACCTCCAGAGCACGAATCATTCCATCGTCCGAGTCAGAGTCAGAGTCGGAGTCGGAGTCCTCGTCTCCTTCCCTTTCCCCCTTTACGGTCACTCCTCGCCCGCGTCCGGTCCGCTCTCGGGGAAGACTTACACGCCCAGAATAACGGTGGTCGGGTCCAGGGACCAGGCAGAGAGAGACGGAGGGGGGAGGAAAAAAGGAAAACGAAAAATAAACTGCCCGCCCCCAATCCTCCCTACCCACCCGCCTGCCTCTCTGCCGTTCCTCTGATGTCATCCTGCGTCCTACTCCGTCGCTTTACCCGGCAGGGCTAGGGGGAGAGGGTGCCATTTAGGTTGGTCCCTTGGTCCCCCGAACAGGGAAGACGCGTATGATAGGCAAGAACGAAGAAGCTCTTGATTCAAGAAAAAAGCAGGGTCCCGATAATGACGACAAAACCGCAACACCTCTCTCCCCAGAACTGTGCTGTCCCGCTCCGGGAACCGTCCCGGCGCGAATCCAGCCCCCCAACTGCCGTCGGAACACCGTACCTCTACGTGCCACGCCATATACGTGTCCAGGACGCGCAGCACCGTCTTTACCGGTAGTAGTGTACCTAGTGTACGGTCGATGTAGGTAAGTCGACTAACACCCGTGGCCGATCCGAAGGCTTGCTAAGTCTGGAACCCCCTCATGCGGCAGTCGCCCTTCCAAAGTTCCAGAACAACTGGACAGAGACGACATAGAACGGACGAATCACCTCAGTCTCTCCCTTGTTTCTTATTTTCTTTCCCCCTTGGGAGACTTTGACCGCCCTTTTAGCTTACGTCCTCGCGGGAACTTAAGGGTTGTAACCCGGGAACCGTACCAGATCCCTTTTCGGTTCCTCCCCCCCCCTTTCACTTCATGGCCCTGTTTCGACCTGTTATGTGCTGAGGTGGGGTTTGTCATTGCCGTCCTGAGGAGCCCACCTTGCGGAATAATGACGTCATTTCAACCAGTAGTGCTCCATTGTTTCCACCCCTGTCCAAACGTTCATGTCGTTCCGTCGCATTTCCACTCGTTACCCATGCTCCGTTTCTTGTTATGGCCGTTCGAGACTGTTCTTGATGGTCGTTGGGGGCCAGGCACCTTAACACACGTGGATGCACACACACACACACACACACACATCAAGCAAACCCGTCGACTTCACCAGGCCTCGAACTTTTGTGTAGGATCTCGGTCTTGGATTACTCGCATAGCGTATACAAAGAAAAATATTATCCAGCACTGTTCGTTTGTCCAGCGCCCGTCCTAGGTGTTAAAGTGCAGTAGGTAGGTAAGGACTCGGTTCCGTTCGCGCCTAGCCAGCCAGTCGATGTCTAGGCCGTTTTGAGCCGTCTGTCCCCTCTCGTCTCCGTAGCGCCCGGGTCTAGTCTAGTCTAGTCCTCCACCTTGAGAGGCTCGACGTTCCAGATCTCCTCGGCATACTCGTTGATGCAGCGGTCACTGCTGAAGAATCCCATGCGAGCCACGCTGGTGATGGACTTGGTGATCCACTCTTCCTGGTTCTTGTACGCCTCGTCCACAAGGTTGTGAGTCTCAATGTAGCTGTTGAAGTCGTCCGAGACGAGGTAGTAGTCGCCATGGTCACGGACGGCCGAGATGAGCGCCTGGAAGTCCGACACGGAGCCAAACGTACCGCTCTCAATCGCAGAGAAGACCTTGCAAAGATTCTCGTCGATGGAGTGGGTTCCGTAGGTGTGGGCATGACGGAGATCCTCAACGTCCTCGGCAAGGTTGCCAAAGAGGAAGATGTTGTTCTCGCCAATCTCGCGAGTGATCTCGATCTAGGCCGGTGTTAGCAACGATCATCCAACCAGTTCCGTACCGCCGGGTCACTCACGTTGGCGCCGTCGCACGTGCCAATAATCAGGCCGCCGTTGAGCACAAACTTCATGTTACTGGTACCCGAAGCCCTGCAAGGCTTGTTAGCTGCGGACGACCCCGTCAGTCGTGTTGGGCCACACTTACTCAGTACCGGCGGTGGAGATGTGCTCGCTCAGGTCGGAAGCGGGAATGATCATTTCGGCCTTGCTGACGTTGTAGTCCTCGAGGAAGATGACCTTGAGCAGGTCGCCAATGTCCTCGTCCTTGTTGACAACGGACCCGACATTGTTGACCAAGTGAATGATTTGCTTGGCCATCCAGTAGCCGGGCGCCGCCTTTCCGCCAAAGATGGAGACGCGCGGCGCCACCTTCTTGCGATCCTCTGGCGACATGGCCTTGAGGGTAAGGTACCGGTGGATGACACCAAAGATGTTCATCTGCTGGCGCTTGTACTCATGAATCCGCTTGACCTGAACGTCGAAGAGCGCCGCGGGGTTGACGCTGACGCCGGTCGTTGTCTTGATGTACTTGGCTAGGCGGATCTTGTTGGCGTACTTGATCTCGGCCCATTCCTTACGGAACGCCTTGTCGTCAACACTGAGCTCGAGCTTGTTGAGCTGTGTCAGGTCCTTGAGGAACTCGTAACCTCCCGTCTTGGACGCGATGAGGTCCGACAGCCGGGGGTTGGCCTGGTGCAGCCAACGTCTCGGGGTGATGCCGTTGGTGACGTTGGTGAACTTGTCGGGGCCGTAAATGTTGACAAAGTCCTTGAAAATGGTGGTCTTGATGAGGTCGGAATGCAGCTCAGCCACACCGTTGACCTTGTGGGAACCGACGATGGCCAAAAACGCCATGCGAACCATCTTGGGTTGCGACTCCTCGATGATGGAGACCCTGCCGAGGATGTCGCGGTCGTTGGGGAACATCTTCTCGACGCTCTGGAGGAAGAACAGATTGATGTCGTAAATAATCTGCAAGTGCCTGGGAAGTAGGTGCTGGACCAATCCAACGGGCCACTTCTCCAAAGCCTCGGGAAGAACTGTGTGGTTGGTGTAGCCGAACGTGCCGGTGACGATGTTCCACGCCTCGTCCCAGTCCAGCTTCTCGAGGTCCACGAGGATGCGCTGGAGCTCGACAATGGCGAGAGTGGGATGAGTGTCGTTCAGCTGAATGGCCACCTGGTCGGGGAACTCCCTCCAGGGACGTCTGGACTTCTTGAATCGACGGACGATGTCGTAAAGAGACGCGGCGCACCAGAAGTATTGTTGTTTCAGGCGAAGCTCCTTTCCGCGCTCGAGGTTGTCGTTGGGATACAAGACAGCACTGATGGTCTCGGCGCGCTGCTGGTCGGCGACTGAGTTTTCGTAATCGCCGCTGTTGAACTTTTGAAAATCAAACTCGCCGCTAGCAGCCTTGCTGGACCACAGACGCAGGTTGTTGGTAGAGGTTGTCGCATATCCGGGAATCGGCACGTCGTATGCCACGGCGGTAACGGTCTCGCCGCCCTCCCAGCTAGCGACGGTCTTCCCGTTGGAGTCTGTCGACTTCTGGACGTGACCGAAGAATTGGATCTTGGGGGCTGTTAGCACTGTCTCAACAGCGTGCTTCTGGGCCGATTCAACTTACGTCCACGGTAACATCGTGGCGAGGGAACTCCCAAGGGTTGAAGTCCAGCCAGTAGTCGGGGACCTCGACTTGGTACCCGTCGATGATCTCCTGCTTGAAGATACCGTATCTGTACCTCAGTCCGTAGCCCCAGGCGGGGAAGTTGAGGGAAGCCAGACTGTCAAGGAAACAGGCAGCCAATCGGCCAAGACCGCCGTTTCCGAGTGCAGCATCGTGCTCCTGCTCAATAACGTCCTCGATGCGGAAACCGAGGTCGTCAAGGCCAGCTGCGAAGCTATTAGCATCACCGGCTCTCTCCCAGGGCCTTGTCGTCACTCACCCTTGGCGACGTCCTTCAGGCCCACGTTCAACATGGCGTTGTCGAGGGCGCGACCCATGAGGAACTCGAGAGAAAAGTAGTAGATACGCTTCCCGTCGACGGTGGTCTGGCGCTGCTGAGTCTTGTTCCATTCCTTGACCAGACGGTCACGGAAGGCCAAGCTGGCGGCCGAGTAAGCGGCCGTCTCATCGCAGTTGAACATGCTGCGGGCCAGGGTGGTCTCGACATGGCGGACAACCTCCTTTTCGAACTCCTCCTTGCTCTTGAAAGGGCTGATTTGAGCCTTGGACCATGCCTCGCGCTGGGGCTCTGGGATTGAAGCTATTAAAAGGGAGTTAGCTGTGCGGTTCCATCGATAAGGTAGCTACCCAACTGGTGCAAGAGAAGGATGATGTGCGACAGGGCATGAAGACGAAGCTACTGGGTCCATGTGGCGTGATGGAGCTCGCGACGATCAGTGCGGGGTATTTGGGCCTGGGCCTGAGAGCTGCCCCGCCCTCGACGAGCTCCACGAAAGCTGCTGTGAGAGCTCACACGGGATCGTGCAACTGAGAAACTGGAAGGAAAGGAATACCAACCCTCGACGCTCTTGATCTCTCCAGCACCGAAACCGGTAAAAGTTCTCTTGTGCTTGGGGCGGGAAACGCCAGCCGGGCCGACGGAGCCCTGGATGTCGATGATGGGCGCACCCGTGGAAGGACGTCGCTCGCGCACGGGAACGCGCTGCGGTTCCGTGGATCCCGACATATTCGTGATTGATTGGATACGCTTGCAACAGTGGATCAGAAACTTGGAAGCTCAATTGGCACGATCTTGAAGCTCGACTGTTTGGTGAGAACGTCAGCCGTCCTGCCAGCTACGAGAGATTCCTGAAGGGAGAATAGAGAAACCGAAACAGCACTCGGACGTAACGAACAACGAGTGAGGGACAATGGGGCAGGGGACGGAGGAGGAGCTCCAGACTCGTTAGCATGCGGAGCAAACGGGACGTACGTCAAGGATATTGGCGGGGAGAAGAGCGGGGTGTTTGGCGTGCCTGAAGCTCAGCCCACCACTCGCGGCCGGGAAACTCAGTCAGCCCAGCACGCACCAACGAAAACGAAGCGCCTCAGCGGAAGAGTATGGAACTGGTGCTCGGCGACTGGAGCTTTTCTAGATGGCGATTAAGGTTAGATGGCGTTCCCGATGTGATTGGGGCTCAGTGACTGTCCAAGGGCGACGTACGGCGGTAGATGCAGATAGAAGTCGAGCTTGGCACACAGGAGGAGGAAGATGTACGTTACGAGGGCAGCTAAGAGGGTAGACACGGAGGCTTCGCAGATGAGAGAGGGAAGGGGGAAGGGGAAGGAGGGGTAAAGCAGAAGAACGAAAGATCAAGAGCCCGTGAAGTGAGACGGGGTAACGGCAGCTTATGAAAGAGACGGGCAGTCAAGCAAGGGTACGTCGGTGGTATATCTCAGTCAGCCATGGCATGTTGGGTTGCCATGCCGCAAGAAGAGGAGAAGGAGGAGGAGGAGAGGTACTTCCTCGATTGGATGTTGGATGAGAAGCTACCCTGCTGTAGCTCTAGCTAGCTTATTGAACCTGACATCGAGATGGATGGAAGGTGCTGGGGTGTTGGGGGGGGCATGGGCGTAGCATAGCATGGCACAGCATGGCACAGCATGGCACGGCATGGCAGATACGCATGGCCTGCATCGAATTGATATTGCATAAGGCAAAAAACAAAAACAAAAAAGGACTTCCCCCTCCTCAAAAAATCCAGCATTGACTGCCTCTGCTACGTTGAATAAGGAAGGTATGGAGAGGCAAGTCTCTGGCCGGTCTGACAACCCGCACACACCAGAAGTTCGATATGGGGCTCCGGTTCCCGAGTCCCCATGCTCGTGTCTCCATCAAGGTCGAATTCAGGGTGTCTGGCCACCCGGCCTGGGCTATCTGCCCGTGTACGGAGTAGTGTACCCAGATATGCGCAGCAAGACACCCCTCACTCTGAAAAAGGAAACCACCTAACATGGCCTTACTTTGTGGTCATCGTAAAAGGGCGAAACCAGAGCATGCAGCAGCGAAGTAGTCCGGCTTGTTGCTTGCTGCCGAGCCATCAACAATGCGGGGTGACGCGCGGTGAGCAGAGCACCCCAGCAACAGCAGTAGCCTGGCGGCAGCAATGCTGTCGTATCTTCCATTCGAGTCTCCCGACTGGAGCCATGGCACCCCGAGGTGGCGCATCCGCGCAAGGAGAACATGGGGTATGCGTCTCGCTCGGCTCATGCGCGAAGTACGAGGTAAGTGGCACACAATTCGTCGGCTACCTAGGATGCGGTGCTTCTTCCCCATTCGCGAGCCCTTCTGCAACCAAGACGCTTAGCGCAGCTGTGGCAGCTGCCGCCCTAGTAGTGCATCAGAATGGCGGCGGCACTGACACCAAAGCTGGCTCGACTCGGCCATTTGCAAGTGTAAAGTGTGCTATACATCATTGGGGTAAGCTAGGGAACGGCGAGCTTCGGGAATGCCCACCGGGTCCCGGCAACCCGCTGCACTCGCTCTACTACCGGTATGTTGGTGCACCAGCACAACTCGACTGAGACAGTGGCCCGGCCTTCTCATCTTGGGGCATCTTGGGACATTTTGGGGAAAGAGAGTTCGGCGGCAGCAAATCTCGAACCGCTTCTCCGATGAGGATTGCCGACCCCGTGTAAGTCGGTTAGTAGTACTCCGTAATCAGCACGGCAACCACAGAATCATTCCTGCCTGGTGCCGTCAACTATCTCCCCACATGCCTGAGACCCTCTTTTCCTTTCTCTCCCAATGTCTCTGGATTCTGCCGTGGCATGCATCACCAACCGCAACACCCCGTCTCCTCATCCCACCCAAGCCTCTCCACAATCGACCGGTGAACAGCCAAGACATGAATATGTCGCCATTCCACCATGCCCGGCCGCCTCCCGGGTGCGGTTACGAGACATACTAGCCCCTTTACCTACCCTACCCGGCGACTCACCCTCCCCGAGGTGACGAGACCTGTTGTACCCAACCAACGAGTCACGCCTAATTTACACAGCAACCCCCTCCCCCCCCCACACCAAAGTCCCACAACAAAATGGACCTCCTTCTTACTGCTCTCTGACACGGCGCCAAATTGCCGCCGCTGAATCGCCTGGGGTAGAACCTTGCGGAGCCACGGAGGGCACTGGGGGGGCGCCTGGGGGGCTGGGGGCTGGAGACCGGAGATCTTTTCCCACGTTGATAGAATGGAACAGAACTCCGCCCACCCCGAACATGCCGTCTGAGCTCCTTCTCCTCCGTCCTTGCCCCCCCCGCTGTTCTTCAGCGCGGCTCTCTCTCTCTCTCTCTCTCTCTATGCCTCCAGTATCCGACCTCTGTTAACAAACCACCCCCTTCCCCCACAGCAGCCAGACCTTCCATGTATCCCTCGAATCCGGGCTCAAAACGCAATGTCCTCACTGTCTCCATTCCCATGAGACCATTCTTCTTGAAGCCACTAACCCAACCTTCTGTGCGAGCATGCAATTGGCCAGCCTAGACTCCTCTCCTATCCACCCCTACCCCCGCCCCCCTCAGCAGAATTACAAACCCAAAGACAAATACAAAAAAAAAGCACGGACGCCCCAAACACAACCAACCCACTGGCGTTGGACAGCGACTGACAGCACCATTCTTTCGTCTTCCGCATCTCGCGCGCGCGGACTCTTCTCCGTCTGATGTGACAGAAATACTCACAGACTCGGGATATGTGTCTATGTGTGTCTTAACGTGCTGGGAGAACCGGATGCGCCGCGTCCAGCGTGCATAGTCTTGCGAAATTAATACAATGTAGTCTACAAATTAACAAGGAAAATTCATCAATGCTAGGCCTCAAGCCCGAGCTCGACGTTCCTCTCCCGCGGGAGGGAGATGGATGTCTTCCTTTCTTCCATCTCTCCGTTCTTCATCGTTCCGCCAGCCTCGGGGCCGATCCGATCGGCCCTCTAGTCAAGGTTACACTCAACCTCTGGACCTCAACCCGCCCCGTCGTCGAGCCACCGGGCCGGGTTCTGTTTCCGTACATCATTGCGTTGCACACAAATTCAGGCGCATGGCTGGATCCCGCATGGAGAGATATGCTTCATTTGGCTGTCGCAACACTTCCCAGCAATCAACCAGCACTCCCCCATGCTCCTTGATTCTTTCGAGATGGCCGGATTGCTGCTTGCCTCGGTTTACTCCATCCATGTCCCGAACGTCAGTCCCAAACGAATGGTCCGTTCATCACTTCGTCTTCGAACTTTCCTTTCCCAACATCATATTCCATCCAGACCGCGGCCAGCATACCTTTCGCCCCAAAAAGCGCCCGCGCGCAGACCTCTTCTCTTCACCAACACCCAGTTTCCTCGTTTGGGCGACAGCAACCGGTGGCGAATGCACCTCTTATGTAGCAATTGATTCCATGATGCAGAAGGAAACTGCCGCTGTCGATCCCAAGCCACCACCCGACCCGTTCGCTCGACCGTACCGTGTCAAAAACGAGCGTAGAAACCAGAGTGAACGCCGTCCAAACGAAGTGCCACCCACAACGCCCGGCAATGCTGTTAAACGCTGACCCGCAACAGAGGAGATGAATCTAAACATTAAGAGAAAAGAAAAGGAAAAAGAAAAAAAAATGGCGATCCAAGTCGATTCGGTTTCATAGAATTCCAGAGTCCCGAAGAGCGTTGTTTAGAATCGTCTCTTTAACTGCCGCAAACACGAGTCGGATATTTGATGTATCGGTTGCTTGAGTCAGGCTATCGTCCTATTAGTTCTCTGACCACCAAGATAGACAGTGGCGCTCATCACTTACTGGGGATATAAGTTAAGATGTGCCCGGTTGACCTGGTTGAACCTCCAGAGCAAATATTTGGCCGCCTTGTTGACATCGTTGCCACCAGAGTAGTCGGGGAAGTAATTGCCTAACGGTGAGCGTCCAAGTTTTTGTTTGAAAATATCCACCTTGTTCAGAAACAAGATGATGCTGGTGCGCATGAACCATCTTGAGTTCACCACGGAATCAAACAATAACAAGCTTTCCATCATTCGGTTCTATAACTGTTAGTATCCGGGACCACATCAGTTGCACAGGATCCTGGGTCCATACCTGGCTAGACTCCTCGAGCAGGACTTGGTCGTATTCGCTGAGAGCAACGCAGAAGATGATGGAAGTGACGTTTTCAAAGCAGTGAATCCACTTCTTCCTTTCGCTTCTTTGACCGCCCACGTCGAACATGCTGCGACAATGTTAGCTTCCTCCGAGGGCTTGCACAAGTCTTCACAGAGTCTCACTGTATGCTGAGCTGGCCCATCTGAAATCTTGTTTCGTAAATGCCGGTAGTTTTAGTTCTGGCCCTGAGAACATCCATCTCGTTGGGGAGATAGTCTGGTGAGACGATGCGCATGACCTCTTGGAAAAAGCTGATGCAAACCAACTGGTTAGCTGCCACTCTGATCAATCAATCTGCAGGGGCCAAACGGGAGAAACCGACTATTCTGCCGAATCCATCAGATAGAACTCTGTCTGTCTGTCCATGAGCTGCTCTCTTGCAGGATCGCTCCATATCGACTGGATGGCAACGCCGATTTGGGGGTCGATGTGTGCCTGGGGGCCCGACTCGGCCATGTATTCCAGGAGGTAGGTAGCATAGGCCTTGTTTGCCTCGATTTGGGGCTCGATGTCGAACTGTCGCATCGCCTGGATCACTGCTTTCGCGCATTCTACCAGGTTCTTAAAAACTGTCGGCCGATAGTTGTAGAGCTCGTCTTCCGAGTAGCCTTTCAAATGAATAATCTTCATTTGTTTGACGATTGTGGATTTCCCGCTTTCTCCAGAGCCTGAGGACTTGTCAGCATGCCCGGGTCCCGGAGCTGCAATTGGGCGGCGACGGGCGGGATGAGAACGTACCGAGCAACAGAATCTTGCATTCTCTGCGTAACCTTTTAGAGTCTTCTTCCAATTGTCGGTCAATCGCCTGGCTCTTTTTCTTCTGCTCGACCTCCTCATTATTCGAGCTCATACAGGCACCCATTTTGACGGGTGTGGCGAGGCTCAAGTGGAGCCGTCGTCCGTAAGAGTGATGCGAAAGGGAAGGCGTTGGTGGTGCCTCGAGTCTAAGGGGCTCAAAGGTCCGGAAAGCGAAGCGGCGTATGTTCTCCCAAAGACTGCACTTTAAATGCCCATAGTAATATTAGCCGATAACTCGCGATAACTCGGAATGGTGAGTATGTCACAAGGCCGGGAAGGGCGGGAGGGCGGCGTGGTCGGATGATGAGGCGGTTCGTCGATGGGTACTCGGCGGCAAGGTAACGCAAGTTCGTTGGGGTCGACGGGCATCGGCCAAGGACCAGTCGGTGACAGCAGTCGATAATCGAGGACAGAGGATGTTTTGTAATCGAATGTCGGCAGGCGTAAGGATGAAGGGACGAGGAGCTTCAACCTTGGAGATCGTGGGAGGGCGGAGGCTGTCGAGGGAGATGGGTGACGAAGAACGAAAGACGAGAGAGTGCGACCGACACGGCGGGCGAGGACAGTGTCGGAGGAATAAATGTGGGTATCACCAGGACTTCGATAGGCGGGCGGATAAGTGTAATTGGGTGCGGCACACACTACCTAAAGCACCGACCGATGTATGTATCTTTTGGTAGGTACCTAGGTACCTAGCAGCACACCCGGCAAAGGGTGGAGGCAGGAGCCTTGTTGGGTCGTCGGCTGCCCCAGGTGTCGCAGGGCGTGCGCAACACAGACAATGATTGTGACTAGGATCAACCAGGGCTGGGCTGTCTTGGGGGTCTGGTCTGGTCTATCAAGTGCCGACGCGACGGGTCGTAAGGCACAGAAACACGAACAAGAGGGTGGAATATTGTAATGGGAAACTCGGAACATCCGGAAGATGGAGGGCGAGAAAATAAGAGAGGGAAAGGAAAATGGGAATGGGAGGGAAGTGAGAGGAGAGGGGGGTGTGTGGCTACAGGGGAAAAGGAAAGCCGTCGAGCGGGAAAGTGTAAAATTGAAGCTGGTTGGTGGCAACAGAGCAAAGTCGCAAGAGCAGGCAGACAGACAGAAGAGCGGCGGTAACTTTGTAACCACAGTCCGCTGGAGACAGACAGACAGACAGACAGACAGTGACCAGGAAAAGGATCGGTGTGTAAGAAGCAGCAGGCAAGGAAGTCACACACCTCCTACACTACTACACAGCCAGCCCAGACAGACACGACCTCCTTCTCCTCCGCTCTGGGGCCCCTACTTCATTTTCGTCTTCAGATGTACACAGTTGCAGTGGGTACCTATGATACGGCATGCGGCGCGGGTGACAGGGCAGGGACACGTTCCCAGCTAACCAGCGCACCATTGCAGCAGGCCCAGTTCAGTCGGCAAGGCCAGGGCGGCGGCGGGTGCGGTTGCGGGTGTGTCGTGGTGTGTGTGTATGTGTGTGTGTGTGTGTGTGTGTGGACCGGGTATGAATGGGTCTTGTGCGTACCCGTATAGCATGTGTGCGTCTGTGGACGGACTCGGCCTCTTCGACCGACCTGGACTGGTCTTGGCTCTTCCGGAGGGGGAACAGGCCGGGCAGTGTGGTGGACAGACACGACACGAGCAAGAAACAAACTCGAGCGAGCGAGCGAGCAAGGATCGGGGCCCTGGGAGCGACAGCACGGAACGACGGAATGGAAATGAATGAGTGACTGAATACGCAGTCGTCAGCACGGAGCTGGCCTCTTGGAGGCCTTGCCCGTCTAGCCCACGGCGCATGGCATGCAGGAGAGACATGCTGAGGCTGGGTGCCGATAACCAAAAAGTAGGCGTCTGCTTTGGGGCATCGAAGATGGGTGGCTTGCGACGGCGTTTGATGAGGGACGTCGCAAGAGTATAATTACGCACACGACGATCGATGGCCTTGTCGACGACGACCAAGTTCACCTCAAAGCCCGCGAACCCATAAAGAAAGAAGCTTGCCAGGAGCCAACGAGGGAAGGGGGTTCGATAGGAGCGTCTGGCCTGGCCTGACCTGACCTGACCTATCTCCCCCCATCCCTCACAATCCGATGCCTCTCCTCAATTCCAGCTTCGAGGTATTTGCTCCCGTGATTAATCAGTCGTGGAGCTCTCTCAACTGGGTTAGGTACTCTACCTTATAGATCATTCCCCACTTGTTTTAGTCTGTTGTCCTTCCCCCCCACATGCATGGAGCATCCCAATAGCCATCGCTCGTGATTGGACGTATATCCCCGTCCACCTCGAGGTTCTACAGATATTTACGGCATACGGTACGTACCTCGCTCACCTCTCTCATGGCTTTTTTTCCCGGGGCATTTCTGCTGCTTGCGGTACTGCGCTGGGGGTATGAGTGCAGTGCATGAGAGGGTCCTAAGCCACCCGATATGAGGCATCGGGCAAGCCGGACTGACGGTGAGGCTATTGTAAGAACAAATGTAAACAAATGCCAAGAGATAATTTAACATGCCTCTCCGGACTGAAGAGAGAGGAGGGTGACAGAACGAGGCACGGCGTAGCATCTCTGCCGCTGAAGGTTTGACTACGCGAACGATACTTTGCACGCTTCCCTACGTAGTAGGTATCTCACCCGTACCCACAGCTTCTCCTGGGTTTGTGAACGGCCTGCAAAAAAATAAGCCCAACAAGGTTTCGCCGTTGACGACGGCATCCTCGTCTTGCAAATTTTCTTACTTGAAATTAATCCTCCTAGGTTTGCCAGAGTCCCCGGTCAGAGTACGTGCTGTCTGGATTGATTGCCCTGTCCAGTTTTGTTTTTTTGACAGCCCATCTGCACCTGCCACGAGATGCCCACGTCGTCGGTGTCGGAATGTGGTGGTCGTTCCCGCTCCGTTACATTTCTTCTTCTTCATCATTTTCTTCTTATTCTCCTTCTTTCCCCCTCTCTCCTTTCTTTTTTTCACTTCTGTTGTTTCTTCTCCGGGAAAATCTTCATTTCAACTCTTCCCTGTCTATCGATTTGCCAATCCCAAGGCCTGGCTGGCATGGTCGTATTTGATGTGTTTGGATCACAATTGTCTGTTAGGGTCCTGGGAGAAATTCCACCCCCATCCTGGAAAGCCACACGATTTGACTGCGCCCAGCTGCGCGTCTCCGCATCCGGCAGCCTCAGACACCCAGACGACTTGGGTGAGCGAGCGCGGTGTTTTGCTGACAGGAAGGGGGAGGGGCTAGGCAGTGTAACAGCTGTTTCAGTCACCGCTCCCGAGTAATGACCCTTCAACCTCCTCTTCCTCCCTGAGTCTGACCCGCCAACCAACGACAGTCACCTTGCTTCGTGCGGATTGTCCCGCCGGCTACGCATGGATTCACAAAGTAATTGCTCGTCAGTGCGCATCGGATATCAGACGAATGCCTCCAACCGATCTAGCTATGGACAACGCCAATGAAGTCATAAAAAGACAGAAGCATTATACCCGTCGTTGACATGCTCTTCGCCTCGACCGCCGCACCCCTTAGGCCACAATCGCTACCAGCTTGGTCGACTAACGAGCTGGCAGTCAGTCAGTCAGCCAGGCAGCCCGACGCTACGGTTTGGAGCAGAACAGACGGATGGCTTCTACCCGTCGGTCTAACCATCGTGGCTTACCGCCAGTCTGTGTCCCCCTCCAATCGATCGCAGAGTGCTACGGTTCCAGCATCGGCGTTTTCGGTCATACACTAATGCATCCCGACGAGGCCGGAGACGTGAGGCATCTCGCAGACTGTCGTCGCGCCGTCGGTGCATGCTGTTTCGATGCGCTTGCAGGCAGATAGATGCAGATGCAGACGGCGAGCCTCTTGTACCCACCCGCTTGACCTACTAGCCACGTTCCAGTGTTGCAATATGCCACCGTCTCGGGATTCACCTACTCATCAGCTCGACACGTCGTAGACTATGCCTCTGGCCTCCAGAAGGACGGCCAACCAGCCCTGGTCAGGGTTTCCTTTTCTTCTCTTCTCTTTTCCCTTTCGGACTTCTCTCCCGCTTTCCTCCCCCCCAAGTTACTTACCGAGTATTGCATTCATGATGCATTCTCAAGGAGGTACACACAAAGGACTATACACATCCCCACCGTGCGCCTGTGAACTTGAACAGCGCGAAAACTTTACCACGCTATGGGCACTTTCTTTGCCCTGGTTCTAGCTTACGGATGCAGCTTTAACCCGGTTCTCTGCTTTTGCCGCCTAGGGTTTACTCTAGGATCTTTCGGCTCATATCAAACGCATGAGGCGCTCTATTTCAACGAAAGTTTTTGCCGGGTTACGGGACGAGGCGTTGCCACCTAATTGGTACCGGCGACTGACTATGCAAGACGATTCCTCTGGACAGCAATCTGGACCTAGAAAACTGCTTCGCATGGAGATTCGCCAATTGCGTCCGCATTGGGCCTGGAGAAGAGGCCATCACAAGACTGCCTCAATGCCATCAGCCGCCGGGCTTCTCTCCTACGGCTAGACACTCTGTTCTAATCAATGCTTTCGTCGGATGATTTACACTGATCAGCCTGTATCCCCATAGAACTTGGCCCAATTGCTAAGCATTAATTTGTCTGAATCTTCATTAGCAGACTCAGTGGCACACGTGGAAGAGCGTGTCATCAACAAGTCTCGTCTTCCACAGCCATATTTAAAGAGGCAGCATACAGACCTGGGTGGCCCAAAAACTGCAACGGCCCCTAGCGGTAGTTCTGGATGAGCTGCCTTGTCGTTTGTTTCTTCCGCCTTGCTCACACTGGTACGAGAACGAGACAGCAGCAGCAACCTGGCTTGGCCAATGCTGCCTCCATGGTCCTTGTCTGTGCATTGGCTGAAGCTACCCCCTCCAAGCCACCATGCCCCGGGGTTCTATTGCACGCACTAGGAGCGGGAAGGGTGCGGAATAAACTTACTTCATTTCAATCAACACTCATACTCAAGGGTAGCCTCCGGGAGAGGTTCTCGACATGTCCCCTGGCCAGCCCCTGTTATCAGCTTCCCTGACGAGACAAGCCCTCCGGCGCACCTCCAAATCGTGGGACGAGGCAGCCTTTGGCCGATAACGCAACGCCGACCCTAACGGGGCATAGAACCAGGCGTTCTGAATTCGCACATAGTAGTAACAGTGCTTAACGCCCTTGGCCTTGGGGCCCTCCAGCCCAGCCAGCACCACTGAGGTTATATATGCTTGGCATGGCTGACTTTGGAATGCACAGCTTGTAACTAAACTGCCGCCTCCCAGTCGGCAAGGATCAGATTCTCTAACCCCGAAGTCCTGACTAGGACAGGATGAGGCGGGGAGCAGCAGAGAGCGGCACTTATGGGAGAAAGCCCGTCGAGCCGCAGGGTCTCTTGAGGCTCTTGGGTATCCATGGCTCTGGCTCAGACAAACTCAACCGAATTCCGACAGAAAACGTGGCCAGCGTCTCGAACAACCCCTTGCCAAGTCGGTAGTAGATCAGGCGAGGAGCCCCGCTGGGCCGGGGATATTCCACGCTGTCGTTTTGGATTGCCCCCTTCTGCCTCCCAGCTATCTTATGCGGATGTCTCACGTCGTCCTATAACAGGGCGGTGGTACTGACTAGTGTTCGTGTAACCTTTTTTTTGCGATATCACCGACCGGCCCGACTGGTGGTGAAGTGGAGCCGCTCTGAGGTCACGTGACTCACCTCGGTTGCTTACCCTCACCATGGTGATATCCACGGCAGTGGCCTCTTCTGGTCAGCGGCGTACAGCCGTCCTCGAGGCACACAGCCAAGAAAGGGGAAAAACAAAACATTTTCTCCGAGCGAGACGAGTGGTTTCCCGGGGGGCCCTACGCTTATTCGAGAGCACGTGGGCAAAGGAATTTGAGCCGAACGGTTGCCGCACCTCCCGTAGCATGACCCCTAGAGCCGATGAACTTTCCTCCTGCTGTCTGAAACACCTACAGGTGATTCCCGCGAGGCAACGGAGAACTGAGTCGCGGGGCGCGCTTTTCCGTTCGTCCCTGCATCTGAGATGGCCTTCATCACCCAGGGAGAACGAAGAACGGAGAACGAGGGTGCCACGCAGCAGCATCACGTCAGCAAACGTGGGATGTAGTTTTGGCGGGGGGGGAGTGTTGGTATCACAGGCGATCGATCAAATAGCAGCAATAGCGTATATTGACTATTGGTTGCTGAAGTTGTTGACAACTGAAGCAGAAAGAGAAAGTGGCCTTGTCTTTATCACCGTTGCAACTGCCGAGATCTGCGGCACTTCCCGCTTGCCAACATGGCGAGAGTTAATGCGTCGAGTCGGCCCTTTGCTCCCAATAGGCATCTCATGTCGTGGCAAGTGAGGGGTTTGGGGTTAAGAAACAACCGAATAAAGGGAAAAGGTTGTCGTGCGGTGACCATCGGGCAGTCGGTATGATGATCGTCCAATGTCCTTAGCCCGGACCGGTCCAGCGCCAAGTTAAAAAGCTTCGGATTCCGTAAGCATCTAGCACTCACCGGCAACACCCCCCGCGGCTCCGCGCGGCAAACGAACGGGTCCATTCCGACCCTCCCGAGGATCCAACGAGGTCTCTGCCCAGTCTGGGATTTCATAAGCGGTGACAAAGCAGGCGGCAACAGCCAGGATCGCTCACGCCTCAGCTGGCTCATCCCTGGCTCGGTCTGGTAGAGTTACTCTGTTCGGACTGCGAGACTTGGTTTGTCTCACACATATACTTGCATAAATACATACACACGCGCGCGCTTCGTCCCCGCCTTGGTCAAGGCTTGCAAGGCTGACTGGTGAGGTCGGCGCGTGAGACGCCGTCGTCACACAAGGCGCGAATGGGGTTTCGTAACCGCAAGTGACCCGTGATGCGGATAGAAGGATTTGAACGGGGGTATGTGACCTCCTGGTCTCTTGTGCCTTTTTCATCCTTATATCCGTTCCCATCCTCATCAAGCCGCTTTCCAAGCAACTAGCCGCCGTGTAAAACTGGTGATCATTAACCCTCCACCACACATCGCTGTCGCAAGCCATGTCTACCACGAACCCCCGCGTTCTCCATGGCCACGACCACGGTGCGCCCAAGTTCCGCCCCTGAACCGTTGCCTCCCCGCTTCCCCCCCCCCTATTAGCAGCTAGAAAGTACCACAGCCTACTAACCTGCACCGCCAACCCGGCAAAGGTGGCCATGGCCACCTGAGAATCTCGAGATCCCGCCCGCCTCCCCGACGCGCCGCCCTGGTGGCAGCCTGCCCCCCTCCCCTTCCTCCGCCAAAGAAGACGGGGTGGGTTGAGAAAGCAGAGAAAGGGGCGAAGGGGTTTGGGTGCGGACGACTGCCTTTTTCCCCCGTCAGGATCAAACGCACGCCGTTGCCTCCGACGAGGTACTCCCTCCCATCGAAGGCGCGCGGTTGGGGAGGGACACTGAGGACGCGGAGGGTCTGCTCTTCGTAGCGCTCCTTCGCCCTTGGGACGTGTGCTGGGTGGAAGAACATGAACCAGCTAAGCTGGCCGGAGCAAGGGCCGTGTTGGGAGCGGAGAAAGGGTCAGCTCGGGTGTCGTCACGGGATATATATATATATATTCTATCTAACCTGAAGCGCATCGCTCGATGGCACCCTATCGGGAAAGGAGAGCGTCATGCGTCTCGATGAGCCGCTCGAAGATGCAACTCGGGGAGGGGAGGGGGGGGGCAAGTCTACAACCAACACCTCCCGGACCGCCGGCGCGCGGAAGACGTGGAGAAGAAGAAGAGAACAAGAAGAAGGCGGCGTGGGGAACACGATCAACAACGGTCTGACCCGGGGCCGGCGGTGCCAGGTAGCAAGCCGGGTATGGTAAGATGCGGGATGGGCATGGCCGGGGCTTGCCTTGTGGGCGTCTACATCGCGCGTGGAGCAAGGTCGCAGCTACGTCGTCCATTGCACGTGTCCAGAGTGTCGGCAGCCGGTCTAAGCGTGCAGTAATCATTTTTATTCGAGCGGGCTATTGCTTGAGTCGGTCTCCTCATTGCCAACCCCCGTTCTTTTGCCGGCCTAGTTTCTCCTCCCATGTCCTCACGGCTCTCCCTCGCCGTGGCCTTGTGCACACTCGGCTTCGTCCATATCCAGAGACAGCATTGCACTGTAATAGCGAGCAACTCCCAAGACTCCAGATTCATGCACAAACCCACTCGCGTTTGGGACCCCTGCAGTACGTGTCCAGGTGTTGGATTCCTTATCCGCCGTATCTCAAACTGTCCACGCCGACTCAACATACAAATCCACATCATCCTGCACGCCAGCCTGCGTACAACGCAGTCTCTTCCTCATTTCCAGTTGTTCAGCCCTGCCCACGGATCGCTGTTTTGCTGCGGCTGAGCCGACCGTGGATGCGCACTTGACGGGTACGCACTGTGGGGGTTTTGCTGTTGATAGTTTTGCTGTTGCTGCTGCTGTTGCTGGAAATCCTGCTGACCGTAAAATGTCTGCTGTGGACCCAGTGGTGGCGGGCCAGGAGGTGGAGGTGGTGGCACAAAACCAGCGGGCATTTGCTGCTGCTGGTTAGGGAAGCCACCGTACTGCTGGCTCTGGCTGAACGACGTTTGGGTGGGTGGAGGCGAGGCAGGGCCGCGGAGAACAGCTGGACCGAACGTGGATTGATGGGGAGGCGGTGATGTCGGACCCGGAGTGCGTCCGTACTGGCTTGGGTTGTACGCCGGCTGGCCGTACGCATTCCCCTGCTGCGGCGTGTACGACTGAGAGTTCGGAGGGGCGGCGAAACTGGGGTACTGCTGCTGGTTTGGGGGCGGGGACTGAGGAACTTGATACTGTCCTGAAAAGTTGGTTTGGGGGTATCGTGGTGTCGAGGAGGGGTTGGCGAAGTTCAAAGGCGAAGGCGTAGGCCGGTTCGACGCGGGTTTTGGCGAAGGTGCGGGAGGCTCCATCGACATGCGCTCCATCAGGCCCCGTAGGCGCTCGCGCTCCAGCTCCGCATGTGCGTCTTTGCGAGTCGAGCGTTCCTGCTCGATGCTGTTGAGAAGCTGAGCACCCTCCGAGCGCCGGTTGTTGACAAATGTCTCCACATTCTTCTCGAGGCTCTGTACCGTCTCCTTCATCTCGGCATACCACGTCTTCGCACCCTGAAGACCGGCCTCCAAGTCGAGGAACTCCTGGTACGCTCGCTTGTACTTGTTCATGACTGCCGTCCTCTGCCTCTGGACCGTCTCGTATTTGCTCTGCTCCGACCTAACTCGCTTATCCTGCAGGAGAGTGTTGAAACTGGTCGTCAGATCCTTCATCAGTGCCGACTGCTTGTGGTTCGCCTGAAGCAGTCTGTTTTGGTAAGGACGGAACTTCTCCAGCTCCGACTGGAAAAGTTGGTTCTCATAATTCGTAATTGACTTCTTGTTGAGGATCAGAATCTCCGAAATATCGTCGTTGTGAACCTGCTGGCGTTAGTGTCTCTACGTTCCCCACGAACCCTTCGAGCTGGGGGGGTCCTCTACCTTTTCCTTGAGATCCTTCAGCACTTGATTGCGTTCTCTCTTGATAAGATTCAGCTTCTTCATGATATCCTCCACCTTGTGGATCTGGTCAACGACACTCGGGCCCCCTTCCTCGAAGTCGACGTCCAGTAGGTTCGGTTCGTTGCCTGAAGGGCTCGTGACATTGCTGGACTTGCCGCGCACCTTGCTGACGGCGTGTTGGAATAAGGAGTCGATGCTGCCATGGCTGGCAGCAGCTCGCATCTCCTCGAATTCGGTTTCGTTTTGTCTCAGCTTTGCCGCTAGTTGGTTGTCGCTCCGCGCTGCCTCTTCCAACGCCTCGCGGTAATTCCTAATGTCGCTCCGCAACGTCGACGTCAATCTCGAACTCGGCTGCTGCGTCCACTCGTTCTCGTATTTGGAGCGCATCTTCTCGCACACGCTCTCTTCCATGTCCAACTGTTTCGTGTTCTTGTCCAGCGTGCTCACAATAATCTCCTTGGCAGACCGCAGCGTCTCAAAAATGGCGGCCGGATCTTCGTGGCCGGCAACGTCCTCGCACCAAGTCCTGAATTCATCATCCGGCAGGATCTCTTGGTCGAAACCGCCCTTCAGGACCTGAAGAGCACCGGGAAGTCTCAAGTAGTCCAAACTCGCCGCCATTTCACCGTTGGCGGTGTCCACTCTCTCCGTCTCGGCCCTAATCAGCTTGGCCTTCTCCTCGTCGTAGAGGCTGGCCGATTCCGTAACAGCTAGCGGCACGATCTTGGAGAATAAATCCGGCCCCGTGATGCGCTGTATATCTTGACCGGCGTATAATTCGCTGACAGGGATTGGCTTTGACGCCGGTAGCTTAGGAACAGGTGCCAGGCTCGCCTCCGCAGGGACAGTCTGGTGGTAGATGAAGTCATTATCCTTGGTGAATTCCTTGAGCTTATCCTGCACTGTCGATAAATGGCGTTTTGTAAAGTCGACGAGGAGACCGCCGGTCTCGGCGCCGAGGTTGGAACTGGGTGGCACCGAGCTTGGGAAGTTGCTGGCGATGCGGTTTGCCTCCTTTCCCTGTGTCTCGGCCACTTGGAGCCTGGAAACAGCAATGCCGTGCTGACCTGCTTCATCGTCCGCAAGGGCCTGGTAATACTGCGACATGGAGCTGAGAAGGTTGAATTTCACCTGGTACGGTTAGTCTCAGCCGAGGCAGCTGGGTGGAAGCATCCCGGAGGTTGTGCTGGGGGACCGGCTAGAGCAGTTCTTACCTGAACCATGAGAAGCCAGACCTTCTCGAAAATGGCTCTGTTGAAGTTGTCCTGGACGCCTTCCACTGCTTGCGAATATAGGGAGGCTGCCTGGCTGGAAAGCTTGGCTAACAGGGCCGGCTTCTTGTGGTCCGCCACCTGTTTCTCCAGGAACACTTCCTGCGCTTGGGCCAACATGATGTGGATGAGTGTTTTGACGGTTTCCCGGCTGAGGTCGGACGAGGGTGCGTGGAGGAAGTTCTCGTTGATGTAAGTGAACATGCCGGCGGAGGCTTGAAAAGAGTGGTACGCGGCCTTGAGGCCCGACTCCTCCGATCGCGTTTGGTGAGCGGCGTGACATGACAAAACGGCGGAAATGTTGAATATGATTGAGGCTTTCTCGAACGCGAGCGAGTATTGCGCCGTCGATTTGTGCGTGAAGGCATCGAACCTGCGAGGCCGTGGGTGGTCAGTATGCGCAAACGACGCTTTGGGCTGCAAGGTGGCAGGGGGGGGAGGCGGTTGAGACGTACCATGTGAAGGAGATCTTGATGTGTTGCTCGTCAACAGGAAAGCGCAAGTCAAGCAGCTCGAGCTGGCCGTAGTATCTGTAGAGCATATCGCGGCCCGAGGTGCTATCCTTGCCGGCGCCTCTCACGTCCTGTCGCAGACGGTTCAGGGTGGCGCACTCCTCGGCATAGCGCTCCGGATCATCGCCATATGTGTTCCTGATGTAGTCCTTCAGCGGGGTGACCCAGTCGATTTCGTTCGTGGCCTTGAGCGGCGACGAGATCATGGGCGACTGCGTCATTTTGACAGATGACGGCAACGACGATGACGACGACGAGGTTTCGACCCGGAGGATGGCGGGGGGAGGGCGGGGGCGGGGTTGTTGTTGTCGCGAGCGACAATGAATCGCACTCGGTCAAGTATTTTGCGAAGACGGGCAGCCTCGTTCAGATGTCGGAATGATTGGGTGGCATACGGGGCCTCGTCAGAGGTGGCCTTGCGAAGAAGTGGTAACGTTACTGGGAGGTGGACGGATGCAGCTCTTCGGGTCGGGTCGCTCGCTGGGCTGGGCTGGGCTGGGCTGGGCTTGTGCTTTCAGTGTTGCTGTGGTACGAATAGGCGGAGTGCGGGGTGGGGGCGGGAAGCGGCGATTCGGATTGCGAGAGGCTTGGAAGCAGTTGGGTGTCAGTGCGCTCGAGCTCCGTGATGGGTGGGTACGTACTCTTGCTGTCAGCTCGAGGGTGCCTGGCTTAAGAGTGAGTGAGTACGTGCGTGCGTGCGTGCGTGTTGTGCAGCAGCCCGGTTGACGGGACCGGCGGGCGTTGGGCTGCTGTTCTGCAGCCGGCCCTGATTCTAGTTGCTTACTTCGTTCGATGACGCCGGTGTGGGTGTGGGGTGGCACGATGAGATGACAGCGGATATACGGAGTATTTTGTCAGAGATGAAGGATGGTGGGGTGTTCAACTTCCAAAGCTCAGGTTGCTGCAGTTTTTTCTTCTTCTTTTCTTCTTTCTTTCTTCTTTTCCCCCCTTCTTTTCTTTCCGTCGGTTAATGCTGGCGAAGAAGTGAACGAAGATAGAGTTCGTGTTTATGTGAGGTCATACTGCTGGGGGAACCCGGCAAGATGAGAGACGGCAATTTGCGAAACAGGCTCGAAGGGGGTGGAGAGCTTGAGGGCGGGGCAGCTATCCGTCCGTGATGGCTCGGCGTCGTCAAGCGTCTTGACTTTCTTCTCTGTCAAGCTTCCAGAGTCGTGCCTCTGGTGGTGGCGGGCAGTGGATATATGCTGGGAGGACGAAGCGCCCCAGAGATGGAAACACCAAACGGGGCTCGGAGATTGGGGACGAGAGGAGGCTGAGCGCTGTCCTTCGTCTTCGTCGTCGTCGCCGTCGTCGTCCAATTGGTGTTTGTCGGTGGTGTTGACGTTGGCGCATAACGCGGACCGGGAGAGGATACGTTGGGTTGCCGTAGTACGTGTTGCGTAGCCGCCAGGCAGCGACTGTTGCCCACTGGGGAACCGGGGATGTTCCTAGATTTTTGGCGGGGTTCTGGCTTCGGGGGGGCGGGTGCTGCCCGTCGTACAAGCAAAACTGGATGGATGCTGGCACTTCGGATGTAATAACATGGTGGACCAAAGACACGCGTCTAACGACTGAGATCAGCTTGCTTGTGCTTCTCATCTCTCCAGGATACTCTTGCCGGAAGCCAATACAAGCAGCCATCAACTATTTCGCATGATGCGAAGGTCCGTAGACATGTGCAACAAACACTACAACTCTCGCAACTCACTGGCAGCGTTGTGCAGCGTCTATCTCATCCCCTGAGCGACAGTACACCCTGGCTGGGGTTCTTCTTACTGCGTCTTCCGCTGCTTTCTTCGACACTGCCCACGAGTAAAAGACTCGAGGACATGCCGGCATTCCTTGGATTGGGCAGCTATCCCGAGCGTAGGCACTTTGTATCGGGGCCAACCAATATTCACACAAGTCAACCGCGGAGCACATATGGGCAGACAACCCTGGTAGTAACCAAAGGTATATGCCCTCGATAATAAGATGTGTTCTCGTCACCCCCGTTGTCACCTCACTTCACGTAGATAGTACAGCTCTCCTCCCGCATCGACATGGCCGGACGACCTATCCTTTGCTCTCGGCTGGATCACAGTGAGACGTGCCCGATGCGACGCTCCTCCATTGCCGCATGTCACTCTACCCCGTGTCATCTCGTTCCGAGCATGGCGGCCCAAACAAGCTATGGCTTTCACATACGTGATGTCCCCTGGCCCCTGGCCGCACCAACCTCACATCACGGTATCATTGCGGCTTACTGCGTACGGCTTATTGCTCAGGCTGCAGTCAGTCAGCGCAGCATCGTCGTCATCCAGAGCCCTTACAAACCATCCGTCCACATCCATACAGATAATCGAGCTGATTACCTTTTCCTTATTTCTTCCTACCCCCGTTTCGGGTGTGTGACTTTGGTCACGAACGAAGCAGAGAGATGTAGCGTTGTGTGTGTCTGTCTGTCTCTCTCTCATATACACACGCACACGCACGTACAAAACCACTTACATCCGCAATCTCACTGACGTCTCCAGCACCCTCGACGGCCCATGTACCGTGCATCGACATTGGTCTTCCGCTCTTCCCGCCCACCATGCAGGTGACGGGCCACAGAGACAGTTGCCCCTCCACCACGACCACTCATTGGGCGTCGTCGGTCGGCGCTTCGTGACCCCACATGGGCTGAGCAGGGGGATAAAGCAGACCCGCGCGGGCAACCTCCCTCAACAGGCCCGAACGGCCCGCTCCTTGCAAGGTTGACCTCTCTTTCACTTTCAAAGCTGACGGTACGGAGGTACACTGACCAACTACTGGTACCTAGCCGCCCGTCTCGGTGCTTGGGAGCCCGGGGTCGAGAGCTCCCCTCCTCCAGAAGCAATTGAGAAAACCATGGTCATGGACCCCACGGCCGAGCCCAAAGACACATTTCCCACAGCAACGGAACGCATCCAGGACATGATGATCTTCAGAGGAAGCCCATTATGTGACCGGTCTGCTTATCGCTCTGCGCATCGTCTCTCTCTCTCTCTCTCTCTCTCTCTCTCTCTCTCTCTCTCTCTCTCTCTCTCTCTCTCTCTCTCTCTCTCTCTCTCTCTCTCTCTCTCGTGCACACAGCCAACAAGTCATCGTGCCGACCAACAACTGCCCGTGACTCGAGTCCGACCGCCAAACTCTATCTCACGCAGACAGGCCCCATGGCTTAGTTAGACCTCACGCAAATACACATCACAACGGGCCGCCCGAGCTTAGTCAACCCTCACGCCTCGGCAACTGCCGACGTTTTTGCTCACTGGGTTATAGACTGTCTTGGTTTTATTGATTGGGTGTGTGGTCTCCTTGTACAAAATCTGAGGTGAGTGGCCTTTGTGAGGGCTGGCTAATCCTTCCTCCTCTTCTCCCCCTCCCCCGCCGATGTCTATACTACACTGTACACTCTCTGTAAAATAATACAACAAGCAAGCAAATGGCCGTCTCCAGGCCAGAAATGGGCCGCTCCGCTGTGCAAACCCCTTTCGCCCCCGCTCTCGGCCTACGGCAGGTTGGGGGATTACTACTTGGATTATGAAGGGTGGGGAACAACAAGATAGAACAGAAATATCAACCGTTTAAACACCTGCCATGCAAACTCCCGACTTGCCTTCTCCTTTCCGTCTATAATCGATTTGGCGAACAAAGAGTAGTTCTACACGCCTAGCCAGCCGCATGGAAGGCCGAATATATTGGTACAAGACGAACACAGAACACATCTTGCCCCCGGGCTTTCCCCTTTACGCCGAACCGGAGCCGGAGTCATTCTTGGAACCGTCCTTCTTCTCGTCCGTCTTCTTGTCCGTCGCCGACGTGTCCGCGTCCGCCTCGGAGGGCTTCTGGTGGGCCGGGTGGTTCGTCAGGGTGTGCCACATGGACTTGAGGAAGCCCTCGTTCTTGTGGGATTCGGAGTCGTCCGGCGACACAGGCTGGGTTCTGCTTGATAGAATTAGCACGAGGAGTGGTTGCGGGTGACGGCGAGATTGCCAAGGATGGATGGGTAGGGGAGCGCCGCTGCTGTCTTACCCCTGTGGCGTGACGTTCATGATCCGCCGGGCTGTCTTGTCCCCCATCTCGTTCGCCAGCATCTCCACCAGGGTGCGCTGGTTCGCGCTCAGATACTTGGGCATGTTGACTTTGAACTCGACCTTCAGGTCGCCGGATCCGCCCCTCCTGCCGTCGAGCTTCCTCATGCCCATGCCGGACAGCGTGAGCCTGTCTCCCGAGTTGGTGCCGGTGGCCACCTTGACGTTCACCTGCCCGTCGAGCGTGGGCACGGTGACCTCTCCTCCGAGCATGGCCGTCGTGATGGGTATGCTCGCCGTGTAGAGGATGTCGGAGCCCGCCCGGCGGAACTTGGGGTCGGGCGCCACGCGCACGAAGACGTAGAGGTCGCCCTTCTGCGTCCGCACGTTGGGATCGGCGTTCTTGCCCGTGATGGGCGCGTCGCCCGCGCCGTCGACCCGTAGCCTCATGCCGTCCTCGATGCCGGCGGGGATGTCGATGGTGATGGTTTTGCGTTCCCTCACGACGCCGTTGCCCGCGCAGGACCTGCACTCCGAGCCTCGGGGGATGGTCGTGCCGGTTCCGCCGCAGGCTCCGCATGTCGACGCCATCTGGAAGCCGCCGTTCATGAAGTGCACCCGCGTCCCGGTTCCGTTGCAGGACTTGCACTCCGACCTCTTGGTGCCCTGCTTCAAGCCGCTGCCTGCACACGTCCCGCACTCGGTCAGGGGCGTCACGGTGATGGTCTTGCTCGTTCCCTTGGCCGCCTCCATGAATGATATGCTCGATTGCACTTCGATGTTGTCACCGACCAGGATCTCCTGCTGGAACGGGTTCCGGCCGCTGGCGCGGCGTCCAAACGGGGATCCTTGACCGCCTGTGAATGCCGAAAAGATGTCGTCAAAGTTGAACCCGCCGCCGAATCCCCCCCCGCCGAACCCGCCACCGAAAGGGTTTCCTGCTCCTCCAAAAGGGTCGCCGCCGCCGCCGCCGGGTGCACCGCTGGGGTCGAAGCCGGCGGCGCCGTACTGATCGAATTGTTGCTTCTTCTTCGGGTCCGATAGGATCTCGTACGCGCTCTGGATTTCGCCAAACTTCTCCTTCGCGCCGGGGTCCTTGTTCGTATCGGGGTGATACTTCTTCGCCAGGCCGTAGTATGCCTTCTTGATGTCACCCGCAGACGCCGACTTGTCGACGCCGAGGGTCTTGTATGGGTCGCTCGGGGCGAAGGTTTTGGACGTCGCGTGGAAGGCCTGTCGCATAAGCTAATCAGCAGGATGTACAAATACATTGGCATGCGACGATACTTACATGCTTAGACACGGGAGCTTGACATGTCACCCGTGCAGCCGAGGAGTTCGTGGGCCGGACGGTGTAAGTGACGGTGTGGATGTGGGCGCGCTTGCAAACAGAGTCCTTGAGCTTGGATTGCCGGGAGATGCGGCTGGACAACAGGCGGCCCGGGGCCGCTGCCTTGGTAAGAATGCTTGCATTCATTGTGAAGCTTGACGGTGCATCTGAAGCTGTTGTTACGCAGAGTTTAGGGGTTAAATTGACCGGGTACGCGAAAAAGCACCGGCGCGCAAGTGGAACTCTCCCGCAAATTCTTTGCCCTTCGATGCCATTGAGAGACGGGATGATATCAACCTTTTTTTTTTTTCTTTTTTTTTGGCCCGATGCTAAGCCGAACTGCAGTGACTGCCTCAGGCACAAGACGCACCGTAGCGCGGGTGGATGCAGGGGGTGTCTTGGGTGGGGGGCGGATTGATAGTGACTGCTAGAGTGTCTGCTTCACGTCAGCAATCAATGACTTTAAGTGGCTCGCGAAGCTGGTCCCACATTCATTCGCGGCAATGCGCGTTATCTGCGCTCTACCATAGTAAATCTCAGAGCAGATATGGATACTCGGTACAGGTACACTGTGCCGGGACTCCGAGGACCAGCAAGTTAAACATACCCATGGCGGGCGCCCAATGCAAAACGCAATGTTATAAGCCGATCCAAGTCTCCGGATCCAAAAACGCCAGATATCATTACTGAGTAGGTTGTAGATCATAGCTATGTAAAACTGCGAGAAAGGGCTTTGCCTTTGTCGTCTTTCGTCATGAGGTTCCCGCCCACGGTGAGGTATCATTATGCAGTCCAAATCGCCCAAACAGTCGGCCAGGCTATGCTCCAGCAGCGACACAATCGTATATCGGTCAGCTCTCGTCGATACTTCCAGTTCCCAAGGAATCCCTTTGTCCATTATACAAGGTTGTCATGCGTCGTGAGGTGTTGATGTAGACCTTTTGTGGCGGTCGCTTTTTGTGATAGCGTGGCTCCTAACCTTGTGAATGAAGTCGACAATGACATCGTTCTCCTGGATCCCAAGCCCATTGAAGTGCTTCCGCACTGACATTGTGAGCTGTTCTTTGCTCTGTCTTCTGTTCTCCTTCTTCCGAGCCATCGTGGGGGAGTGTAGGCCGATGCCACCGGGCCGTGAGAGGACCAATTGGCGGTAGGAGCAGGAAAACGAGGTGGGGGTGTTGAGATGGTGCTCGCGTCGGTATGCATGTAGGGTTTCTCGGTCAAATGTACTCCATTGTATCTGCCAGAAGAAAAGGTCAGCAAGTGGTGCCTTGTGGAGCGAACTCGAGGGGACGACGATGCGTCACGACACGAGGAGGCTTACCCCTGGGTTCTGAGCCGTCTCCTTTGCAGCGACTTGAACATCCGCGGCGGCGTTGGCGTTTGTTACTTCCCGCAACTGGGAACCAGTCGAGCTGGCCACACGGCGCAGCTTTCCGTTCGAGTGATGCCCACCAGAGCCAGGTGTTTGCTTCTCCTTGGGGGCAGTGCTTTCAGACTTGGTATCGTCGTGAGCGGCCTTGGAGGACTTGGGCGCCATGACGAAGGAGGAACTTGGTTGAGAATTCGCCGAGGCCAGTCGTGATTGGGTTCGGTCAAGGTCGCAGGGTTAGGGAAAAAGGACGTAGCCAAGTGTCACATCGTAGTCGGTGCAGAGATAAGGGGAGGAGGTGGTGCGAGAGAGGGAAGCGATGGGTGCCAGGGGGTAACGAGAAGGGGATTTTTTTCTCACGTCATGGCTCCTAGCACCGGCGCCGTTGCTGTTGGTTGCTGCACCGGGTTGGCTTTTGCCCAGGGGCCCTCCCTGCCTGGCGTCGAGAAGTGAGCTGCGGGGGCGCTTCGGGGTCTGATGTGGACGGTGAGCGAGCGCTGTGCCTGGGACCCGTTGCCTTCCAGGTGTCTCTGAAGGCGCAACAGGTGGTACGTACCCATCGGACCTGACTACCTACGGTACGGAGTACAAGAGCTGCCGATCGCACATGCTTACTTAAGTTGCCCACTCTCAGTCTCGTCGCACTTTCGGCCCCTCCCCCATCTCCCGCGGCGCGTTTGGCAAGACCGTCGTCTCCCCTCCATCTACAGCAATTCACCGCCATGTTCGGAACAAGCCGGCAATCTGGATTGGTAAAACAAATCTATTCTCCTACCTGCGGCCAAGACACAGGATAGTGAACGGCGGCATCATGTCAAGCTAATCCCCTCCTCCTTGCCGATCGCTAGTTAAAGTTACCACGCAAATGTTTAACCCATCCACAGAGAGGCAGCACGCCAGCATCCAAAACCTCGCAGGGTTAAGTCGTACCTTGTTAAGGAACAAGTACAATTCGGGACACTGGTGGCCAATCAGGACAGCTTCGGAAGCAGAGATGACGAGGACAATTTTTCCAGCTACATTGTCATATCATCCCAGCATCAAAGTCCAGACGATAAGGCCCGGCAGAGGACGGAGACAAAGAAGCCCGAGCTTCGCCGTTGCGCAAGTCTATGACTAAAGGAATAAAGGCAATGGAAAGCCCGTCCAATATCGATATCCCATTGGAGCGGAAGGAATGTCCCGATTACCTTGTCTGGACTGATCTGCAGCCGACGTCTTCTCCACGCGACACATGCGTACACTGGTACCTAGGTATGTACGCACTTGATCCCATTGAGAAGCATGGACGAGCTGACATTTTACATCAGCAGAACACCCAGGTTCGGAAATAGCGTCAATACAGCCGCCACAAACTATGACAATTGTAAGGACGAAATCCAAGTCTTTCGGATTAATACCTTGCGGAAACGCACACCCGCAATCTTTTCTCATTGGCCTTAACCTTCGCATCAAGGGAGGATTGGGTCTCGGAGTAGCAGACGACTACGTCAATCGGTAAGCCACCGAGAAATCAATCTCGCCGACCGGGGGTTGCGAATTGCAATCAACGACCGCTGGCTTTGCATACATAGTAGCGCCCAGGACAGTCCAGGGCCCTAGCGACAAAAAAAAAGTAAAAAAAAAGTTAAAAAAAAGTCGGCAAGTATTGCCTTGAAGTTCGGATTTTGACCTGCGGAATCAGCTTCCCTCTCTTCCCGCCAGACGCGCAGTGGCCCAGGAGCCTGGGTCGCTATCCCGCACGTAATTGATTTCACACACATTCCTGGGGACATCCCACGTCCAGACGCAGGTGGACCACGAGACCCCCAAACTTTCTTTCAACGCCAATCTTGAGGTACGACTACTTCATGGCTTTCCATGTCACTGAGTCATCGATCGACGTCCTTCCCTATGGAGGACTGGGATCAAGAAAAACGATAGGTGGTTTGGCGCATTCCTTTTTCTCAGGCACAGCATCTTGACGATTGAACTTGTGTTGTTGATCCGGCGTTGCCGCTTTCGGTAGAAGCTTGCGAGACATCAGGCGCGGCAGCCCAACATCTTCTTAGATATTGCGTCTCACCCTCGATGCCGCTGCTGACGCTTGAAAGGGTGTTCGGCTCCGTAGTCTTTTGCGAGCATTGGGCGTTAACAATATTCGGCTACCTCGCCAACAGTCACCAAGAAACCGTCTCGTTAGTAGAAACTAAATGTTAAGGATAAAGCTGATGTTTTCTGTATGGCGACTGTTCGGCGGCCCGCCCCCTTCTCTGTGCCGTTGGCGGTTCTCACGGGGCAACCCCCGACAGCTGTTTGTTAGAAGACCCCAGTCCATGATAGCTCATGGTGAGTGGGTCTAAGAGTCAGTCTGTGATTTGTTCACAAAATGCTGACTGGCGATCGGCTAAAAGATCCTTGTCGCCTTCTCCACCAGGCTGATCGAGAGAGTTACGCTAGATCCGTGTCCAGCCCTTGGGGGAACAGACATTTCAGTGTTACACAATGGCTTTCAATGTCCCCAGCCCAATCTGTCGAGTCGAATGCGGAGTTGAGAGATTCAAGGCATACTTTGTGTGCGTTTATTGTGCTTGTCATTGTGCGAAGCGCGCCAAACCCCTCGCCCCCCAGGTCTGCGACAGTACTTGAGCCCCGAAGCTACACTAAACCACGAAAAGATATGTCGCTTTGCGTGCCTGCGCACATGACCCGATCTCGCCCAAGTAATGTCACAAGTTCCCTCCGTTGCAAACTGCGGCTAGCACTTTCTGCCGGTACGCTCTCCGTCCGCCAATGGTCGTGGTCGCATCAAGGTGTGCTGAGGAGGAGATTTTGGCTTTGTGACTCACTCGACACACCCTCATGGGGTGGGAGAACGGACACTCCACCCTACGCGGGGTATGATCGCCAAAAAGGGTCTTCCAGGAAGAGGAAGAAGGCGAAGCACGAAGCGCGAAGTACTTTGGCCTTGTGAGTGGTGTTTGAGATTGTCGAGTTTCGACCTAGCTATGAGGCAACAGACCGGTGTGAGGGGGGTTATATAGCTAACGAGAGTTGAGTACAGCTATTCCTGGTCGAAGTTGCAGCCATGCCCCATTGGGAACCCATTACGAGATGGGAAGGGCATGGCAGATTGATGGCGCGCCGAGACACACACATACTTGTGGAGCAGCGGTGCAGAGATGCCCGGACGATGACAAAAGTCCACCCACCATATCTCGACACAGCTGGCGTCAATGAAGGTTCACCCACGCATTGCGCACTTCAGCCTCAGTGCGTGGGGTGTTGACATGCACGACTGGCAACGACATGGCAGCTGCCGCTAGAGAAAATCATCGGAGAAGTGTGCTAGGTACTTGATGTCGCTAAATGCTTAGTAATAGTACGTGATTATCTTCAAACTCTGCAGGCGAGCAATCTAAGCTTCATTTGACAGCTTAGACGTGATGGCCAGGTCAGTTGGCCGACTCGGTACGACGGAACGGGTGAAGGATTTATCACGACACGCAAGGCTGGCACGGAGATTTGATACCCTGAGATTCCTTGAGATTCGAAGCTGGTTGACAGCCCTTAAGTCTCGCACTTCTCCTTTCATCTCCTTGTCCTTCTTCAGCATCCTCCTACCAGTTGCCTGTTCCCACACCACCTCGCCCCTCCCCCCCCCTCTCTCTCTCTTATGCACGCGCGCCGCCGCCATCTGCAGCTACTCATTTGCACTATTGACAGCCCAATCATCTCGGAGAGGAGAGGGGCCTCGAAGCAAATTGCGTGGGCGTGCAAACTAGCAAGAGCGATCACTGTAGAGCTCAAGCGGCACCGTCTGTGAGCAACCCAAGTGCCCAAGCTGGCAAAGAGTCGAGGAAGGCTTTTGGGACAGTGAAGTAGGTACCGTAGGTGACACGGGCGGCCCGGGGCACGTACCCATGCCCGCAGGTTGGGGATGGCGCCCCCAGCCCAAGCTCCAGGCCGTGCCCGCCATCCCCACACGTCTCGGCTTCTTCAAGTGAACTCACACGCCGACCATCCCTGTAAAGGCTAGCCACCACACCAGTCACGGTCTGCATGGGGACGCCTGTCATTTGGGGATGAGAGCTCGGGGGTGGGATCTTGTTTGGGGGTCTTGAGAGACAGGATGACGGGAGGATTGTCGTTTTCTTCTGGCAGCCTTCTTACGACAGTCAACGGCGAACCAAGGGCTATTCGAGCTGCAATGACGGGAGCAGGGTCTGCATGACCCGCCTCGTAACCTCGCTACTCGAGACTATGTGGATCTATCACGAGAAAAGAATTGCGATTCTTGGAAAGCCGTCTCTTGTCACGGCGAATTGCCGACCCATATCCGTTGAGCGAAGGGCAGGGCGAGAGCGATGTGACGGAGAGAGTGGGCTTGCCTCGTACGTGTATGTACCTCACAAGTTCACAACCGGGTCCTCCCCAGCCAGATTTGGATATTGTACTCCTTGCGAGGTATAGGCCAGATGCAGTTCGGCCTCTTACGCGGCAGAGCTCCAGCCAGGGTCAGCAAAATCGGCGCAAGTCGCATGGGCCCCAACACCATGGCGAGAGAGTCTGCTTCTGCCTTGCAATAAAATTCTGGCAAAAGACAGGGGGGGGGCGGAGGGGGAGAGAGAGAGAGAGAGAGCGAAGAATAAACAACGCAAAGCGGCGCTGCCTCGGACGGATACGCCGTTTTCCTCCATTGCGACGAACGATGAGGTGCAGGGACGTACATGCAGAGCCGGTCACTTGTCAACTTTTCGTCGGGTTCTCGCAAAGGGTACCGAATACTGGCTGAGCGTCCTTTCTGCTTACATGGTCTGTCAATGTTGCGATATTAGCTGGTCTGCATCCAGCGCGCGACAGCAACACCACCATTCCGCTCGGGGCACAGACAGGGACAAGGAGATTACGTCTTCACCAGAGAGACGGGCTACGAATACCCAAGATGAATCAGACGCGAGTAGAGGTCAGGCATAGGCGCAAGCATCACGATCAACTCGACGGGAGTCAGTCAACCGACGGTCCGGTCGCACCACAACGCATGGCAGGAAACGTCGAGTCGGGGGTGTTTGCCTGCCTCACAGTGTGTGCCTGTCTTGTCTCTCCTTTTTCTTTCTTTCTTTTTTTTTCCTCTTTATTTTTATTTTTTGCCCTCGCCCACCTTTTCGGTGTACCTTGCCCCCGCCTCCGCTTCCGCCTCCACCTCCACGAGTGCACACCTCGGATGTCGCCCAGGGGGGAGGGCGCGAAGTGAGAAGCGGACCTAACAGCATTCCAACCGGCTTTCCCATATTGTTTAAAGCACTAAAGCCACCCACCCATGGCGTGGCCCACCACACCTCTGGCAAGCTAGGGCCCTTCCATCGCGCCTATGAGAGCTAAGCTGCTTGGCCGACGGCAGGTCAAGACAGGGCATTTGCACTGCATCACATCGCATCGCACCACGCCACAGGCCACACACACACACACACACACACACACACACACACACACACACACACACACACACACACACCTAGACCCTGGCTGGGCTGTTTGCTCACGTCGGTCGGCTCACCTGGGGAGGCGGGAGGCGGGAGGAGGAGGAGGAGGAGGAGGAGGAGGAGGAGGAGCAGTAGGAGCGAGACAAACTGGTCGAGACAGACGGGGCTCAGAGGGAGGGAGAGCGAGTGGGATTGGGAGCGGGAGGTGGCATAAGACTCGAGACCCCCCACACTCGTGCTCTCCGTGGTCTCTCTCTTCCTTCGTCTAGACGATCGAATGCCTCTTCCAACCCACTTCCCCAAGACTTGGTGCCACTGACGGCGTCACGACGACACTACACACACCACCCACCCACCAGCCAACCGCCCACAACCAAAGGCAAGCTCTCCAAGGCCAACCAACACTACACTACCACTTTCCTCTATCACAGCGCGACAGCAACCAAACATCGTACTCGGCGCCCGACCCGCCCCGAGGCTCGAGAAGCATCAAAAGATTTCATCTTGTGTTTGTGTGCCCCGAGTCTGCTCACGCTCTGCCACGACGCTACAGCCTTACCACCTGTCCCATCTCATCTCTTCTGGTTCGCACCGTCTCGTCAGCCGTCTCGTCAGGCTTGCCCTTGCATCAATCAACCGTAAACCTTCAGGTAAGGAAAACCCACACTCTCCCGTATGTCGCATGCTCTTCCGCCCCCCTCCCCGGCTCTCTATGTTTTTCCATCCGTCCCCCTTCGCGGACTGTCTTTCCGTCTCTCTCTCTCTCTCTCTCTCTCTCTCTCTCTCTCTCTCTCTCTCTCGCATATCCAACTTCCAACCGACTCCTTGGCTGAAGAGCTTTGGGGCTGGTCAAAACATGCCGCGGTCATATCCATCTTGCCAAACACCGTCAACCATGGCGTTGCATCATGGTTGAGTTTCATGGGGAAGGACACTACAACAGCACGGCATGCGACCGAACAAGACCGAACCACTCCTGTTGCCGCTTCAGCTACTGCAGTCGTCACCGGCGCACTCCGACGTACACTCCATCATTGGCCTCAAACCCGAGGTACCTACCTTAACCTGAGGCTTAGGCGCACATCAACGGTTCGCGTCGGTTCGCTTCGCCCCAAGGGATCACGCCGTCCTGGCCGAGGTACCATGGAGCTTGGGGTACCTAGCGTGCACCACCAGACCCCTGCAATACACACGGTTGGAACACCGCTAGGCGTACCCGGTACATGGCCATTCCATCCGGTCTACCGCGACGCTTTTTGCCCATGGGGTTTCCCTGTCTTGCTTTCCAGAGACTGGACCGCTGTGAGAAGCGTGTGCAGCTGGAACTACGGCGGCGTCCCTCTCCAGGAGGGAAGGGACGGGGGGGAGAAGAAGAGAAAAAAGAAGAGAACAGAACGATGCTCTTCTTGTCCCTTTGCGCCGTCTCATCATACTCGTTTTTCATCATCACCCATCATCGCATCTGCTTCTCCTCCCTCCTCTCGTCTTACCTGGACATCGGACTGGTTTCCAAAAGACGATCGCACAGAATCCTATCACCAATCTATCAATAAACCTAGAGGAAGACCAGACCGTCCCCGCGCTCGAACTTCTTCTTCTTCTTCTTCTTTTTCTTTTTCTTCTTTTTTCTTCCCTCCCCTCTGTCTTTCGCCTGGCCATACAAAGCGACGGAGATAGCGTTGGGCTTGCCTGGAAGTCCCTTGCCTAGCTCTCATCCTGACGGACGGCCCTGACCCTTTTGTCGTTACACCCCCGGACGCAACGCTTTGAGTCCACGGCCCATGGTCCCTTGGTCCACTCCCACCCGCAGCCTGCAACCTTGCCATCTCTTATTTTTAACATCCACCCCCCCTCCACCCTCCCCTCTCGCGCTCTGTCCTGCAGCCGGCGCTCGTCCATTTTACCGCAACAGGCGGCTGGCCCATCATTAATACCACGATCTCCACCAAAAAAATCCACTGGCTAACCACCCCCCGACAGCTTACCTCGCCTTGCCTGATCTCGCCTCAAGGGTGGTCTATACCTCAACTGAGGAGGTCTTACTGCTACTCTCCTCAAAGACAGCGCTCTGGTCCTCCAACTCGACTTCGTCTTCGCGCTCTTCACTCCGCCGCCTGAACCTCGTCGCTGTCACCGTTGACTCTGCTGGCGGGAGACACTCCCTCTCAATCATGTTTTGAATACCCTCTCCAATTGGCTTTGGAGGGGCTCCGAACGCAGGAACACCAACTACGATTCTGCGCTCGAGTTTGCACATTACGGAACCCGACGCACATCACGCGACGAGTCCTGTGGACCGACCCATATCCCAACAACGCTACGCCGCCCGTTCTGGGCCGAATATCACTGCTTTGCCGACCGTCTTGTCGAGATTCATCCACAACTCCCCGCACTTTACATCGGTTAGCCACGCCGCGCCAGACCGTTCGGCGGCTTTGCAGCGGTTGTTCGTCTCATCACGGCAGGACCCGCGCCGCATGCCACTTTTGGCACATGCCGATATCTGGTCTAAGAAGCTGCCGGCTGTGAAACCATGACTTCTATTCTGCCTGCGCATTGCACCAACTTCAAACCCTCCATTTCCCTGTCTTCCACTAGTCCTGCGACGATGGCGTCAAAACACGAACCGCGGGCGAGTCCGCAACGCTTCATTAAGCAGGAACACGAGCCGGGGAGAGGCAGGCCGCGGCAGGTTTCTGAAGACAAGGATGTCGACATTGTGGATGATGACGAGGCCGACGGTGACGAAGGCAAAGCTGGCTCTTCCAACTCGGACGGCGGTCCTGCAAGAAAGAGACGGAGGAGTCGCAAAGGCCTGGACAAGAAGTTCGAGTGCCCTCAAGAGGGCTGTGGGAAAAGCTACTCTCGGGCCGAGCATTTGTATGTCTGACTGTGCAGGCTTGGCGACTACTTGTTTAGCTAATCATCCCCTAGGTACCGTCACCAGCTGAACCACACACCCAAGCAGATATACGCCTGTGACTTCCCCGACTGCAGCCGCACCTTTGTGCGGCTCGACTTGTGTAACCGTCATAGAGACCGTCACACGGCAAAAGGGTCTGCTTTGAATCGCAAAGATTCACTGATGAGCCACCTGTCTCCTACCGCAGATCGGCCTCCTTTTCCTCTGGCCGGGTCTGCCTCGCCCGAGACCAGTCGACCGGCCACTGGGTTCGCCAACGTGCGGCAGGCTCAGATGCAGTATCAGTCCCCCAAGGATGTCTCTGGTAGCCCGTTTGCCCAGGCAACGAACACCCCCCCCGGATACCCCATGGGCGCGCATCCCGGTTCCATGGACAACTACATGCATCAAGAGAGCAGTTATGGTGGTCTCCAGGCCCAGGCCCATCGGCCTCCGCAGCAGTCGCCAAACGGGCCGGGGCCGACAGTTCAAGCGAACGGGGCATACATGTCCCCGACCCCAAGTCAAAACGGCTACCACACCCAACCGCACAGCGCCCCTCAGCCTGTGACGTACACCAACCAGCAAAACTTCCCGGCCTTCAACCTACCTCCCTCCGATTTCTCCAACGGAGCGGGCAGCGGACCCCGCGAGAGCCAAACGTACGCACCGACCACCTCTGCAGAATACTCGGAGCAGGGCCACCCCCAACAATCGGGCGAGATGATGTTGCTCGATCAGATGTCCATGCCCGGCACGATCCCAGTCTTTGGAACCGACAGTATATTGAGCAAATCGCCATACGTCACAATCCCGGAAGATTTTGTTGCTTATCTGTTCAACACGCAACAAGGGGAAGGCTCGCCAATGGGCCACATGGTAGCTCCAGGGTACGTAAACAAGTGAGTCTACACCTTGTGCGTGTGTGTCGAGACATGAGCTTGGCTGACGGTGCGTAGTTATGGGGAGGTGCAAAACTCCTACAGTGTTCCATACGTAGGGACAGATGGCGTGCCGGCTGGGTATTTCCCCTCGGGTCCTCAGCAGGTCATGGCCGTCAACAACTTGCTCGACCAGAACCTCCCGGAGGCCACCATCTCCGAGGAAAAGAGCCAGGAGATCTACGACTTCATCAACCAAAGGTTTCACGAGAACGACCAAGCTCCGGTGCTGCGGCAGCGTGACAGTATCCTTGAGGGCGATCGTAGCGATGGCGATCATATGCTCAGCAAACGAATGATGCAGGCATACATCGGGTCGTACTGGGTCCATTTCAGCGACCAGATCCCCATTCTTCACAAACCAACCTTCTCTCCCGACAGAACACCCAACTTGCTGCTCCTTGCGATGATGACAATTGGCGCCGCCTGCCTCGACAAGACCCACGGGCAGAAGGTAACAAAGGCTGGGGCGCAGTTGTCCAACTTCCTGGCCTGGCATCTTCGATGGGAAATATTCATGGACCCGAACTTCAGACCTCCCGCCAAGCTGTGGGTGTTCCAGACACTTCTCCTCCTCGAGCTCTACGAGAAGATGTACTCGACGAGGGAGCTGCACGAGAGGGCCCATATCCATCATGCGACAACCATCACCCTGATGCGCCGTGGACGGTCGCTAATCGGCAAGTCATCCCTCGATTCGCCACCCAATCCTCGAGACGACAAGACGAACGGCTCTCGCCACTCCTCAACGTCGGGCGTGGCTCACACTGCGGATGAGTGGTGGAACCACTGGATTACCAACGAGTCGACCAGGCGGGCTGCCTTTGCGGCATTTGTCATCGACTCGATCCACGCTACAATGTTTGGGCACTCTACGGTGATGGTCACTCACGAGATGAGGCTGCCGCTCCCATGCGACGATGCTCTGTGGAAGGCCACGAGTGGCGCAGAAGTTGGCAGGATTGAGTCCAACCTCCTGTCCAACGGGGTCAAGCCCCTGTCTTTCCTGGAAGGGTTGAAACGGACACTCAGCGGGCAAGGGGTGCAAACTAACCCTTTCGGCCGCATGGTTCTCATGGCCGGTCTCCTCAGCGTCAGCTGGCACATGAACCAAAGGGACCTCCAAGTCAACGTGCTCGGCGGCGGCGTGTCTCAGGCGCTGGGTGGCCGAGACAAGTGGCGAGGCACTCTCACCAGAGCCTTTGACGCTTGGAAGGGAGATTTCGACAAGTCGCTGACGATGAAGGAAGGCTCTTCTGATCCTTACCGGTACGACTCTGCGAAGAAGAATGATTCCAACGTTGTCTTTGAAAGCCGGACGGTGTTGCATCATCTCGCTCACATGGCGATGCACGTTGACATTGTCGACTGCCAAATCTTTGCTAGGGCGAAAAGGCTTCTGGGGAGGGCCATTGGGCAACAGGACCTCAACAGCGCCCAGAGAAGGATGAGAGATCTCTGGGCGCCATCGGCCAAAGCCCGGGACGCCACGTTCTATGCACTAAAGTTTCTGAGGTCCGTCCTTATGCCCGATGCGAGCCACTTGCCGCAGGCCAACGGTTACAAGTACGACGAGCCTTATACAGCGCGTGACGATGTGCTCCTCAACAGACCGTGGGTCTTGTACTTTGCCGCCCTCGTCGTCTGGTGCTACGGTTTCGCCCTGGAAGGCCCTTGCCCTGGGACACCGGTACCGGGGACTAAGCAGGAACAGGTGCACCAAATGCGGGAATACCTGACGAAATACGGCGGAGCGAGCTCGCCCGATGATCTCAAGGTGATGAAAGGGGTCAACACCAACACTGCGCTGTTGCTGGTCCTGAAGGACTCGTTTGGAACCACACGCTGGGAGCTCTTGCACGAGGGTGCCAACCTCCTCAACAACTGCCTTCAGCTGAACACTGGAGCCGCCACGATGTGAATGACGTCGAAGCCGTATTGACGAAACAGCGGATCTCTTTTGGAGAGGGGCGGGCAGGAGATATCAGCCCCTCGGTGAGGGGGTCGCGCATGATGGTGATTCGACGACAGGAGGGCTCGATTTGGAAATATACCTCTTCTCGGTATCATATTTGTAAGAGGATATCAGGACGCCGTGACGATAATCTGACATGGGAGGAACGGGGGCCAAGGTGGCCGAATTACTTCTGCATTTTCCTATATGCTGCATTGTTGTATCTATACCCCTGTGATACGCTCCTCACGAAAGCGTCACGTTTTGTTTGCCACATGGTAGCAGCATTGGTGCGGAGACGGAGGACACCAGGCCTCGGAGAGTGTATTTAAGTTCATGGAGACGATTTGCTTTATGACCTATATCACTTTCTGCTCCTCCAATGTTTCCCACTCGCTGATGGTAGGCTCGGTTAGCCCTTCCTCTGTCGGACAGCCCTCCCGCGAGCCATTGGGATGGCAGACTAGGCCTTGACACGGGACGTGAACGTGAGGTGTGGGAGGGTTGGAGGCGGAGATATCCCACCTGTCCGGACCCAAGGAGGAGGGCGTCAGATGGAGGGAAGTTGAGGATGGCGGGGCTAATTCGGAAGTTGATCGTCGAGGTACGATTACAAGGCGCATGAAGAAATACCGTGGAGATGTCTAGCACTAGGCATTTACCCTATTGATCACAAAACCATAGATGCACTATAATCTGGCTCTGGCCGCCTGATTCAACAGTTTTGGCATTTTGATTGGCTGCGATGCATCCCATGAAGTGTTCGGCCTGGGCCTTTTATTTTATTTTAATTGCTGCGCCCGTCGTTGCATCAAGTCGGGAAGTCTTTCATCTTCCACCCTTGTTTCACTAGACGTTGCGGTGTGCGTGTGCACACAAAGTTCATCATGGATTGTGATGGGCGCTGTAGACAATGGAACCTGTCTGTTAGCATGCAGAAAGGCGGGGACAATCTTTCCAGTAGTCCTCTGGCCGGAACGCCCCTCAAACCAGGGCTATCATTATCATGGCCCCCTGTTGCTGACAACTCGTTCAGAGCTTCATATAATGGAAAGCAACCGGCCAGGTTTATATTCCAAGTCAACTGGTCTCTGTCATGGCCGCCTTCGCCGACGCTTGAGTTGCCCGCGCATGGTTGTGGAGTTGATGCACCGACCCCACGGCCTTCCGCATCCGTCGTTCCGGGTCCGAGTGGGTTCATCGACCGCTCCGGACGCGCCGTGTGGGGCACGCTTGGTCAGGTAGGGAGGTACCTTAGGTAACAACACCATCCTGCCTACCTAGGAAGATACGTCATGATTGGAGTACGTGGTCTATCTGGTGCGTTCTGTGAGTCTTGCCGATTGGCTGACTAGACAGTGCAGCAGGCTCGAAATCAAAATCGGTTACCCGAGGAAGCATCAAGACTGGAGTTTCGAGCGGCAACTGGGGAATGTTGACGGCGTGAACTTGGCTCACTCAGCCGCCCGTCCCCACTGCGCTAATACACACATCGGAGCTTACCTCAGCCCTCCAGCGGCCGTCCCTTTGGCACCGCGCGGGCTCATCGTCCTTGCTCTCCAATCTTCCCCGCACATCACGAGTGTGTGGGCCAACCAGGTGGCCGACGTAGGTTTAAGCTTCCGTTCCGACGACCGTTTAGCTTTCCCACCTCTCGCCAACAACCCCCCCCCCCAAGCCCGCTGCCAAATCCGAGGAGCGTCCCGCTCATCGAACCAGATCTCTCTGTCAAACCCTGGTTGTGTTGGCAATCCCTCGCCACTCTAAACGACACAGCTAAAGCCGCCCGCCGAGGGAAAGAGACATGGCGACGACGGGCGACCCTGACGAGGCGTCATGCGGTACGTTGCATCTCAATTTGCTACCGGCGGAGATCCTGCATCACATATTCTCGGGCCTCGACCCCCGCGACCTGGGACGTATCCCCCGCACGTGTCGGTTCCTGCACGATTTTGTAACGGGGAACCAAAAACTTTGTAAAGACGTGTATCTGAGCACCCTGGTATGAGATCTCATCGCTTGGCAATCGCTAAAGTCGGCACCGGCCGTCTAACCGCCATCGCAGGATACACCCCCGCACAATGAGGACATTGACTGGGAAAGGGAGGTGCATGATTTTGTCAGGCTCGAAATCCTTTGCGCCGACAAGAAAGTCCACGAGCAGGTGAGATAGATGCCTTCCTCCAGAGAGACCATCGTCACATCCCGGACAGAGGACTCATCAATGCGCACCATGTGCTAGGCCCATGAGCTGCCCTTTGTGTACGAGACCGTCGATAGACTTCTCAAACATGCGTCGCCAACGGGCGAGACGCAGAACGACGCTGGCACACACGCCGTGTCCCGCAATGCCGCCGCCCTTGCCCGCATCTTCCGCGAGGAGCCCGCGCGCCTGACCTTCATGAGCCGCTCCTTCATCTACGAGCGCGCGCGCGACGAGGTGAGGCCTCTCAGGCTGCCGTCCGTGCCCGACGAGACGCACCAGCGCAGCGCCAAGCTGCACTGCCTGTACGGACGGCCGCTGCTGAACTACGGCCGCACGCGGTCGACGCGCGTGTACCCGTACGCCGCGGCCAAGGTGTACGACCTGCGGCAGAACACGGACAGAACCGAGTGGGGCCCGTTCATGGAGGACGGGTCGGGGCGGGTGGACTGGGAAAAGGTCGAGGCCGTCATGATCGTGCTCGGGAGCAACATCCGGCTGCAGAGGCTGACGGCGAGGGTGTTTGCGAACTTGTGGGAGAGGCCGTTCGCCGGGTCGTGGGCGAGGAGCTACGTGCCGTCGCCCAGCCGGGGGATCCAGGACCTGGACCTGCAGGACCCGTACGGCGTCGCGGGGACGTGGCTGAGGGTGAGTTTTCCTTGCAAAGTGCAGGCGTGATGGCCCGAAACTCGAGACGCTCCTGCTTACACGCGGAAACTAGGTGGTCTGCTTCGTCGACTACAACGACTTTTTCGGCTTCAACTTCCCCATCGGCGACCAAACGCCGCGCGACGTCCCGCGGCCCCCCTTCGACGTGGGCGAGGCGACGCGCATCATCGTCATGAAAGTGCACGTCACCGACGTGCAACCGCCTGGCGAGGACGACGGCAAGGAGCTCCCCGTGGTACACTTTTACGGCGTCTCACGGTCGGTGGACGACTCGTGGGACGAGAACGCCAACTCCAACCTTCGAGGTACGTTGCTTGCTTTGCCCTTCTGTCGCGATACGCGCGCCCTGCCTCGCGGTTGTTGCCCGGAGGGTAACGAACGAGCGAAGGGACGGCGGTGGTCGCTAATCATTCTTATTCTGATCAGCAGTGAAAGGCACCGTACGCTTGACCAAGGAGGGCGAGGTGAGGTGGACGACGTTCTCCGTTTTCAACGGCCACGCGCGGTGGCGGAGCGAGGGGATCCAGATCGGGGGCGTTGGATCGGCCCGCGGCGTCATGGGGCACTGGTTTGACACGTACGCTCTCACCCCCATCCTTTCTCTCTTTGCCGATGGCACCGAGGCCGCTCTGTATGTTTACTCAAAATGCGAACAGGGACTACGACCCTCACGGCCCCTGCGGGCCCAGCGCCTTCTTCAAGGTGTCGGACCCGGCCCCGAGCCCGAGGGAGGACGACGAGAAGCGGATCACGTTCCGGGACTTCATGCCCATCATGGACTTCGACGCGGAGCTGGCGAGCGACGAGGACGACGACGAGGACTACGTGGTGGGTGAGTGGGGCGAGGACGAGGAGGACGAGGACATGAGCGAGGAGGATCTGGTGCAGGACCTGATGGCGCTGGCGGCCCCGGACCCGGACCTCGTGGACCTCGTGTTCCACGGGCACCACCTGGTCGACCAGTGATGGGCTGGGAAGGGGGGAGGGGGTTCCGAATGTATACTGTTCTCGCTGTACTATTCTAGATACAATGTAACAAGTCCGCTTTACTGATTTTGTAACAACGATATGAGAGAGCTTTCCGAAACAAAGGACTTAAGAAAAAAGAAAAAAAAGAAGCCTTTCCATCCCTTCAGAGCTTGCTCGCCGGCGGATCGGTGTTGAACTTGTGGTGCTCGCACGTGGCGAGCACGGAGCCGTCGCGCTTCCGGCGGAGCGTCCCCCTCAGATGGCACATCAGCCTGCCGACCTGCACGATCTCGCACTCGACGAGGCACTCCTCGCCGGCGGGGGCCGGGCGGAGGTAGCTGCAGCTGAGGGTGCGGGAGACGCCGAGGAACTGCCAGTAGCCCGGCCGGTCGTTGACGAGGGCCAGGGCCATCGTGGTGAGGGAGTCGAAGAGGGTGGCGGCGGCACCGCCGTGGAGGTTGCCGGAGCGGTTGCAGTGCTCCGGGCGGACAGTGAAGGCGAAGGTGGCGGACGGGGCCGGCGTCAGGGACGCGGAGAGGAGGGATATGGAGGGGCTCAGGGCGCCCATCCAGCTCTGGGCCCGTGTTAGCTGCGGCATCGCGGTGCTTTGTCTCTTGAAGGGGGGCGGCGAGGGAGTGAGAAACGTACGAAGTTGTCTGTATCGTCCTTGTCGAGGGCGAGCCAGGCCTTGATCCGTTCCTCGCCCGTTTTGGCGTCGAAGACAGGCTTGAGTTTGGCTGGAAATTCCCCGGACATGATGAAGAAATACGGGAGAGAGAGAGGGGGGGAGGGAGAAAGCGCGTTAGCTAGAGGCGAGCGAAGATTCAAACCCGGTTGAGGAGCTGCTCAGTGGCTCTGGATGGCTTTGAAGAGAGAGCTATCTTGGGTGTGTAGATGGGCGAGGGGCCTTTATGAAATATACTCTTCAAGATGAGATGAACGTCCGATATCCTGAGAAAGAAGCGAGGAGAACTATTCTATAAAAGATGATGACAGACAGTTGTGCGCCCCATTGAGACGAGTCCCCATATCTGATTTCACAACATCCCAATTCATACCGGGTTGGGGGGCCCAAGTCCCTTCTGTGACAGTGAGGTTGCCGCCCCGCACACTGGGCTTCCCCGGGTTCTACGCCCCCATCTTCGGCACGCTAGTGGAAGTGCCTCGGTAACTCCCTGTGACAACGTTCAACCTCCCAATCCTGACAAACCAAGCACCATCGACGGGCCGGTCGTCAGCCAGTCCACACCGCGTTCAACCGCCATGCCCTGGTAAACCTACCTACCTCTCGCTATCGCCAACGAACAACCAAAGCGATCGCACCACTCCGATGCCCCTTTGCGACCCTCCGCCATGGAGTTCATGACCGCCCTCCGGGGCTCGTTCGACGACCAGAAACCGTCCCTCTTCGAGCTCATCTCGGAACAGCAGCTCAACTCGCTCCTCCCGCCGACGATCCGCTACCTCCTCACCGTCGCGACGCAGCGCTACCCGCGCTATCTCCTGCGCGCCCTCAACTCCTTCGATGAGCTCTACGCCCTGTGCATGCTCGTCGTCGAGCGCCACTACCTCAAGACCCGCGGCGGCAGCTTCACCGAGAACTTTTACGGCCTCAAGCGCGAAAAGGCCCTGCACGCCGAGATACCGCGCGCCAGCGCCGCCGCCCCGGGCGTCGTCAGAGACACCCTGAAGCTCAGCACCAAGGATGTGTGGATGAACCTCGCCGTCATGGTCGGCATCCCCTACCTGCGGCGGAAGCTCGACGAGGGCTACGAGGTCAACGCCCCGCGCGCCCTGCTCGGCGCCGCCTACACCCAGATGCCGCCGAACCCAACGATGAAGCAGCGCTTCCTGCACTACTACCGCTGGTTCCTGCGCAACATCTACCCGAGCGTCAACGCCGCCTACTACTTTGCGCTGCTGTCCTTCAACCTGGCGTACCTGTTCGACAACAGCAAGTACCACAACCCGTTCCTGTGGCTCATCGGCACGCGCATGCGGAGGATGACGGGCACCGACTACCAGGCCATCGACGCGCTGACGAGCGGCAAGCCGAGCGGCAGGGCCGGGGCGCCCCCGGGGTGGCGGTCCCTGCTGTCGCCCCGCGAGATGGGCCCGCGTCTGCTCTCCGGCCTGTCGCTGCTGCTGCCCATGAGCATATTCGCGCTCAAGTTCCTCGAGTGGTGGCACGCCTCCGACTTCGCCAAGCAGCTGTCGCGCAAGGCGACGGAGACGCTGGACCTCCCGCCCCCAGTGGTATCGGGCCTGGGAGGTGGCAAGGGAGGGGCTGGTGCCGCCAAGAGTGGCGCCGAGAAGGGCAACGAGAAGGCTACCGCTGGTGGCAGGGATGACGACAACGACAACGACAACGACGACAAGCCGGCTGTCCCGGCCGCCGAGATGGCTCCCATTGCGACGCCATCGCTGCTACCCATATACACGGTGCCCGCGCCAAAGGACTCGTCATTGTGCCCCATCTGCGAGGACGCCATCGTCACGCCGACGGCGTGCCAGACGGGCATTGTCTACTGCTACACGTGCATCCACCGCTGGATAGAGGGCCAGCATCCCATGCAGGAGGACTTCATGGGGGACAAGGAGGGCAAGTGGGAGAGCGGGCAGGGGCGGTGCGCGGTCACTGGCCGGCGCGTCCTGGGAGGCACGGAGGGACTGAGGAGGATCATGGTGTAAGGGCTCCCACAGCGGCCGCGGAAGGCCGGGTGATTTTTCCCCTTGTTGTTGGGGATAAGATGTCGGATCATGCATCGATGGAAAGGGATCGTTTAGAAACGAGTGGGCATCGGCCGAAAATAGAATCAGGCCGGGGCGTTTGGGTCATGCATGACCTTGAACTATTTTTTTTCTTTTCTCTCTACCGTTGTCCGTATACTAACTGCCATGAATAATACCCACTCTCATCCAGATGACTGCATCTTGTTTCGTGGCCTTCTTCCAGGATCGGAGACCGGGCGGAAGCAAGGGCCGAGGTGAAGAATGCGGCACCGGGGCCGCCTCCACCGTCTGGAATGGAGGGGTCTTCACCTCCCCGCCTCGAACCCGATCCCTTTCCTCAACTCCCACCGTTGCGAGCCGTGGCATTCGATACAAGTCCCTCGGTGACACTTATTGGTCTCGCACGTGGTTATTTTTTTTATCTTTCTTTTTTCCGAATGAACTCCCTTTCCGCCTCGGTCGAGATCTCGAAAAAAACCACTCGTCAGGATGTCTTACCCCTCCCCCCGTTCAGAGGTCTGGAGGTCTGGGAAGAGGAGGTAACTCGTTCCGGGCTAGCAGCGCAGCATTCCGATTGTTTGCTTTTGCTTCAGCCCGAAGGTTTGCTCCTTCCTTGGAGCATTGTCCCCTTGGGTTCCTCCGGACTGTGCTGTTTGAAATGGGATGCTGGTATTGAATTCCCCCTCCTGCGTCCGCTAGACTGGTCCAGAGCCGGGTCTTCTTCGCCTTTTGGCCAGTGGAGAGCAGCGGGGCGCTCGCCATGCGTAGAGAAGCAGACTTCACCTGTCTAGGCGAGGCTCTGACAAGGAGGCTGGGAGGGGGAGTGAAATCTTGGGATCCTTGGGGCCCTTGGGTCAGGCAGCGGCGGCGTGGCATTCCTCGCCCGATGTGAGGGCGGGCTTTGATGGTGTGTTCAACCCGAATTAGCGACCTCGTCATCCCCGTTGGTTTCCGCATGGTGGTGATGTTGTTCTTGGATCAGTGTAAGGGATACGATGAGGGCGAGAGGCTATAAGGACAGAGGTCTCAGGAGTATTGGCGGGCGAGTCTGTAGCGGCGTTTTCCTCTCTCTCTTTCTCTCTCTGTCTATTGTTGCCAACAACCAAGGTCTTTCGTTCTATCAATACTCGATCACCATCCTCCCTCCCTCTCTCTCTCGCCCTCTTCTACTCTCGTTGCTCGTGGGCCGTGATCACTTGCACGCCCCTTCCTGGTTAACGCGGAAAATATCGAAAAGTAAACAAGGAGGCGGCAAAGAAGGGCGGGTTAGAAAGCCAGAGCAAGATGGCTTACGGCCTGTCGCACTCATACTTTGGCGCCAACTTCATTTCCGACTTCAACTTTATCAACTACGACGATCCGTCCAATGGCTTTGTGAGGTACGTGTGCTTCCCAAGCCAGAACCCGACACATACCCGCCGGGGGAAAAGCCGAGGCCAGGAAATCATTCAGCTGATGATAACGCGGGTCGCAACAGGTACCAGAGCCAGCCTGATGCCCTCGCAAAGGGCCTCTACTCGATCAACCCAAACACGCAGGCCGTGACGCTGGGCGTCGACAACACCAACGTCTATGGCCTCGATGAGGGGCGCCCGAGCTTGAGGCTCGAGAGCAAGAGGCAATATAACCATGGCCTGTTCATCGGGGACTTTGCGCACATGCCGCCGTCTGTCTGTGGGTTGTGGCCAGCATGTAAGTCGAACGGGCAGTTTTCTTCCCTTACAGTCTCCTCCCCTAGCGAGGAGCTGGCTGGCGGTGAGGCGCATCGGCTGACATGATCGGGAGAAAGTCTGGATGTACGGGACAGATTGGCCCGTGGATGGCGAGATTGATATCATTGAGGGCGCCAACCAGGCCACCATGAATATAATCTCTGGACACACGTATGTTCATCTCCCCAGAGTCATCATCGTGACTGCCGGACTGATATGAGAAACAGCACGGAAGGATGCCGTCTCCCGGACGAACCACAAGCCGCCGGCGAGCCGCTGCTTCGAGACTGCGAAAGTCCAGGTGTAAGCCTCGTTCTTCGCCCCTCATCCCTTCCTCCAATTCATCCCCGGTTCTCGCTGACGCGCGCCAAACAGACTACCAACAACGCCGGCTGCAACTATCTGCCCCCCGCGTCGCAACCGCACACCTACGGCGATTCGTTCAACGCCGTCGGCGGCGGCGTATACGCCCTCGAGTGGACCTCAGAGGCCATCCGCATCTGGAGCTGGCCGCGGTATGGCATCCCCAGCGACATCGTCGCCAAGACCCCCGACCCGTCTACGTGGGGCCTGCCTTCGGCGCTGTTCGGGACGTCGAGCTGCGAGGTGGACCGGTACTTCAGAAATATGAGCCTTGTGATTCAGACGGTAAGCCCATGGCGGCGTGAACGGGGGTTTTCCTCGCGAGTTCCATGAGCCAGGGTGCTTTTGGCTGGTGAGGATACATGTACTGACGCGAACTTCTGACGAGCAGAACTTCTGTGGTGATTACGCCGCCAACATATGGGGCAATGACGGAGATACCTGCAATCAGCGGGCCCCGACCTGCGTCGAATACGTGGCGAATAACCCTGGTGCCTTTAGCAATGCGTAAGTCGTCACGTACCAATAGTAAAAGTTCTTGGCTGACATGAAGCAAAGATACTGGGAGGTCAACTACATTGACGTATACCAGGCCTATGCCGCCAATGACACGGGCCCAGCGGAGCCGACAACGACGACGACCATCAAGGTCACGTCCACAATCTACATGACGGTGCCGAATCCCGCCACCATGATGACGAGCATCATGCAGAACGGCACCATGCTCGTCTCCTCCATGAGAAGCAACCCGGCAGGCCCAACGGCCACCGCTCCGCCGAGCCCGTCCACCGACCCGATCGTCCCGGGGCGCGATCCGGCAACCGTCGGCGAGTACGCGTACCTCGGCTGCTACGGCTCCACGACCGGATTCCAGACGTTCTTGCTCAAAGCATCGCGGCCGGATTTGACGGTCGAGGAGTGTGTTAACCTGTGCAGGCCTGGTAGATATGCCGCCCTCCGTGGAAGGTGAGAATCTGCCCAACCCCATTAGTGAACCTGGACGAGCCCGGTACTGACGACCCGACCCCTAGCGAATGCTTCTGCGCGGAGGTCCTCGACCCGGACACCAGAGCCGAGGCGGATCGCGGGCGCTGCGATATCCCCTGCCCGGGCAACAGCGTGCAGCTCTGCGGCGGCACCACCGGCGTCTCGCAGGCCCCCTCGCGCCTCATGCATCTCCACCGCCGTGCCGCGCCGGCCAACTACCTACTCACCGTCTACGGCCGCGTCTCCGACGACGTGTCGGGGCCGCCGCCGCCGCTGGGAGATCCCGAGCCGCACCCGCCCTCGACCTCGACGGTCGTGACGACCATCACGTACACTACCGTCGACGCGACCGATCTCGCGTCCCTGGTCCCCGTGGAATACCACACGACGATCTTGGTGCCCGGGTGTAACAAGTACTGCGGCGACAGGGCCCCGGCGGCGGTCTGCGTGCCGCTGACGACGACGGTGGCCTCGTGCGATGCGTGCGGCGCGAACGGCTCGAGCCAGGTCACGCTGGCGGTGCCGTTGCAGATCGCCGCCGTGCCGTTCACGACGCCCGCAACGGGGTACTGGCCGATGAGCGGGCAGACGACTCCGGTCCTTCCCGGGGGTCCGACCGGGATCCTCGCGCCGTCACAGGTTTTGGTCAGCGCCGCAGCGGGTGGGAGCCATGTGTGGGCTGTGCGCCTGGGAGCGGCCATCGTGATGGTGCGCTTCGTGTTGATGTTCCTTTGATAGGTAATAGGCATCACTGGCGGATCGGTAGGGCTGGTTCCCGGAGCATTTGGCGGAGCATCTGAAACCTACTTTCCTCACTTTCCTACACATTCATTAGCATAGACATCGTCATGATACCACCACACCAGCGCAACGGGCGCATGCGTTTATTAGTACTAGTTCTATACAGATAGCAACGAGATATTCGTTGGTCACAGATCCACCACCTCGACGGGGTTCCCTAACCGTCCCGTGTTTCCGCGCATCTGGGCGGCATTCACCATGAGACCGCCGGTGTTGCCGCCGGGCCCAACCATTACCCACTTCCACACAACGCCGTGCACGGCGTAGCCCAGCACGCGGAGAGCTTCTCTCCAGCCCGAGTGCGGAAAGAAGTCACGGATGAGGCCGCGAGGGCGCTTGGACAAGAGGGCCTCGTAGGCGCGCTGACACTCGTCAAAGTGGACGGCCTCGCGGCCGTGGCCCCAGTGCACGTGGCCGAAGACGTGCAGCTTCGGGCGCACTCGCCAGACCTCTTTGAGGAGGCCGGGGCAACCCAGGCCCAGGTCCAAGTGGTTTTTCTGTAACGCGTTAGGAAATGCCTTTTCAGATGCGGATGAGATCGGGGGCTGACGGACGGGTGGAGCGTGAGTGATCAAGATGTCCGTGTCGATCGGGACGGTATTCGTCCAGGGCGGCGATGCGCGGTCATACTGGAAGGCCATCTCGGAGCCGCCGCACGCCGGGATGTCGGGGGCGCCGTAGATCTTGAGACGGCGCCCGCCCTTGAACTCCAGCGTCACAGCATCGCGGACGAGGTAGCGGATGCCCTTGAAATCGAGGGTCCTGCCGCGGTCTTGGGTTAGGCGGGCGCTGGGGTCGAAGTAGCTGTCATGGTTACCGCAGACGAGGATCTTGTGCTGGTGGGGCTGGGCGGCGAGCCAATCGATCTGGGCCTGGATGTCGTCGGCGGTCCCCGCGTTGGTGAGGTCGCCGGCGTGGATAAGGAGGTCTCCGTTAGGGATGGCGACGTTGGTGTGGTCGTGGGTGTCGGAGATACAGACGATGCGGATGACGGGCTTGTCGCGGGGTGGGATGAACGGTCGGCCGCGGAGGAAGAGGGCGATTCTGTAGATTATCGTGACGATGAGGTGCAGAGGTGAGATGAGCAGGGAATCGAGCAGTGTTGGGGGCTCCCAGTCGTTTTTGCGACTGAGGCCGAGGGCTGTGAGGAGGGTCATTGAAGGCGAGAGGCGCGTTTTCTCTTTGCCTCGAAATACCTCGACCGAGTACCTTGTTAAGAAAGAAGAGGTCAGTTGATGATGTTATACGGGGTCTACAGGTAACGTTGTGACAGAGAGGGTGAAGTACGGTGAGCTGTTGTTGAGGCCGGTTGGAGGCTAGGGCCACATTGGACCGATCTTCACATGAGAGCTTCGAGCTGAAACCCCACCACCGATGACAGCACCGGCACCTCAGTGGAGAATGTAATTGGGAGGACCGGCCGGCAGCTGGCGCGGAGGCATCGCCCGGGGTTTCCGGGTTTCCGCATAGTCTGATTGGTGAATCAATTATCCGTCGAAAATGAAGTGGGGAATATTGAGGCTGAATGTGGCTTGAGCATCTTTGATATCCGCGTACTTACGTAAAGGGAGGGGAAGGATCCAGCTATGCGAGGGGCAGTTTTGTGGCCGGGCTGCCCTGGCCATACCCACCGGTCGCTCACGGCTACGCCAAACCTGGAATGGCGCTGCCGTGTCACTGGGCCGGAGGCGCTGAGGGGTTGGAGCTTGTTCCCTGGAAACCCACCCATCCAAGTCGGGCCCTGCGCGGTGACGTGACGGTTCCCCTAATCGTCCCGCCCAAGCTTTCTCGTTGCTGTCCCTCCAAAAAACCTGCCAAGCAAGACATCGCCGTCATTACTTCAGCCACTTGGCCGGGTGTCACAAACTTGGGTTTAAAACACTTCAGTCCGTCCTGTCTCGCCGTCTTCAACCTTTTGGGAATATTGGAAAGTCTTGCTTCCAACCTACCCCGGGATTGCATCCCATTTCCTTCGCGGACCGACCTCCTGAATTGAACCTGCATAGCATCCGTGCTCAAGCTCTCGACGAGGAGTATTGAGACGAACTCCCGCCCTGCAGCTATGGCGAGTTTTAGCGACCTCTACAGCAACGAAAAGACCAAGGGTCTGGACTCCAACTTTGGTGTGGACTTTGTGATCAACTACAAGATCCCGCAAGCAGGTGAGCCACCCAGCCCTTGCCTGCCCCCTTTTCCTACTCACAGGGGCTGATGCATGTGTTGTATAGACCGAGCCAATGCCGAGGCGGGCTTCGTCCAGCTCATCGAGGCCCTGACCCATGTCGGCCTGACCACCGAGGTTCGGAGAGGCGACAAGCAGTCCGTCCTCGTCTTCATCAAAATCGCCGACAAGTTTCTCGACGATCAGGTCTACCGATCCCGGCTCCAAGACTGGCTCCAGGGCGTCCGAACCACGAGCTCCGACAAGGACCTTTCTCAGGCTCTCCGCGATGAGCCCGTCTCCGACGCTGAGCGCCTGCGCCTCGTGTACCTGCTGATTGTGAAACCCAAGAACGAGGGCGGCGCCAGCATCACGCCCCAGTCGGGCCGTTGGAAGCACGTCGACAGCATCTTCCCGCTGCACAATCACGCCTTCAACAAACAGTGGATCAAGAGGGTGAGTACAAAGGGCCAAACGGATGAGACCGATCTCGACGAGATTCGCGACAAGTTCGGCGAGAGCGTCGCCTTCTACTTTGCATTTATGCACACCTACTTCAAGTTCCTCACCGTCCCCGCCGCCGCCGGTTTTGCGGCCTGGGTTCTCCTCGGCCAATTCTCGTGGCTCTATGCCCTCGTCAGCTGCCTGTGGTCCGTCGTCTTTTTCGAGTTCTGGAAGAAGAAGGAGGTCGATCTGGCAGTGCAGTGGGGCGTCCGTGGCGTCTCTAAGATCCAGCACCCCCGTCCGCAATTCGAGTTCGAGCGCCAGGCGGAGGACCCCGTCACTGGGGAGTCTGTCAAGATTTACTCGCCCATCAAGCGCCTGCAGACGCAGCTGCTGCAGATCCCGTTCGCGGCGGCCTGCATCTTGGTGCTCGGAACCCTCATCGTGACCTGCAATTCGCTGGAAATATTCATCAATGAGGTATACAACGGACCGTTCCAGTCATACCTCGCCTTTCTCCCAACCGTCATTCTGGTTGTCATGACACCCACCTTCTCCACGGTACTCACGAAGTTCGCGACGAGACTCACTGAAATGGAGAACTATGAGACAATCGATGGTTAGTTTCGCCGGCGGCCAGCACGCACAATGGTTTGCTAATGATGATTCGCAGCACATCACGCGGCCTTGGTCCAGAAGGAATTTGTTTTGAACTTCCTAACCTCCTACATGGCTCTGTTCTTTACCACATTCGTCTACCTGCCTTTCGGTGACCGTCTCACCCCCTATCTCGACTTCTGGCGGTCTACTGCGCAAAAGATTACCCCGAAAGACGTCAGCTTCCAGACCCAGGAATTCGTCGTCAACCCTGATCGAATTAGCAAGCAGATGTTTTACTTCACTGTCACTGCTCAGGTGGTCAACTTCGCTACCGAGGTCATCGTACCTTATGTCAAGCGCCAGGTCTTCGAGGAAGTCAGGGAGGTGCAGTCCAAGATTTCGAAGGAGGGCGATGCGGCCCACATCAAGGACCATCCCGAGGAAGCTGCTTTCCTGGAGCGAGTGAGGAAAGAAGCCGATCTTGAAACCTACGACGTCACCGGTGACTACCGAGAAATGGTGATCCAATTTGGCTACCTTTCTCTCTTTTCTGTAGCCTGGCCGCTGGCGGCCTGCTGTTTCCTGATCAACAACTGGGTCGAGATGAGATCCGATGCTGTCAAGATCGCCATCAGCAGTAGGAGGCCCATCCCGTGGCGCGCCGACTCTATCGGTCCTTGGCTCAACGCTCTCGGCTTCCTGTCTTGGCTGGGGAGCATCACCAGCGCCTCTATCGTCTTTCTCTGCAGCTCCAGTGGCAAGGGCAGTGGACCGCATGGAGCCCCCGGCAGCATCCAGGCCTGGGGCCTCCTCTTGAGCGTCCTCCTGGCCGAGCACTTCTACTTTGCAGCCCAGTTCGTTGTTCGTCTTGTCATGACGAAGCTGGAAAGCCCTGGCTTGCAAAAAGAGAAGAAGGAGCGGTTCATGATGAAGAAGAGACTCCTCGAAGAGAACCTGGGTCAAGGCGTTTCGGACCAAGCCGCCACCCCTGGTATCGAGAAAACCGAGATGATCACGTTGAAGACGTTGGAGGAAGAGGCTCGCAGACTCTCGACTCAAGGCCACGGTGGCGCCGAGGAAGCGTAAGTCACCCTCAAAGACAGCAGACCTGTGCCCAGAAGCTAACAGCGCACGTACTAGATTCTGGCTTCGCCAACGAGGTATGGGCGAGGTGATACAAATCGGTCGCAACCTGATTTCTCAAGTAAGTTTACGCCGTTCAACATAATGCTGCTTTCTAACGATTGATTCTCCAGAGCGTTTCTGGAAACTCGACAAAGGCTTGAAACCATGGCCACGCCAACAGGGCGTAAGATTGATGGACTATATCCGTAGTCGAAGGCCACATGGCCACCCCTTAACCACTTACGTCCGATGTCCGATGGAGCATGTATCGTTAGCAAATAAGTGTAATTGAAAGACAAAATGTTTAACGTTTCAAAGTCGTCAGCTTGGGCTGGAATCCGATGTACGCAAACTTTGAGTACGTAGAGTGAGTCAACGATACAAGGATGAATGGCGAATTCTTTGGTGTAAGTGAGTGGGCCGCTACCTTCTTCGTTGGTTCCTAAAGTGGTGACCGACGGCCAAGTCGAAAAAGTCGCAAAACCTGATCTACGGTACATAGGTGACCGTTTGATCATTGATCAATCGCCTATCGGACAAGGCAGACCCGCAGGCTTAATAGATGAGCACTCGATGTCGTTCCAGCATGCGATTGAGTGGGTTTGTTTGCAAGAAGGGGGCCCAATATTGGACTGCGCCTCTGCGCTAGCCGCCCTGGACCGCTTAAGTGCAGCTATCACCAGATACGCCTAGCACAGAGGTACGTACTCGCATTTGGAGGCTAACAGATTCCTCCCCCCCTCTTGATCCTAAATCCCAGATAGCCCGTCTCCATGACATTCCTGTCGCTTGCGAGCGCCAATCGTAGGTCCCTGTTCAAGAATGTGCCACGCAGACGAACTCAAACGGGACTGCCTAGTAGTAGTAGTAGCACGTCGCCCGAGAGCATAGCAGTGGTAGCTGGCTAGACATCCCTAACTCGGGCCCAGGGCCATCGATCCATCTTCGTGTTCGGAGCATGTCGACTTTGTCCTCGTTTATCAAACACCATGCCGGTTTCGTCCAGGAGCTGGGGCACCACTTTCACTTGCATCTGCCTCTAAGCTGGACGCCACCTTCCCGGCTTCCTTGCCCACATTCAGTGGTGACTTGCTGATGCCCCTTGGGTCTCCGGTGAGGGCATGTCTCGGGACGGTGTCTGACATGCGTTATGCCCTGCATCTGCCTACCACACTCGCCCACCGTTGGCCATCTTGCAGCCTAGAGCTGCCTTCGGTCGCCGAAAGCTGACACCGGGTTAGTTGCTTGGTTCAGCCGCCTCGATGCTCTTGTTTCTTACATCCCCTCGTGTTCTCCCCTCTTCCTTCATTCTCTACCATCATGTTGAAATGATGCCTGTCATCACTCACGACTGGTACGAAGGCAACTGTTGATATCGGTATTCGTCCATTTGAAAAAAACCTCTGTCAGCTCGTCACGCCCGCGCATCATCACCACGTAACCGCCATCTCACCATTCCAGGCAGAACGAGCACCGCCGCGGAAGGCTACCGCGATGGACGTCGTCGCCGACTTGGTGACCGGTCCCTTTAGGGAGGTCGTGGAAAAGGGCAACCTCGCACTCGAGAACGCAGGCGATAACAAGGAAATGCGCTCCGAGAGTCAGAAGCTGGTCAAGGGCGCCGAGCGCATTCTCAAAATCATTGAGCCGCTTTGCGAGCGACACTTGGAGGAGTACGGCGTGACCTTTACGGATGCACTCAAAGATGACAGTATGCATGGTCTCGGGCTTGAGATTTCTGAAGCAGTTCACTGACTGTGAAGTAGATGAGATCGCCGAGTGCAGGTCACAGCTGACCGACATGCTGTGGGATTTTGACGATGTCGTCGAGGAGGACGCGTTTGAAAAGGAAAAGTATGTCGAGCTGCGAGAGCTGTGTAAAAAGACCGGGCTACGGACCGGGGAGATATTGAAGAGGATGAAACTCGAGGCGGCGCCGCGACAGCAGCCCATCGCTCCGGTCGTCGCGGCGTCACCGCCTGCCGTGACTGGTGGGTACACTCAAAACAAACAATTTACAGCTGTGCGCTGACTGTTACATCTTAACAGAAACTCAAGATCGAGATCAAAGAAGTCAAGATACCCCCAAGAGAGAGCCCCAGGGAGAATTGCAAACTCTTGAGCCGGGTCTCGCAGTAGAGGAGGTTCAGGAACCGTCGCCTCCGTCAACGAACCCGTGGGATCTCAAAGTGAGCCCAGCAATCGAAATGGGCTCAGAGGCATTGCTGGGCGATCATATCGAGCGTCGGCCGCCCATTTCCACCACGAGTTCCCCAGTATCTGAGCCGGTAAGCCCAGACGGCATAAGAAGGATGTCTTATAGTTCCAGTCGACAGCTCAGCATGCCAGCCGGAAGGATGCTACCTGAAGAGGAACGGTACCACCAAACGAGCCCTCTGGATATCTCACGATCCCCTATTTTGCCAATTGATAGGAAATCTCTAGGAGCGCGGGCCCGGACCTCGTCAGCTACCCTTGGTGTGGTGACCGAAGACCAGTCGGTGCAGCCTGACTCTGCACCGTTGCTGTACCGCTACTCCCAGGCAAGCTCGGTCTACTCTCAAGCGTCCAGACAACGCTCCCAGGAGTCCTTTCACAGCTCCGTATTCGATGGTAGGAGGAATGATGGCTCGAACAGCCCTGCGATGACTGAGCATCGCATCTCCTCATCTTCTGGGCACGGTGGGAAGTTGAGTTCCATACCTCCTCGGGGGCCGGTTATGCCACCAAACTTCCTGCCAGGTATTCATGACGGCATTGAAAGAGTGCCACTGCTTATGAACGATGGCGAAGGGCTGATTCCTGTCGAATCGGAGTCGAGCAATGCGACAAAGCCCCTGGCTATGGTTTCGAGCCGACCGAAGGACTGTAGAATTGGTCTGAGCAGCTCGTTTTACTTGTATAAGGGGTTTTGCGAGGGTGCGAAAGAAGTGACTCGGGGAGGCCTCGGCATCAAGAAGATCAAGAAGCCTGTGAGTTGCCATGGTATCCAACCAAGCCTCAAACTAACATGCTTGCATTTAGGGTTTCTCCGGCGCCCACGAGGTAGCCAAGTGCACCAGCTGCTCGTACGAGCTCGACTTCAGGCAGGTCCAGCTAGACGTCAACAACACAGGTGCGTACAAGCTCCTCCAACACCGGACCTTTGCTACTTACTTACATGACCTACCAGAGCAAGCAAACTTTCTCTCGTGCAGGATAGCTTACCGCCCGCGGTTCCTCCAGAAGTCCCACGTCGCTACAAAACGCGCCGATGAACTCCTCTACGGCTGCGTCTTCTGTGTCCACGCCCAGCGGACCCTTGAAGAGTGCGATGCGACCGTCTTTTTCAGCCAGAAGAAGCTCTTTGAGCACCTGGCACGGCATCCCCGCCCTTTACCGCAGGTGCCCGGGATCACGGTCATCGAAGAGGCTGAAATACCGTCTGACCTGCGCAACAATTACGACCTACACTTCCGAGCGCCGCCAAAGGAGAGCTCTCTGACAGGCAAGCAGACGGAGATCGCGCGGCGGCCCACCGCGACGGCGACGCAGACGGTGAAGCGCATGTACGGCATGAGGCTGCTCTACGACAACACGCCGGCGTTCGAGCTGGCGAACGGAGCGAGAGTTTTGGGGATCGTGTTCCCGGAGAAGTATAACGGCGAGTGGGTCATGGGATGGCACGAGGAGAACTTCGGGTCGGCGCCGTTGGACGTGCTGAAGCTGGAGCCGCCGCCTAAGGAGGAGATCCGGATGGACACAACGAGCAACATCTCGGCGGTGGCGAGGTGGAAGTTTGCGCCGAAAACGAAGGACGGCGGGGACTGGCTGCGGTTCGACCAGGGGGATGTGATCACCAACATCAGCTGTGGGTTTCCGTCCACCCTTTTTCTCCTTATTTATTTTCTACAGGCGTGGGCATTCGCTGGATGAAAGTTGAAAAGGCTAACACAGCATCATAGGGACCTGGCAGGACCACTGGTGCTGGTCCGGTACCAACGCCAAGGGGGTCTGGGGCATCTTCCCGCAGACGCATATCGATAGCAACACGATCCGCGAGACGTCGGACCGCTCGAGCGTGTCGAGCAGCGAGCGGCGAAGGCGGGCCGAGGGGTTCTTTGGAAGATTCGCGAGCAATCGCAAGGCGTCGTCGCAGAGGACGTCGAGCGTTTCAGAGGTCGTCGTATCGTCCGGGCCGCGACCGACGGTATTCTAGTAGGCGCTGGGTGTCGAGGGCATCTTGACGGGTTGTCGATTGGCTTGCAAGGGGTTTTATGGTGTTTGGTTGCCAGGATGGGCGGTGCGGAGTTCTATACCCGGTGAATATTGAGAAAGCTAGATGGGCACGGAAGGGACAGGATTGATATTCACATTGTGCCCATGAAGTGTCGGTTGCGACATAGGTTTATAGGTCGGGGGAGGGGGGAACACGAGTATTTTTTGGGGTCTTTCTAGATAAGTTACGGTCCGACTGATTGGCTGGATATAAGCAGAGAAGTGATGCTAGGGAGCTTCAAATCAGGGAGAAATGTAGAAGCGTCTTGATAACTTGGGAGCTGACCATTGCAGTCCAAAACGGGAATCTTCGTTGCTGCTGGCTCCTGCTTGAGTGCGGGTTCCTTGACCTCGAAGGTCAAATACCACAGAGACCTGTCGTTAGGAAATGCAACCACAAGACATGGCAGCGCCCACCAGGAAGAAGTTCTGGTCAATATCGACGTTCACTAAGTGGTTTAGCTCAGCCATGCGTGACAGGACGACTCGGATCAGACCGCCCGTCCCGTGTCTTCCTCGGAAGCGTAGCCGTACCGGCCGCGGCTCGCAAGCCGAAGGGTAGCTAGAGGATCCCGCGTACAGGCAGGCGGTGGCTTGTTGGACGAACGCGCGTGCGCACTTATTAGGCCGGTGGCATTATACCGGTACACCGACAATCAACTATGATGCCCATATTACCCCGCACCCAATTGACCCGAGGTGAGTACAGGTACTAGCGCGACGTGGGACCAACTGTGGGGCACGGCAGTGGCGGACGGTACAATGAAGAGCGAGCTGATGACCTTCAATGGGTTCCGTCCCCCCCCCCCCGGCAGCCCTTCTCCAACCCCCAATCTGGCCCCCAACAGTTTTAACCTACTACGTAATTATATAGCAAATACGGCGCCGCAACTTTGATTTTGTTTTGTTTTGTTTTATTGTAGAAGACCGATTCTCGCACTGACTAGAGAGACAGAACCTGCACCTCGATCTGCTCGTGTGGTTGCGTCGGCTTCACTTTCACCCATCACGTCAACCCGTGCTGTAGATCTGCTATTCCCGGCCCGCCTGATTTGAAATTCCTTAGGTCCGAATAGAAGACAGGCCACCCATAAAACTACGTTACCCCGTGGAGAAAGATCTGCCAATTGTCGGCCTTTACCCCGGATCCTCCTTGACTCCAATCAACCTCCCACCTCACGACTTCCATCAGTCCGGAGTAGCGGAACAAACAATCGCGCACAACCAACGCAAAATGGGTTTGAAGGGCGACGAGATCGCGAAGCACAACAGTGCCGACTCTTGCTGGGTCATTGTCCACGTAAGCTACCGCCGAGCGCCTCGCTCCAATAGAGGAGGCTCATGATTGACATGTGGCCGATTGATAGGGCAAAGCGTATGATGTCACAGACTTCCTGCCGGGTGAGTACGCCTTCAACCACAACCGTCGATTCAATCGTCGTTAACGCCAGTTTTCAGAGCACCCTGGTGGTTCCAAGATCATTCTGAAGTATGCCGGCAAAGATGCGACAGAAGAATTCGACCCCATCCACCCGCCCGACACCCTCGACAAGTACCTCGACAAGTCCAAGCACCTGGGCCCCGTCGATATGGCCTCCGTAGTGGTGGAGACGAAGGAGGAGGACCCCGAAGAGCTGCAGCGGTTGGAGAGGGTCGAGCAGAAGCCGCTGCTGTCCCAATGCTACAACCTAATGGACTTTGAGGCCGTGGCCCGCAGAGTCATGAAGAAGACTGGGTGGGCGTACTACTCGAGCGCCGCTGACGACGAAATCGTGAGTGTTCTCCCTTCGCCCTCGGACGGCCAGAGCACCAAGAGCCAGCGATGCTGACCCAAAACCTCACGCAGACGATGCGCGAAAACCACGGGGCCTTCCACAGAATCTGGTTCCGGCCGCAGATTCTCGTCGACGTTGAAAAGGTCAACTTCAGCACCACCATGCTCGGCGCAAAGGTCGACATGCCCTTCTACGTCACCGCCACCGCCCTCGGAAAGCTTGGCCACCCGGAGGGCGAGGTTCTGCTCACACGCGCCGCCCGCAAGCACAACGTCATCCAGATGATCCCGACGTTGGCCTCGTGCTCGTTTGACGAGCTCATGGACGCCGCCGAGGGAGATCAGGTCCAGTGGATGCAGCTGTACGTCAACAAGGATCGCGAAATCACCAAGAAGATTGTGCAGCACGCCGAGAAACGTGGGTGCAAGGGTCTCTTCATCACCGTCGACGCGCCGCAGCTGGGTCGTCGCGAGAAGGACATGCGCTCCAAGTTCACCGACCCAGGCGCGAATGTGCAGTCCGGCCACGCCACGGACCAGAGCCAGGGCGCCGCGCGCGCCATCTCGTCCTTCATCGACCCCGCTCTGTCATGGAAGGACATTCCCTGGTTCAAGTCCATCACCAACATGCCCATCATCCTGAAGGGCGTGCAGCGTGTCGAGGACGTCATTAAGGCCATCGAGGCCGGCGTCCAGGGTGTCGTGCTCTCCAACCACGGAGGTCGCCAGCTCGACTTTGCCCGGTCCGGTATCGAGGTCCTTGCCGAGACGATGCCTGTGCTGCGCCGTATGGGTCTGGAGAACGCCATTGAGATCTACATCGACGGCGGCGTGCGCCGCGCTACCGACATCATCAAGGCCCTCTGCCTCGGCGCCAAGGGCGTTGGCATCGGTAGGCCTTTCCTGTACGCCATGGCTGGCTACGGCTTCGACGGCGTTGACCGCGCCATGCAGCTGCTCCGCGACGAGATGGAGATGAACATGCGCCTCATCGGCTGCACAAGCGTAGACCAGCTCAACCCATCCCTCGTCGACACCCGGAGCCTGTTCAACCACGGCGCGACGCCTTCGGATAACCTTGGACTGGCCGTGTACGACTCTCTGGCGACGCCGGTGCAGAGGCCCAAGGCGCCCAAGTCTTCCAAGCTGTAAACCCGATTCGGAGGAGTTTGTGCGTTTTAGCGAACACATACATGAAGCCTTTCACGCAGGATCGTTGACTTCTGGGAGCGAGCGTGAAACATTATGAGAATTTATATGTATCACATGTATGACATTATACACTAGAAACATGACAATACATTCTGCGTATTTTATATATTACATGTGCTCCTGTTGGCATGATGTGAATGTTCTGTCGAGAGCAGAACTGGTCGTCTGCAAAAAAAAAAAAAAAAAAAAAAAAAAAAAAAAAAAGAAGAAGAAGAAGAAAAAAAAATAGCATTCTCTGGTACCGTCATCGTTCAACTTCACGCTGGATCAAACATGCTGCTTCTTTTGCCCGCCGAGCTTCGTCCCGAGGTAATGCTTAGAAAGGGAACATCGAGAAGCCCCGCGGCCACTTATAGATCACGTAGACATTGAAGACTAAAGGTCTTTAGGGATGATTTAACACATCGCTGTGTATTGGTTGAGCAATTGCAGGCGCCGGCGAGTTTCCAGTGACAGGCCGATGTCGTCCCGTCTGCTGTGATGGAGCGATGTAAGACGGCAATAGCGAAGCAGATAGGTATTATTCCCTACAAGACAGGGATACCGGGGCTATCTGACATCTCGCTCTGGGGTGGGGGGACCCCACCAGTGCCCTCCTCCCGGGCTTCACCAAGCGCAGCCACGAGGAACTCTCAAAGCTCTTGTCGTCCAATCACGTTTTATACTCGATCTGCCGCCCGATAATGGCATAGAGAGATCGGGTGGGCGGGGGAGGAAGACGGAGTGGGGGGAGTCGGGGACACACCGCTAGCGGGGTAAGATGACAGATGCTGTGACTTTGATATGCCCGCCGCTTACGACGTATACGCGAAACAAAAAAGTATGAGCTGACAGGACCTGGTGCGTAGTCTGGGCACTCGGAGGACCACACGATGCCAGCTCGGATTCCACAGTCCATCTATCTGGAGAAGAGCAGTCAGGTGTGGAACACATCAAGGAGCCTTGAACAACGGCTCCCCCTTGGGCGTCAGAACCATCCACTTTTTGTGACACCGGGCCGTCTCTCAGGGGGATTGTCTGTCAGGTTACGGCTTCCCATGCATAGTAGCACTTGGTCCAAAAACGTGGATTTCGACCTGTCAAGGCGTGTGAGCGCATCCTAACCGGGAAGAGAATGGTCGAATGTGGACAGTTGTCCTCGACCTTGTATCGCCCAAGAGCAAAAGGACCGACTAGACCTTGGAAGAATAGAAAAGACACCCTCGTGCGGCGACGACTTTGACCGTCGGACCCTCTCCCCTTCCCGATGAGCAAAGCCGGCTCGGCCGCGTGCTAGCCAACAGCATCGACGACGACCAAGCCGGACCTGATTGCCAGGCTCGCACAGGAACCGAGAGACAGAACTCGACCGGCGCGTCGGAGCCGGCAGGGGGGCCTCCATTCCCAGCGACCGAAGCCCTGGTCGAATCCCGAGCTGTGCGTTCTGGTGTATAGTCGCGCTAGGGGGAGCATCGAACAGAGATGTGCGAATACCTGTGTGAAGGAGTATCGCTTGAGGAGTACTAGGCTTGAGCGATTCAGCGACCCTCGAGTGTAAATAGTATGTTTGCGGATGCGAGTCATTAACGGCCCCGATGCTATCAAAAAGACATTATGGGGCGGGGGCCAAATGCTGTGGGTACGTCAGGTTGAGAGTGATTGGCGCCCAGCACTTTCTCGTTCCAGGACCCCCCCAGTCTATGGCGGCTCTTTCGTCTGCCCCCAAGCCCAATCGTCGAGTTACTAGGTCCTAAGGTGTGTATATACTATGTAGTAAGGCGCCTAGCACTTTCGACCTCGTACCGTATCCTCTCAGTAGATTCGTACACCGCACTGACCAGGGGCTGCTGGATAGGGGCTAGCGGGCTGGCAGAAACAGGGATCTAGAAGTGGCAAATGCAGGGGTTAGTCAACGTCAGCAGCAAGTTTGGTGGCAAGGGTTAGGGTTAGATGGGTGGGTGGGTGGCTAGGCTGACTGACCGCCTTCCGAAATCGACCTGGTGAGTGGTCTGTGCGCTGTACGAATCTGCTGAGAGGATACGGTATTATCTTTCCCCGCACGGATTTCTATTTCTGTTTAGCTACGGCACCAGGGGTTGGTAGGTCATCGCTGGGCCATCTCGGTCTTCTCTCTTTTCCCTTTTCTGCGCAGATTACCGTACCGTATCCCCTCGTTAAATTCGCCCACCTCCACTTTGCAAGCTAACGGCAAGGGGCATCGCGTCCGCCAAATAGGGGCTAGCGTGCTGGCAGAATCAGGGATCTAGAAAGTCAAAAGCAGGGGTTAGTCATTTACGTCAGCAGGAAGTCAAGGCGTAAGAACAGTAAATAAAGGGCAAGTGGGTAAGTGGGTAGATAGGTGAGTAGGTTGACCGCTTTCTATGATAGGTTTAGCTTCGTGAGCGGCCGCTTTACCCTTTGCCGTTAGCTTGCAGAGTGGAGCTGGGCGAATTCAACGAGAGTAGCCACTAGCGAGCAAGCTAGCTGGAAACAGCTAGCGGTTGTCAACTACGCTAGGCTCAAAGTAGAGGGCGGTCAACCTACCCTACCACCCATCCACCCACTTACCCACTTGCTTGCCAGCCAGCCCATCCAAGTTACCGTATCCTCTGACTTAACTGAATAACCGCACAGACCGCGGGCTGCTGAAAAGGGGCTGGCGTGGTGGCAGAAACAGGGATCTAGATGTGGCAAATACAGGGAGTCATTTACGTCAGCAGCAAGTTAGGCGGCAAGGGTTAGGGTTACATGGGTGGGTGTGTGTAGAGATAGATTGACCGCTTTCTATAAGGGGTCTAGCGTATGGTCTGTGCGGTTATTCAGTTAAGTCAGAGGATACGGTAGATTTGCCAACCCACCAACCCACCCACCATCCACATCCCTGTTTCTGCCAGCACGCCAGCCCTTATTTGGCGGCCGCGATGTCCCTTGCCGTTAGCTTGCTCTCTAGTGGTTATTCTATCTAACCAGTGTATACTACTACGGTAACAGTGTAGGGCTGTGCTGGCTAACAACGAACCTACATTTCCCAGACCACCACCAACAAGTCGCGTGCTTTTGGACGACCTGGTTCTGTTTCAGGCCGACGGGATGTCTTTCATTCCACATGGCAATGATCGCTGAGACGGTTTTCCCTCTAGCGTAGTCTCGACGCAAACATCCGCTATCTTCAACACGAGAAATCGTACAAGAAGTCTAACGATGCCCCAAGCGTTGAGTGGGTGAGCGGTAGAGGACCGTCTCCGTCGCCGGCGGGATGCCAAGCCCCACTTTCCCCATCTCTTATCTTGGCCTGGGAGAAACAACGTCAACACCGCTGACATGCACAGGGTGGCGGTGATAAGCTACACACTTTCGAATCATCTACGTGGCATGCCGATCATCCTCAAGACATCGGATGACAGATATGCGGACTTTGGGAAATGGATCGTTCGGACAAAGGATAAATGTTTAGACGAGATTTCCACTGGCAAATCACCACTTTGTAAGTTCTACAGTAACAATGATAATAACATTACAAAAGTGCCATAAATTTACTTTCTCTCATACCAAAACTAGACTTAAGCAAGTCTAGTGTCAGTATATGTCTGTAAATCCTAATCAGCATGAGTACTGCCGAATACTGGACCTAGGTTTACTGATCCGCACCTCTGACTTATACTGCTAAATGACTGTAAGAGTCCGAATGGGCACACCATGGCGGGAACACTGGACCAGAGCCATGGGGGTCTTGGTGCAAGGGCAGATCTCTCGATATCCTCCCCATGCGTAGAATCGTTACTATTGTGAATGACCAGCCCCAGCGCTGACAAAGTATGATGACCGTTCAGCAGGCCTTATCGGGCTACTCTTCGCACCCGCAGGGGTCTGCCTGTCTCCATACTGTAAACACTCACAAGATCCGGACAAAGCTAAGGAGCCCGCTAACGGCAAAAAGTATCACAGCCGCTGTAAGGGGTATAGTGTGCTAGCAGAAACAGGGATCTGTATATACCTATTTTCTTATATAACAGTTGTGTTTTTACTACCGGCAGGCTAGCTAGTGGGTAACAGAGGGTAGAAAGGGTAACCGTCTTCTATGTTAGGACTAGCGTAGCTGATATCCACTTGCGGCTATAGGACACCTGCTAGCTTTCTTGGCTAGCAGGTCTCTTAGCTTTGTCCGGATCTCGCGAGTGTCCACGATACTTCTTTTCCATCACTTCTCACCCAACGTGCCTACGGTTTCCTTTTTTTTCTTTTTCCGGGGACAGCCGAGGATGCCGTGCCTGTGAGCATGTTTACACCACCTGGGTACTACGGCGGTTGTGTATACATATCGAACCTCCCTCCATCGTTGGTCCCCTCTCTTGGTGCCTCTTGTTTCTGACGTCGCTCTCACCAGCAACTTCACAAGCAGCCTCTCGTTCTTTTTCCTGCTGCGTTTCCATGTCTTAAGTCCAATCCTAGGTACATGTTACTCTTTTACTATATGTGCCTCACACTCACTACACTCATTACACACTATACTCACTTGTACTTGCTCCCATTAAGCAACCACATTTGCTATAACACGAGCAACTCGCCCTCACCAACTATACTATCATCGCGTCGACATGGTTCGCTCATGCGCATACAAGACCATTGCGGCCGCCTCTCTCGTTTCACAACTCGCATCCGCGGCCATCACGAGCTGTCCGAACAACGAAACCGTCTTGGTGAGCCCCGTCGGCGTCAAGTACAGCCTCTGTCCCGGTTCCGACTACCAGAGCGGTGGCGCCAGTCTTCAGACCGTCGGAGATATTCAGTCCAGCCTCGAATGCGCCAAGATCTGCGAGTCGAATGCTCGCTGCTACAGGGCTGTTTACGACAAGGTGAATAAGGTATGCGACGTCAAGAACAGCACGAACCCGATGCAATGGGCTGCCGATGACCGCTTCGACACCATACGGTTGACCAATGATTTGCCCGAGGGTGCTTTCCTCTCCACCTGTCCCTTTAACGAGACTTCCTACCGCGTCTCCGAGACCAACGCCGAGTACCGCATCTGCCCGGACACTGACTACACTGGTGCCAATGTTAATGCGGTCGAGGGCGTGACCACCATCCAGGCCTGCGCCGAGCTCTGCTCAAACACGCCGGGCTGCAGGAA